TTTACACATTTCATAGACAAATCACATGCATAATACTAAATATATATAGAACGTTACATTTCCCATATTTATTGCCATCGTATAATTTTCCCCTCCTTTGAGCAACATTGCGAAATATAGGAATGAGAACATATACTAGTAACCAAATTTTGTCTACAAATATATATTTATATTTATGCCGTATTTTACAAAATAGATGCATTGTTTATGCAAGAATTACCTACATAAACCGCATAATATGTATTCACATGCATATTGCATGTATATATATGGATATATATACATCCATATACGTCCATTTGCACATTTGATTGTATGTATAACTGTATTTTTTTCATTTAGAATTATGAGCCTCCCCAGAATATTATTTTTATTGTAATATTTTTCACGTTTAGTAAATATTAAAGTTTTAAGGAAAATAAATTAGAAAAAGACGCACACTGCACGTTTTTATATTATATTGTATTGTTTTTTTAGTCATCCTTTGTATTACGTTAGATTTAAGAATTGATGAAACATAGCATGCATTTCTTACCCAAATTTATATTAATAATCCAATTTTAATCATTTGTTTTAAAATCATTCCCTTGTTTTATATATATCACTCTTGTGATTACATTTATGTGTTCCTTGATATGTCACATGTGAAGGAAGAATTCGGTGTTACAATTAAAAGAACGTTTTGTAAAAGTCTCAAATATTATACATTATGCTTTTAGAAAGTGCTCATGTTCTTTTTTAGCATCGTTTTTTTTTTTTTTTTTTTTTTTTTGTTATTTTTAATGATATATACGTATATATACCTAGGTGTGTATATATATGCCAACTTATTTACATATTTATGTCTGTGCACTGTCTGCCGAATTAATTATCCCTTTATAGCTGTGTTGCATGTCAGCTATACGATGTTATCATCTTGCTGAGATGATATACACAGGGAAATTTTTGTTTTGAAAATTTAAATTTCAGTGAAGCAATATTTCTATTTCTGAGTAGCTATAACATCCACAAACACACACACATTCCAAAAATAAATTAATGAAGATTAACAAATTCAAACAAACATAATAGATTAATATTATAATATTAATAATGCACAAATTGAATGAGATGGATGTGTAAATCACTTTCCACATAACACATGTAAATTATTTTTTACACAGAAAGTAGATGAAAAAGAGCACGAAGAAATTAGCACAATGCACAGTACATACACGTTCAAGCAAATTCTTGCATTTCAGACATTACGCAAGAATTTGTATGTTTAAATAGTAGTGAGAATATCTACACATTTATTGGCCATTTACAAATTTTATTTGCATTACACTGAAGGCGAAAAGATTACATGAGAGGTAATTTAATATCACGTCGTGACAAAAAGTATATTTGCGTTCCACACATTCATATGCATATTCATGTAGTGCATATACGAGTTGAGGAATTCTATAAACATACAAGTGTATAAATGCATGTGTGCACACATGACTACATGGTCATATCTACATGCTCATATTGAAGTAAACGAAACCTATATATATATATATATATGTATGTATGAATGTCTTTACAGCACTCTCCTCTCCTCGCCTTTCGTAGCTCATTCATTATACATTTTAAAGTAATAAATAAAGTTGCACTATATAAATCTATGCACATCTATGTATAGGTCCCATTTCAAATTAGAAATTGCATAAAACGTTTGTATTGCATTTAACTTCATGAAGAGTATAAATAAATACATACCATACTAAGAATGGCATACTTTGAAGTATGCACTCGAATACTATATTATAAAGAGTCACGATTTTCCCCAGAGAACCCCGTCATTTTGTGTAATGTAATCAAACACTTGCTTCCCTACTCCTCTATTTTGATGTGCGAGTATTTATAATGCACCGTTACTCCAATTTTGCATAAAGTTTATGTTGTTCCGCTTATATTAGCAAATATACATATATATATATATATACACCTGTTCCTTAATAAATTCCTTTATAAATAAAAACATATTTGCCTTTTTTTTTTTTTTTTTTTTTTGCATGCATATTTTGCTTATACATGTACATACACTTAGCATATTTATTAATTACACGTAATTAAAAATAAGAATAAAAATAGTGTGCTTATTTAGAGATAATTTGTCAGGTGATATAATCTATATAATAAATACAAATTTTGTCGCTCCTTAATTTTATGTTTATTTTGCATTTTTAAGCATTTTATATATATTTTATGCACCTAGGAAACGTAACAATTTGTTAGACGATATACGTGCATGTATATTTTATTTTTTCTACCTTTTCCATATACACGAGGCTTTTACATGTGAAAATTTATTTATCGATTTTTAAAAAATTGTGTATTTTTTTTTTTTTTTTTTCTCATTTTGTTATAATATTATTACATTCTCTTTTTTTCACACATAAAAAATAATTCTTTTGTGACGTTATTTTTTTTCACGTAGGGGTACATATGTATGTGCCTTTTTTTAATAACTCCCGAGTGTACTATTTTCTTGTTTTAAAGGGTATTACATACACACACCCCATTACGGGTCTGTGTATATGTTTGTATATATATATATATATGTATATGTGTGTACATATTTGTATATATATATATATATATGAGTGTTGCTTTAACGGCACATCTACCCGCTATAGGTACGTACATTTTCTTTCTCCCTTTTTTTTTTTCATGCTAAAAGCACTAAATAATTTTTTTTATCCCAATCGAGTTTTTCTACAAATGTGTCTTGCATTTTGACTTTTAATCACACTTAATCAGGCTTAATCACATTTAATCACTTTTCATATTTCAATTAATTTAATAACCAGAGTTATTTCCCCTGCTTCATATTATCGTCTTTTTTTTTTTTTTTTCTTTAAAGCACATAACATATAAATTGATTTTACACTTTGCCTTAATGTTATATATGTTTCATTTTTTAAATGACGAGCTTTGAGAGAGTATCTTTATATTGTAATATATTTTTACATATAGTAGAATTAGTTAAGGAAGCGAAAATGTAAATATATATGTAAGTGTCACTAGTGTGGGCATGTATGTACACATATAAATGAGTATTCTTTGGAATATGCTTATAACTGTATAATAAGTTTTTCTTTTTTTTTTTTTTTTTTTTTTTGATCAGAAGCTTTATTTTGAGGATATATCTCTGAATTAGAAATATACATAGCATGTTATCAAAGTCAGTTGTATTAATGATATATACATCTATTCGAGATACATGAGTACCACCATTATGCATATATCTATCTATATATATATATTTGAACATTTGTGTTGTGAAAAGAAGAGCATGCTTTATTAAACTCCTTATTAGATGGTGCAAATATTTATAAGATTTATTCTATATATAATATCCATTTTGTGTATACCAATCACCATTCATACATCAGTCGCAACTTTTAAAATACATTGATGGATAGATAAACGCATTATATTATGTTTCTTCTGTTAACCTTTACTGAACATTTTATTTCTGCATGTATTATATGTTGCATTAAAGAATATATGTAGTTTTGTTTACATTCTGTTCATATGTATTTCACATGGTGTGTCATTATCACAGGAACATGACACTACCCTTATATACAGCACCTTCATTATCTGTATTGTTGATGTATTTTGTAGAAATGTTTGAATAACGAGAAAAATGAAATACTTTTCATTTATTTTACGTTTTCAACGTATTTATGTAAGCAGAACATAGTCATATAATTTACATGTGCATATTTTTTTTTTAAATAACGACAAATTTAGCATCTCGTTACGCGTGAGTTTTTTTTTTTTTTTTTTTTTTTTTTTTTTTTTTTTTTTTTTCGATGTTATGCCAACATCAAGCTAGAGTCCTTTATTCATAAAATTTTGTTAATTTTAGATTAGCTTTACTTATAGTAAATCTAGAGTTTATATATAAGTATGAGAAAATATAGCTTAACAAAAAATACATAATAGAATAAAAAATTAAATACTTACAAACATATACGTCTAGTGCAGAAATTTTGTCGATACACGTATGTATACATATATATACATGTGTATGAACTTGTGTATTGTAAGACATAAAAGAAAGTGTCAGTAGGAAATACATAATATTGAAGACGAGATAGGGCAGTTATATATATATATATATGTGTGTACATATATATCCACATTACTGTGCTAGGAGGAGAGTTAGTAAACAGATCTCAAATAAAAGTGTACTTTGTTCGAAAGAGTTATTCACTATTTTCATCGAAGCATAGAACATGAAAAGCAACACCGATTTATCTCATATGAGAGAAAATTATAACGAAAGAAAATATTTGGAGAAAAAGCAGAAAATGAGTAAGATCAATGGTGACATCTTTAATAGCGACGTAAATTATTGTGATGATGATTATGAAGATGATATGAAAGAAGAAAATGATACATATAATAATCAAGGACAGGAATCGAATCAATCCTCTGATGAAAATTATTATCCGAACTCTATGAACGATATAAAAACCCTTAAGAATATTATATTAGATGATGAAAATAGTCATGAAAATGTTACTAATAATGACTATTACATGGAATGTTTTGATCAGGATATGCTATCGAATAGAAAAGGTCGTTATGAAAGAAATGCACATAATTATAGTTCCAGTGATAATTTAAATAACGGAATGAACCAGAATAAAGTTGTTAATATAAAAAATTTGGGTTACGATGTAAATATAGGGAATATTAATACGAGAAGCATGAACATGAATCAAATGAACAATGCAAGTCATGTTAACTGCATCAATGGTGTGAATGCATTTAATACGATGAACTTTTTCAACAATATGAACAACATGAGCAGCATGAGTGGAATAGACAATGTAAATAGTTTGAATGGGATCAACACTATGAACAGCATGAATGGGATGAACGGGATGAATAGTATGAATCGTATGAGCAACATAAATGGGATTAGCAACATAAATGGGATTAGCAACATAAATGGGATGAACAACATGAACAGCATAAATGGGATGAATAGTATGGACGAGATGAACAGTATGAATGAAATGAACAGTATGAACATGAACCTTATGAACAGTATTGGAAATGCCCGAGGAACACATAATTTCTCCCAGAGTGAAAACATAAATTTTATGAACAATCTTTTAAATAAGCAGAAAATGTACAGTGCTGGGTGCAATATGGAAGATGGAAGTAATGATAAGAATCATTTAGTACTCATGCAGAACCGTATAAATAATAGCACGAATGGCATGATCAACTCGAATATTCAAACATACCCACCAATGTATTATAGGAGAAATATATCTAATCAGGACAACATAGACAATAATGCATATGTTGAAAGCACATATTATTTTGGTAACCATTACAGAAACGATATGATGACAATGCAAAATAGAATTTTAAATGAATCATTCAAAGAAAATGAAGATGAAAAAATGAACAATTCTGTAGGAGAATATTTCGAAAAAAGTAATGAAGAACAATCTTATATTCAACAAAACAAGGACAACACATCCCCTGGGAATTATATGCCTTTTAATAACACATCTTACAACGCGCACGGAGGGGATGCCAATAACAGTAGCCACAACAATAGTAACAGCAACAGTGGCAATATCAGTAATGACAGCAATAGAGACAACAATAGAAACGACAGCAGAAGTAGCAGCAGAAACAGCAGCAGAATCAGCGACAGAAACAGCGACAGAAACAGCGACAGAAACAGCGATAGAAATAACAGCAACAGCATTAATAGTTATACCATACCGATTTATGTGAATACTGGTGATGGTGGATTTATAGAATCCAATCATGGAAACTATGTTTACCAGCTAGATGGAAGCAAAAGTTTCTATATGAACAACCAGAATGTGAATTTGTGTGAAAATTACATGAATGTAATGAATGGAGTAGGAATCAAGAACATGAATGATAGCAACATGGACTGTAGCAAGCCGATAGATTTCAATATGAGTTTCAAGGATACAAGATGTAATCATATTGAAGGAATTATAAAAGTAAACGGAAAAGGTTGTGATATATTGAACACAAATTCTACTGCTAGCGTGAATACAACATTTCCAAATGGCTACGAAGAATATGAAAAAGATGAAGATAGCATTATAGACGAAGATGACAATAAAGATATCGATAAAACATGTTCCAAGTATGATCAAGAAGCACGTGGCATAATACATACATATAATGGGATTTTCTTAAAGAATAGTGAAAATAAGGATCGTGTACATATTAGGAATTCAAATTTTGAAAAAACAGAAAATGAACATTTAGAACACAATGATTTGGTTTCTAACCAGAACAGATTGAAAATGCTCATGTATAACAAAATCTCTAACTTAGGTAGCAATTACAGCAAAAGAAGTAGTACAAATAATTCTATGAAAATATCTAATATAAATGATATGGATAACTCACCAAACGGTTCCATTCATAACAGTGTTGTAATGCAAAAACAAGAACAACTTAATTTAAAGCAGTTTGTTGATAATGGAAAGAACACATACGAAGAATCTATGAACAGTGAATACAATAACATGGGGTCTAGAGTTAACTATAACAAGGATGTTATAGATTGTAGACATAAAGAAATTAATATGAAATATAGAAATTTTCCAATTGTTGCGATTGCGAATGATAATAAAAATATTAGTGAAAGTAGAGAAAACGGAATGGATGATGGAATTGGTATAATTGCCAAGAGCGTAAAAAATAGTATTGAATTAAAACAACACATTCACAATTCTAGAGAGAAACTTCCCATGTACAGAACAAAGGAAGAAGTAAAATTTAAAAATATGAATGGCAACCACGAGAACTTGAATTATATGGAAATGGGGAACTGTAACTATGATGACATGGATGAATATAATCAAGAAGATCAATGCAATTTAAACGAATCATATGATGTTAATATGTACAGCAGTGTAAGTGCTAGTATTGGGATGAATGATAACAATCAGATGAATACAAACTACCAGATGAATACAAACAGCCAGATGAATACAAACAGCCAGATGAACACAAACAGCCAGATGAACACAAACAGCCAGATGAATACAAACAGCCAGATGAACACAAACGGCGATAATTATGAGAAAGGCGAATTAAACAAGGATAATAGTTATATTATGCACAATCATAAAGATAAGAACATCGATATGATTATTGATAGAGATGCTCAAGTTCATGTAAATAACGGAGAAAGTTACACAAATGAATTAGTTCATAATTCGCAAATGAGAAATGTAGGTAATTATGAAAATATGCATACTATAAATAATGGAGAAAATCAGCAGCTGTTGTTTAATGTCGAACACAATACTAAAAGGAATGGTATTATCCCAAATTCTATGAACCAGTATGAAGGAGAACCTTATAAGAAATGTGAAAGCTACATTAACAAGAATCATCATACACGCATGTTTAATCCAAGTGAAGGGATGATGAATAACCCTAATAATTGGGCCAATTATAAGATGAGGAGAGCTGCATCTAAGAGTTCATATTTTCTTTTACAAAATGAGGGTCAACTGAACAATGATATTAGTAACTGTATCAGTTATGATAGTAAAAATTCCAATACAATGTCAAATGGGAAAGGAGCTGCAATGGAGTACAGAAATAATATGAATTATTTTGAAAACATTAACGAAGGTATCATGCATAGCGAGAATGGTTATGAATTCATGAATAACCAACCAAGCAACATAGGCAACAGCAACATCGGCAGTAGCAACATGAACAGCAGCAACAACAATTTCGGCAATTCGTGGATGATGCACCGACCGAAAAATTATTCAGGTGAGGAAAAAATACAAGTACCAATTAATACGAATGATGCTTATAGCAATATGAACACTAGTAACTATTTAATGGCACATAATAACAATGGTGCTGGGGAAGCAATCATCCATGGTTATAACAATATGTATAGCCCAATGATGTCTGGAAAAAATGGTGATGATAATAATGTTTTGAACACTAATGGATTGAATAACATAAACAGTGAGAATAATGAGCAGGTGAATGGCCATTGTGATATGAACAACATGATTCAGCAAAATGGGCTTAACAAGGACCTGGAAAATATGGATTGTGTGAATAATCAGAATGACCTTAACAATTTAAATAGTCTTATTTCCATGAATGGTGAAACACCTTTGAATAATCTGAACATGTTATTCATACCAAAAATTAAGGGAGTCCGTTTCGATAAGTCTGGAAGAAGATGGGTAGCTAGCTGGAGTCAAAATGGAAACCAAAAGAGGCAATATTTCCCTATTAAAAAATTTGGTCAGGCGCAAGCGAAATATTTGGCTATTTTTGCTAGAATAAAAGCTGTTAAATGTATGCAAAAAAAGCCACATGGATCAGCAGAAAATAAACGAAGTCAGTCAAAAAGGTCCCTAACGAAGGATAAAACAAAAATAGAATATAACGATGATGAGAATCGTGACAATGATGAGAATGATGAGAATGGTGACAATGATGAGAATGATGAGAATGGTGACAATGATGAGAATGATGAGAATGGTGACAATGATGAGAATGATGAGAATGGTGACAATGATGAGAATGATGAGAATGGTGACAATGATGAGAATGATGAAAATGGTGACAATGATGATGATGATTGTGAAAAGGAATTAATCGATGAACAAAGCGCGAGCAATTTTAAGAATGATAGTTATTTTAAGGAGTATGCCGATGTGGCATATAATGAAAGTGTTTACAAAGAATGTGTTTATAACGAAACTATGCACAATGAAGGCAGAAATGATTCCTCAGCAGAGAACTATCACAGATGTGAAAATGAACAAAATAATCTGACATCGAATGGAATAACTGTTATTAAAAACAAAGATCCAGCAAATTCACTGAATCATAATTTTCATGTGTACAAACCAATGGATATATCCCTGAATGGTATTGAAGATGAATATGACACAGGGAGGAATATGTGTGATACGAAGGCAAGAAGCGTGAACAATGAATATAATGATGTTGATGCTGGTAGTAGTGTCTGTAGTGGTCGAAATGATGGTAATGACGGAGATGGTAGACGTGATAATATCTTCGGCAGTGGTAGTGGCAAAAGCAGTAGCTGTGGAGGTAGTAAGGATAACAAGACTCAAAATGCTGGTGTTACTTGTTATGAAACTTTTTATTCTGAGGAAACAGGAGATAAAGAAGTACAAAGAGTGAATACAAACTATGAACTAGAGGAACAACGGATAATGCTGCCCATTGACTTTTATAATATGGGAAAAACAAATGGTGGGGGAGATGCTATAAACGGAGGGCATACAAATGGAAATCACGTACCTCCCAAGATGGTGATATCGAAGAACGTTCATTTAGATAATGAAAATTTAGAAATGTGTAAAAAAAAAAAAAATTCAAAGGAAGAAAAACGAGTGTGCGACGAAACACATAAGGGGGAAGATAACCAAGAAATGACAAATGAAGATTCACATTTGAATAGTATGTACAATTGTGACAAAGAATTTTATGAGGGCTGTAGAAAAGAGGAAATGAACAAGTTTCAGGTAGTTGTTGATAACTGTGCACTCATAAATGAATTAGATTCCAGTAGTAAAAACACATTTTGTGAATTTAATATGCCAGGAGAAACGATTAATACAGAAGCACATACGGATCATTTTTTCCAAAAGTGTGTTATTAATAATGGGGTTATGGAAAATCATGTACGTTTAAGAGAATTGTGTTATGAGAATAGATGGGGTGAAGAGTTTGTGCGTCACAGAGAAGGTGAAGTAGTAGTTCCTGAGGGAGATGATGCTGATGAGGAATATTTTGACTTTGAAGAGACGGAGGTACAAAAAATGGTGGGTGAAGCAATGGATGGATCGTCGAAAGCTGATGGGGGAAAGGTCCTGGGAACCAGTAACGAAATGGAAAAAGAATCAGAAATATATTTCGATATGGGAAATTTAATCAGACATGGATATACTATGAGGAGAGAGCAAAAAGAGGATGAAAAAGAGAACGATGTTATTTTTATGAGAATTAATTTAATTGAACAACAAGGATTGACTGACATAGAGGAAAGTATGGAATATAGCAACAACGTGGATGAAGATTTATTAAATCTGATTCTTATAGTTGGAAGATTGATAAGGAAAAATATAAAGATGTGTAGAGATTCAAATGAGGAGTTCATAATGAATTTGATAAAGGATAACACAACAGCAAACATAAGGAACAAAATGAATGAAATAAAGAAGCTGAAGAAAAACGAAAAGATTTTATTGTTTACTCATTTGAAGAATTATTACATTACTAAGTCTAATACAATTTGTGAAGGAAAAAGTATGAAATTATTGGCTTGTAGAAATATAGAGAGAAAAAATGTTAATAATAATGATGAGAACAATGAAGACGTAGACAAAAATAAAAGAAACAAACGCTTTAATGGAAAAAGTGTTATATATTCTAATGGCGTAAATAATATGAACGAGGAAAATCCTGTTCTACATGAAGGAAAGAACAACGATTCTAGAAAAAGAAATAAAAATGGGGATATGGTTTGTGTAACAAAAGGCATGCGTAATGAAAGGAATGAAGAAATAAATCATAATAATAGTAATATTAATATAAACTGTAATGATGAATCTTTACGAGAACATGGTGAAAATAAGTACATTTTGAAAGATACAGATTCCAACGTCAAGCTGATCATAAATGGTATAAATAATAGCACAGGGGATGATAATAATAGTGATAATGCAACTTCTGCCGCTAACGGTAGTGCTACTCCTAATGATGTTAATTTTGCAAATTTGATGAATGTTGGATGTTACTCAAATAACCGAAGGAATAAAAAAAATAAGGATGAAGAATGCAGTGAAGAAAATAATTCTGATGGTACTTTGAGCATCAGAAAAATTAAAAGACAAAGAAGTGGGGAATGTTCAGAAATAGTAGGAAATTTTGATAGTTCAATTCAATCGACGACCACGTCAGGATATTGTGATCAATTAGATAATTCTCTTTTGAACAATATTATGAATCGGAAAAGTTACAGAAATAGCGATGATATAAATTCAAGTACTACATTGGAACTAATGAATGAAGAAACACATCCAAAGACAGATCTATCCTGTTTTAATGAACAGGGTTCGTACAGTCACATGGATGTGTTTCTTAGTAACAATAATAACCCTTTGGTTTACAACCCAACGCATCCTACAACTACTGCCATTACTTCAGGAATTATTAATGTATCCTCTACAATGGACATGACGATCAACGAAGATTCTCTTTCTACAAATCGAATCAATAGCCAACAGATTGAGGGTGTTTTGGATAAATTATACACCCATGGAGGGTACTCAAGATGTGGGAAGAACACGCAAATGAGACCCTGTGGTAGTAGTAGTAGTAGTAGTAGTTGTTATGTCGAGATAGATAGTAAGTTACAGCATGCTAATAGCTTGCACATAGATAATGTACGATCTGGTAATAACAGCAATGTTATCATAGACTATAATCATGAAAAAAGTGTAAGTCGTTTAGGGAATAATTTAAACGCCCAGATGGATTGTAAACTAAGCAGTATGTCTAACAGAAGTGATGAATTTTTGGAAAGTCCACTTAGAAACAGGAACTCTTCAAATAGACAATTTATGCTGAAATCGTTCTCAAATAATCCTAGTCATTTTAGAAAAACACGCAAGGTAGACTTACCACTATTTGATAGCACTGAAATGATTAATAATATAAAATGCGACATTAACGAGAATCATGAAATAAATGGCATTAGTGGAAATTTTATTAATCCAGTTGTTGAAAGGGATAGCAGTTGTTTGAATAACCCATTGAAAATGACCATTAACAGAAGTTTGGATTGTAAAAGGAAAAATGCCCATGAGATGGAAGAAGTGGAAGAGGTGGAAGAAGAGGACGAGGTGGAAGAAGTGGACGAGGTGGATGAAGTGGACGAGGTGGATGAAGTGGAAGAATATGACAACGATGAAACAAACGATGCTGTTACTGATAACGTCAATACAATCAGTTGTTATTATGACAATACCAATAACAGCAACCATGGTGCATATACAGTCAGTAGTATGAAGAACATCTCCGCTCATTACAATAGCAGAAACGGTGGTTACCACAACGAAGGAAACATAAAGAGCATGGGACAAAATCAGCATCATCACATTAACAGTATGAACAACAACCATTCTATCATTGCAGGAGCAATAACAACTAACCATAGCCAAATGTATAATCTTATGAACCGCACATCTTACGCTAATAACGGTTGTATTGGTGCAAATATTGATGATCATATAACCAATAAACTTGTTAACAGAAATACTAATGGAAGCTTTGGTTATATAAAGAACCAAAATAGCAACTATAACACGGTTGAGGGGTATGAAAATTTACAAACCGATTCCCAACACGATTTCCAATCTAGTGGATCCCCTAGGAAAAACTGTTTGCACATTGTAGGAGAGGAAGAAGAAGAAAAAAAAAAGGATCTCTCTACACATGTAATGGTAAATGGTTGTAATTCTGTTTATAGGAAAATAAATTTTCATGACACACAATGTAATAGTGAAAATATAGAGCTTTATAAGAACACTCTAAATCAAGATTATGAACATTTACATAATAATGGAGTAGTACCAACGGTGGTGGTACCCCTCTCCCCTTCACACCTTAATTTAAATTACATTTCGAATTATGATAAGAGCATGACGAACTTGCTGCGTTCAAATGGAAATGTGAATGGCGGAAATAACAACAACAATGCAATTGATACAAATGAAAAGAACGAGATAGAAACGAATGAAGTGAATGATATTTGTCATAATTAAAGCAATGGTTTCTTAAGCAGAAGATATAACCCCAATGGGATTACTGATCTTACAGAATGATAACTGTACTTTTTTTCGGAGGCAATAAGGGAAAAAGTAGTCTCTTTTGTGGATAACGTGATTTCTCAAGGAAGAAGAGTATGCATAATAAAAAAATATCAAATGGAAATAAGGTTAATGCAAGACACAACAAGAAAAATAACTATTATATAGTGATGACAAGAACATGGATAACATTAATTAAAACGATAGTTCGAATAACATAGATGATGATAATGATGATAGTAGTAACCCAGTTGTTTTATATTTACAATATGTGAGTTTTCACTACCTTTTTTGTTTGAGACTTATTACTAAGAGGTATAAATATACTTTTTTTTTTTTTTTTTTTTTTTTTTACATTCATATGCCACCTTTCCCCATATGCTTAATTTATCACCCATGATGACTATTCACATATTTCTTTTCATTTTTTCCCCCAAAATTTTTATTTGAAGAATTGAAGAAATATAATGGTGATTCAAAAGATTGATATGTATGACATGCATATCTTATGGTTTAACTACACATCTACTACATAGATGTTGGAATTGCCTTTTTTTTTTTTTTTTTTTTTTTTTCTTTTTGTTTCCCTTTTTTTTTAATTCTACCTTTTTCGATTTTTCCACATCCAAGTTTTTTATTTTTTTACATTTCAAAAACGAAATTTATTTATAATGTTAATAATAAAAAGGAACCATTCTTTTTTAAAAGTCATTTTTTCAAACATTTTTTGAAAAAACATTTTTGAAGCGTTTTTTGCTTTATTGGATATGTAGTACTACACCTCCACACACACACATGACGCAACCACTTGTTGTATTTAACTTGTACTTTTCCTTCCATCCACAACAATTTGTCCATTTTTTTCCAAACAATATGTTTACTTCTGCGCGAAGAATGTAGACAATATTATGATTCTTAATATTTTCAACCACATTCCATAAACGTTACAAAAAAAAGTTTGATCATTTTTGAGTCATACTCAGAAGCATTGTCACTAAAAAATGACATTTCAATAAATATCCTACAATATTGTTCAACCGTAGGAAAAAACGTTTTGGCAAATGAATCGAAAATAAGGTCAAATGAGCGGGGAATTTGGTAAATTGCATGAAAACATTTTATTCCATAACATATAAATTTTACACCAACAAGAAAAAAAAAAAAAAAAAAAAAATAATATCGTATATACATAAATGGAGCGGATATATGCACTTGTAACATATATATGAATGCACACAATATATTTTCCTCCTTTTCTTTCTATTTCTTTTCTCATCATGAACACGCACCAAAGGGGAAGAGAAGGATAAAAAAGGAAAAGAAGTATAAAAAAAAAAAAAAAAGTTTGCATATAAGTCTCCCCTTTTTTTTTTCCCTTCTTTCTTTCCTTTCTTTTCCCCCTACAACTTACTATAAGATGTGAATTTGCCCTTTTTAGACACGTAATCTATAATATGCGTAGATATGTCACTTTCTGAATCAGAGTCACTTTCATTTTTCCTATCCATGTAATCATTTATATTGGAATTTTTTTTTTTTTTTTTCTTTAACTCCGATTTAACATAAGTATTAAGAACGTCTTTCATGCTAGTATTAAACCAACTAAAAATTGGATGCTTGTTTAAGTTTAATGACTTATTTAATGCGTCCTGAATATTTTCTGTTGTATGTAGTACATCTGAATTATCTTTTTTTATTAATTCAATAATGTTATTATTCAAATAGCCTCCATAGCTATATAATTCATCTGATTTTATTAGTTCTACTAAATTAGAGCTTAATTTTCTAACATCTACCTTTAGTTTTTCTTTCAAATATGCAACATAATTATTTTGTGTTGACTCTAAAATGTAAAATTCAACTATACACATACCTAATGATTTCCCATGTTTTTCATCTTCTAGTATTATGACTCTTTTCACTTTCCCAATTTGTTCACAAAAGCTTTTAATTACTATATCATTTATAAAATATAACAAATTTACTAATAATAAATATTCAATTTTGTGTTCTCTCTCATCAATGTCTTCACTTGCTTGAGGAGCTCCTAGGAATAGACATGGTTCTGTAAAACGTGAGTTTGTGAAAAAAAAAAAAAAAAAAAAAGAGGAGGGGAGGGGAGGGGAGAAAAGATGAACACATTTATGTGTAATGGATATACAATCGAAAGAAAATAAAGCATATTTTGTAACATTCATCAGTTTCTTCTCTGTTATTTGAGTTAATATGAAATGAATCCCTAGGCATGCATGTTGCACACTCTGGTTTATATGTATCTAGCCGCAAACGCATATTATTTTTCTGCTTTACAAAAATGTTAGTAGTATATATAGTACGTACCCTTTTTTGTGTACACAACCTTGGCACCACTTAATTTTTTATATAAACTTTTTCTCGATTTTTCAAAAAATTGCTAAAAAAAAAAGGTGAAAAAAATGGAAAATGAAGTAGAAAAAATGTGAAAAGGAATGGAAAAAACATTTCGATGTGTGTAAAATCCATTACTATAAAAGTTTATTTTTGTACACATGGAGTGTTGTTAATTTTTATGTTTTCCAATTTTGCGTTCGTCTTAGGTGTTACTTCTTTTGGCTTAACGATAGCTTTCTCGACTTCCTTTTTTTTTTCATCGGCTCTTTTTTCGTTTGATCCCTGTAGCTGTTCATATAAAAAATTAAATCAAATAAAAAGAAATGAAATAAAAAGAAATGAAATAAAATAAAGTCAAATAAAATAAAGTCAAATAAAATAAAGTCAAATAAAATAAAGTGATATAAAATATAGTGAAATAAAACGAAACCAAGCGAGGTGCATTCTTGAATTGGCAACACGTAAAGAACCCTTATGTGGCAAGAAAACATAACATCCGTTATTTGTGGAGTATAATTTATGTGCTTAACCCGTGTGTTATATATATATACACATCACCGCAGGTGGAGGTACTTACCAAATTGTCGACCTCTAACCCTTCATATAAATCTTCGTCATCTTCATCTATCTTGAAAAGGGAAAGAAATGAAAATACAAAATTAACAATGACAAGTAAAAAAAAAAATGAACTAACTTTGCTGTACTTTTCTTTAATTTTGACATTTTATGAGCTGCTACTTTTTTTTTTTTGTTTTTTCAAGTCTCTTTTTATTACCGTACCTCAGAATAATTCATGGGTAAACTGGGAAGAGAGAAGATAAGGAAATTGAACAAATGTCTGGTTGTACCAAGATATTACACTTATGATCCTAATTTTTTTGTGACTCCACTTTTGTTGACTTATATTTTAACACTCCTTTTTATCATACCTAATGAATGTATATACATGTGTATATATATGTATGTATATATATGTATGTATATACTCACAAAAGCATGCAGAAGTATGTTAGCACATCCACACTTTCCTTAGTGTTGTGGGATACCAAGATTGTGATCATTTGTAGGTGGCGAAAAACGTAGATGCTAATAGATTCCCTCTAATCCTATACGACACTAAATGAAAAATTTACATGTGCATCTGAAAGAAAGATTTTCCTGTTAATTCTTCAATGAAGAAGAGGCAGGGAGGAATGCTGTAATTCCATGTGCTTTTTTTTTTAACATCTAGCGTGTGAAGAGTGGATGGTGAAACATGCACATGGGTGAAGAGCATGGGGGATTGAGGAATTTCTCATTTTTGAAATGTTCACATTTATGAACTTTTTTTCATTTTCATGCTTGTGCCATTCGCCTTTTTTTATTACCTAAGATGAACGGGAAATTTTCATATTCAAGCTCGAAAATATACTAGCTCTTATGCACTTGGTATTTAGAAAAATTTTCTCTTCAAAAGTAATATAGGTGTTCGCTCATAATGTTTGGTCAAATTTTCATCTTGGCCATCTCATGTTGAATCGACGCTATGGCAGGTGATATGCAACAGCCTTTTTACACAAGCGGCATGCAATGTTAAGAAAAAATAAAATAAAATAAAAGAGTAAAAACGGACGAACTTAAAAGCATAAAAAAGTGAACGAACAAGTGCACAAGTAGAAAGGGGAAAAAATCAAAAAAAAATAAGATACAATGGACCTTCTTCACTTCTGCCTCCCCATTTACATAATCAATCTATTCTAACAAATGGGTGTTATTTCAGTTCACATTCGAAAATGCAGGGAAAAGTCCTACATAAATAAGTTGTTTTATTCATATGGGTCGAAAACCATTTGAGAGGTCGTGGTAAAACCAATGTGTTATAAAATGGCTCTTGGTGTAATGTATTTTTTTTTTTTTTTTTTTTTTTTTTTTCCTATTTTTTTCCCTTTTTGGTAAAAATAAATAAATCATTCGAACTGTCAATGACTTCTTATTTATTCACATCATAAAAATAAATAAAATAAAATGATGAAAAAACTGAATAAATGTTACGAAATTTTTGATTGAGTCAAGGCCACTCAAAAGATCAGTAATGATTACACTCAATTTGTGATGAAGCCAAACACAAATTCTGCATTAAAAGAAGAATAACACATACAAAAGAAGAAAAAAAGTCATACAACACGAATGGGGGGGGAAAAAAAATAAAAGAGGGCGAGAAAGAGAGATAAAGGAAGAAAGAGAAAGAGGAAGTTTAAAACAAACTTTACAAAGATATTTTACTATCAATTGAAGGTGTAATTCATTTATCTCCCAAAAAAAAAAAAAAAAAAAAAAAAAAAAAAAAAACAAAATAATATAAAAAAAACTATTTATATACAAAAAAAAAAACTTAAATATTAAAAAAAAAATTTAATTTATCTCCAAAAAAAAAAAAAAAAAAAAAAAAAAAAAAGAAGCCAGAATGATGTGATGAAACTCTGTTTATTCATACATAAAAATCACTTATGTATTAAAAAAAAGATTATTCTCCTTTGTAAACAAATAAAAATATCCCATACACTTTCCAAAAAAAAAAAAAAAATTTCATATTCTCATATCTTCGATAAAGATTTTTTCAGCACCACATTTTCCTCCATATCACACAACTTTATTTTTTTTTCTTTTATTTTTTGTACATTTTACACATTCTCTTACATGTAACATTTTTAAAAAAGAGAATGGAAAAAACATGGAGATGTAATTCATGCCTTGTGGTTAACACGGAGGACACCTTAGAGTGTGCATGTTGTATGCAAAAGAGAAGTAATGATACCAATGTTGAATTGAATAATACAGATGGGAAAACAAATGGCAGCATTATGAACACTAACAGTGAAAACGAATGTGATAACTTAAGTGATGATGAAAAAAAAAAAAAAAAGGAAAATGATGAGAACTCTTCTATAAATACAGACACAAATATTGAAGCTCATGCCACAAATTCAACAGAGGATACTAAACATAGCGAAAATACAAATGAAGGCAAAAGTGGTATATTTGATGAAGGTGGATTTATACCATCCCTCAAACCATCAAATGATAAATCTTCCACAAATAAAAGTATTTTCTTAACCGATTTTACAAATAACGACACAGCTATGGATACAAACTCTACCACTATTACAAGTCACCAAGACACTAATGGACATGTTAAACAAAACAAAACATTAGGAAATTCCCCTGGAGGTAGAACCAAAAAATCTATTTCAAAAAATAGAGAAAAAAAGAAAACAGACAGACGAGAAAGAACACCATCTACGCGAATACAACCAACTCGAAAATGCACACAGAAAAAAATATGCTATAAGACATAGACAATTTTCAAAAGAATGTGCATGTATAATATTTACATATACCTAATCCTGCTTACAGATCAATCGCAATTTTCTTTTTTAACATGTTTTTACGTGAACAGTGCACTGTGTAGGGTTAACTTGTTGAGATGTTTATCTTATTTTATTGTTTTTGCCAACTTATCAAAAAATATACTCACCCCCACCCCCCACCCCCATGTGCTGACCCACTTTCACACTTATGTACCAACTTATCCGATCATCTGATCATTTTATCCGTACATTTATGCATTTATTTTATATCATTTTTTTTGACCAACATGCCTTCGTATAAGGAACTAAAATAATTTTATTCCATTTTTTTAATTTTGGCCATTTTTAATTCCATTTTATGAATGCGCTTCTTTTTCATTTTTTTTTTTTTTTTACCACTAAAAGCCAGCACACACACAAATGTGCATATATATATATGCACATTCACATGTCGGAGCTGAAAAAAGTGTTACACGTTCACATGTGCAATGGTGAAGTTATACTCAATTTTAACTCATCCTGTTGATCAGCACAGTGTACAAAGTAAACTCCAATTCAGAAGGAGCCATAAAGGTGTTGGCATGTGTGTAAAATGAGAGGAGGGTATATTACATCAGATGTAGCTATACACATATGTAATAATTTTACAATACTACGTTAAGTGCGTATATATTGTTATTTATTTTTGCACTATGATTTTAACATATATATTTTAAGCTTCATTCATTCAAGTAGTAACGATTGTAAAAGGGGGGGAACAGAAAGGACATGTTGTCTTTCCTTTTTTTTTATTTTTAACATGGGTGTTCAAACGAAAAGCTGAAAAAGAGTACTCATGAGTATACCAATTAGTGCACATAATTATGTACAGTGAATAAATAAAAGAATAATAAAAAAAAAAAAAAAAAAAAAAAAAAAAAAAAAAAAACGAAAAAAAAACCCACAATGAGCAATATGATAGAACACACAAACTCTGAAAGTACAACTTTAAATGTTGACTTGTTTATGTTGGGAAAAGACAATCCACAATGTTCTCTTGTTTGTAAATATAATTTTTGTGCTCAAAAACATGGGCAAGGGGAAATATTCTTCTATTCTCGATTGAGATCATATGACTAAGACTTTTTACACATTTGTATTTTCATCATAATCGGAACTCTTTGATGTGGGTTTCTTATCATGGTATATTTTTTTAATAATCCGAAAATCTACCTCTCTTGGTACTTCAATAGGTTTAAAAGTGTTAATGAAAAAATTCAAAATGTAGTAATTACTTCCTACATATGTTACAATAGTTGGTAACATGAACAGACCTAAAACGTATATTATTTTCGCCCTCTTATTTTTTATGTGTTTACTATTTGGTTTGTGATATCCACTGTAAAAAAATGCCATTTTTTTGGTTTTATTTTTTCAAAAAAAAAGATAAAAGTAAAAGTAATGCTACAAAATTGTATCCGTTTTTGATAGATATTCTCCTTTGTTTTCACATTAAAAAGAAAAAAAAAGTAAACTCAAACATGTTCACAGTTATGTATATTTTCACATTTGCCTATTGTTCACATATAGATGTGTGTATATAAAATTCCTATAAATTTTCATCCTTTAAAACAAATTCTATTTTTGTAAATACACTAAAATTTTCCCTTTTTTCTTACACATCCCTGATGACTATGAAACAGTCCACTGTTCTTCAGTTGTTATTACATATATATCCTGGGGTGTTTGCATCCACAGACATCCATGTACATGTAATACTTTGATATAACTTGTGTACATAAACAAGAGGCATGCATATTTCTCATAGTTAATCTTTGATACCTCTTCGTGACTGCGTCGATTTTATATTTTTAAATTCTTCGCTTCTTTGCATTCGCTTTTACGATTATATATACGCATTATCTTGGTATTGAATATTTGATCCTTTGTCCTCAATTCAGCTCTCTGCTTTGTTGTCAATTCAGCTCTCGGCTTTGTTCCTAATTTTTTTTTTTTTTTTTTTTTTTTTTCTAACTTACGAGTGATATTTTCTTTTGAAATTATGAATTATTTTTTTTGGAACCCATTTAAACAAATTCATAAGATCAGTAGCAACGTGACAACTTATCGAAATCACAAAGATTTTCAAATATATTTCAGAAGCGTATTGAAACAAGACTATAAACTTTGAGGTTTGTGGGGAAATGATCTATTTTTATTAGTCGCTAAGAAAAAAAAGAAAAAAAAAAAAAAAAAAAATTTTAAGCATATCAAATACACAAAGAAATTAAAAAAAAAAAAAAAAAAAAAAAAAAAAAAAAAAAAAAAAAAAAAAAAAAAAAAAAAAATTTTAAGCATATCAAATACACAAAGAAAATTAAAAAAAAAAAAAAAAAAAAAAAAACGCTTGAATATGTGTACATATTCCAATACAGATATGTAAAAACACATCATTACATTTTTACATCCTATATAAAAACGGGAGGGGGAAAAAAATAAAACAAAAGGATAAATCCCCCCCCCCCCCCTCCACCTCAACGGAATTAAAAAGGAAAATGAAAGACAAAACAGTTGGAAACCTAATGGACCAGATTTTGTATGAGCTTGAAACATCAAGAGAATTTATTAAGGGCAAGTTTGAAAATAGAGAAAAGCATGAAAAGGATGATGAAAAAAATGGAGAAAAAGATGGAGAAAGCCAACATTTGCTTGAGGTAGAACCAAGAGAAGTTTACAAAAAGTACAAGAGCGTATTAACTGCAATTGATAAAAAAATTAAGTTTTATAAAAATGTGAACGATGAATTGATGAACGCAAAAAATGAAAATGGCATCAAAGATAAGTGTGAGAAAAATAATGAAAATGGAAAATGTGACAAAAGTAGCACGGACTCTAAAATATCAGCTAGTAGAAAGGGTAATTTTTTTGAAGAATATGAAAAATATAAACGCAGACTGCACAAAATGAAAAAGAAAACAATTGCAGGATATACCACCGAGGGAAACGCAATAATTATAAACAATGAAAAATTTTCAAAACTTTTTATGAATTATAATTTTATTAGGGACAGAAAAAATGGCACTAAAGACATGAGACATCATTTTTCACATCACAATGGGAAAACTAATGAAGATGATGAAAATGAGGTTAGTGGAATAGATAGAATGACACACTGCAATGATATAAATGATCAGACTGGAATGCCTGACTTAAGCGAACAATCATGCTCTAGTTCTAGCATCGTTTCTCTACACAGTTTCATAAAAAGAGAGAAAATCAAAAGAATAAAAAAAAATAGAGAAGAATATGTAAAACATAAATATCATGACAATGCATATGTTATTCACAAATTGTATTCTTGTAGTGACTGTTCGTCTAGTTCTTTCAGCTGGTATAGTGATGAATATGACGACTTGTTCTACTATTCCAATTTGCTGAAGGAGGACAAACAGTTGAGGAAGCATGCGCTGAAATTTAACCGTAGAAACGGAGAAACCAGTGAAGTAGAGAAATATGTGCATAACCAGGTGAGTCAATCAGAGGGTAGTGAAGGGTGCAATGAAAAGCATAGCGAGAACAAAAGAGAAAAAAAAGGCGAAACAGAGGGAGAGAAGAAAAATCGTGAAAACAAGGACAAAAAAGAGGGCCAAGGACAAACGAAGATGGACCTCGATAAAATCGCCGAAGAATCTCCCTTCTACAATCACATCTATTTCAAGTATGCAGAGACAGATAAAAGGAAATTATACCCCGTTTTTATAAATATCATAAATGGGAAAAAGAAATTATGCAACTTAAAAAAAATTAGTAGACACAAATACAAGAAGAGTTATGAACCAGAAGAGGTAAATAAATACGAATTAGATAACGCATTATTTAGTTACAAAAATACCAAACATCTTCCATCCGTTGAATATGAAACAAAGAAAAAAGGAAACCAAATTATGGAAGTCCAGAATGTCGAAATGTTTAAGAAAAAACATTTTGACTCAGACGAATTCAACTAGTAAGAAATCAAAAAAAAAAAAAAAAAAAAAAATGAAAGTCATATGGAGAAACATGTTCACCAATTTGTCTCACACCGTATGCACACAAAAATATGCCAAAAAAAAAAAAAAAAAAAAAATTTAGCCCATAAGCAGAGGCATCATATAGAGATGAATGAGCACGCATAGACTAAAGATCAGTGCAAACAAGAACTCCTCCTTTTTCGTATGTACCTAATTTTTTTTTTTTTTTTTTTTTTTTTTTTTTTTTTTTACACCTTTACATAATTCATTGTATCGCAGCTCAATAGACAAAATTATGCATCAACTAGAGAAAATCTCGAGCTCTGAAAAAGAAGGCAATAAAAAATTCAATCACTCTGATCACTTTAACAATTTTATTAAGAAAAATAAAGAATATCTAAAACGGGAAAAGTACGACACAAAAAAATAAAACAAAGCAAAGCAAAACAAAACAAAGCAAAAAAAAAAAATAGAGTAAAACATCTCTTATTACACACCCTATGGGCTCGTATCATATGCATATATTTTTTTTTTTTTTTTTTTTTTGTAGCAATTTTTCCTTGCAAAAGCTATGCCAAGTGGAAAAAATAAGGTAATGAAAAAAATCTACTTACTCAAATGGGCAACGATAGAAGCAGCAAAAAGGATAATTGGCCAAGCAGAAAAAAGTCCAATCGGAGAAACAACCAAATCATGACACATTTCTACACATGTACTAAAAAAATAATTCAACTCCTTGTTTATATAGATTAAAAGTAAAGATAATAGGAACCGATGGAAAAGAAATCAAAAACAAAAGTTTGGACAATGTTCTTATAAACAAGGTAAAAACAAAATTGGTATATATATACAAATACATATGTATCCTTTTCCCCACAGCACGCAATCTATATATATATATCCAACATATATATATACAATTATATATATATGTTGGATATATTTTCATTTCATCTTTTTTTACTCCATGCATACACATGTTGCGTTTTTTTTCCCCCCTTCTTCTCCCACCTGAACGCAGAATAAAACCTTTGGCGATTTGGCTTCCCGATTGGGTAATTCGTTTAAGTTACCAAATGACAAAATAGAAAAAATAAAAATATATTTTGATGGAGACTTATGCGATAAGGATCTTACATTTGGTAATTTTATTTAACAAAATAGGAGAAACCTATTGGAATAGAGAACACCTATGTGTTTTTATGTTTTCAGAATATCCACTCTTGTTCATGCGTTTTTTTTTACATGTCCCAAAGAGAACAAAATTTGCACCTATTTTCAAACACGTTTCAACCTATCTATATCAGATAATGAGGAGCTAGGATTGGAAGATGGCTATCAGATAGACGTGAAGTTCCCCTTGACTGATGTAAAAAAAAAAATTACCCATTTCTTATTAACATGTTCATACTGATGATGATTCCTTTCCCGTTGTATATTTCTTTTATTATACATACTATCTTTGAATATATAATGGAATAACTGTAACTATGTATCTATTCACTTTACCATTTTATTAATTTATTTTTTCTGCTTCAATAGGACATTGCCAACAAACATGATGAAGAAAGTTTCAGCGATGATAACTACGTGCTCATACTACCTGACTCATACGTTATTGATTAGACAATAAAAACTGGAGATTTACTACTCTTCATCTTTTTTTTTTAAGGAAAACAAAAATGCTTTTTTTTTTTTTTTTTTTTAAGTTAATTGTAAGGTATGTAATTATTACAAAAAAGCTGAATGAATAACAAAGTGAAGAATATATATGATGTGCATCGTTAATTTTCCTTTTTTTTTAATTTTATCAAACTCTATAAAAGTACATACGGTACTAACTATATTTGTACATATTATGTACAAGATGGGTTAATACAAATTACCATAACATATCCTCATTTTATTATAATATCATAGATACACATTTTAAAAAAAAATAACACTTTGAGACTGGAATGTTGGAAAAATTGTCCGAGAAAAAAAAAAAAAAAGCATCCTCTTGGTAATATAAACAAATGATGAACTCTACATTCATCAGGTCTGATATGCATAACAAAAAAAAGTAAAATAAAATGAAATAAAATAAAACAACAGTGCAAACTATAAGCAAAAAAAATAAAAAAATAATAAATAAATGAAATATAATAACAATATATATTACAAATAAAAGTATATAACAACCCTTTCGTTATAAGCAAGATGGTTGCAAAAACAAACGAAAAAACAAAAATAAAGATTGCAAAAATTGATTGACACACCTTTCAAAATAACTATGATATAGGTGTCAATTGAGATTTTATATACACAACAGTAGGCATAAATAAACACATTCAGATATACTTATGTATGTGTATATATATAGTGCACACCTGCTCTTGAGGGAAAACGTTGCACTAATAAAAGACGACTCAAAAATCCATCGGAATGTTTTGCCATGCCTGAAGAGATTTCTCATTAAACGTACATCTTTGGGCATACTTAGAAACTTTCAAAATACCTATATAAGCATATTTACAATTTACAATATTATGAACATGTTCAGGAAATAGGATATAATCATCAGGTGTCACTTCAGTATACTTGAGTTTGTATTTTTCCTTATTTATTTCAATAATGGTATATAAACTCGTTTTTTCTTTTAATAGATCTACAACATGCTGCATAATAATCTTTGGGTCCATATCAACATCTTCCAATACTAATTTTATAATTTTCTTATTATTATCAATATTTTTAATTGTTTTTAAATTATCCAATTTATCTTTATATGATAAATTAAAGCCTCTCAATGAAACCATATTTTCTTTCTCTTCCCTAATGTCATCACATTGTGTTACGTCATTTACTTTGTCATTTGTTTTCTCATTATTTCCTATATTATTTACTTTCATGTTTTTTTTTTTTTTTTTTTTTGATAAATTCTGATATAAGTTTTGCATAAAACAAAGTTTTAAAAGGTTGTCTACCTTTTATGTGCCTCCTCTTTTTCTCTTTTTTAATTTTCAATCATAAAGTGTCACCATTTAGTCTCTCTCTCTCTCTCTCTCTATATATATATATATATATATATATATATATATATATATATATCTATGTACGTGAATATATTAAAAAATAATTACAGTTTTCAACATAATAAAGGAAAAGAAGGGGAAAGGCACTTTTATTTTTTATGTTTTATATATTAGGATTATATAAACAAAGTTGGGGCTTTTCCTCCTTTACTTCACAAGACAATATCCATAAATTGAAGTTTCATGTCATTCTTTTTTTTTTTTTTTCTTTCCCTTGATTTTACGTAAAAATTTGATTTAAAAGGGAATTTTTTCTTTTTTTTTCCACTAAAACGATGTAATATACATGTAGTAAGATTTTGCTTTAACTTGGAAATCAGAATGGACACATAAAACTATGAAAAATAAAATATATACATAAGTACTTCTGCATTCATGGATATAAATTTGTATGCGATTGTTTAACCTGCTACTTAAAATGAAGCTGTTATAGTTATAGTTCATGCTCGCAGGTAATTTTCATAAATTTTTTTTTTTTTTTTTTTTTAAATATATTTATTTTTGCATATAACTCTATCTAGGAAATTATTTTTTATCCTACCTCCTTTCAATTTCCGAAAAAAAATAAATTTTAGATGCACTTTTGAGGGATATACATAATCCTATATATAGAGCTGCACTACATATATATATAGACATATAATAAAGCTTTTTGTTTATTTAAAAGCATGTTCACCAGTTCACAATGCATTGGCCTTTTACTCCACATATATACTGCGTAAAAAAAATGCTCATCCATCCATCACTATTGTTACATGTTAAAATTATGCACATAAAGAGGTGGGTATAAATCCTTTCGCTAGGCTGAGAAATGTTCATGAATTTTACGATTCAATTTATATAATATAATACATGTTTTATATGCATACTTTTTTTTTTTTTTTTTTGGAAACGTTCCACAATTTTGAGGCAACAATTTACTCTTATCTTTTTTTCTCTTTTTTTTTCTTTTTTTTGAAAGTGCAGCACTTTATTTTCCTTTCCGGGTCCCTTTTTTATTTAATATGGCATAGTAAAGGGCAAGGGGAGGTAAACGTGGTGGTTGCTTGTAAGCTCTAATGTTTCCACATATAAGTCGTAGCAAAAATATATATAAAGGTATTTATTAGGGCTCGTTCCTTTTTTACGTACATATAGAAATTTGCTATTTTCTAAATTAATATCACACGTTTTATGCATATTAGGTGTATTGAGCGTTCCCCTCCCCCTCTCCAAAATATGTACTTTGTGTCAAACATAACCCGTAGGCCTCTCACATATTTATATATATAACGTTAATATCATATATACATATATACGTGCGTAGCAATGTTACATATGTAATAATGTTTCATATTTGTTCCATATATGTGTGCTTATATTGATGGAGAAGCATTTTACTATCCATACGTAGATCCAAGCGGTTACAGCTATTTTCGGCACATCTTTCTTCAGCCTACGGAAAAAAGAAAAAAAATAAAACAACGAATTATAATACAAAAAAAAAAAAAAAAAAAAAAAAAAAAAAAAAAAGGGGAAGGAAAAGGAAAAGGAAAAGGAAAAGCATGAGAAAAAAAAAAAAAAAAAAAAAAAAAGAGCAGAAGATTGCAACACAACAAGCGACTTGCTGCGACATTTTTTCATTTTACATTTTTTAAAAAAATAAATATTTTCAATTTTAAATGATCATTTTATCACTAACTGAAACATTCACATTTAAAGTGTTCAGTAAAATTTAAGAAGAATTTTAAAAAATAAGAGAGGAAAAAAAAAAAAAAAAAATAATAATAATAATAAAAAGGCCTTTTTTATTTAATTTGACTTTAGCCAATCCCTGAATATAAGTTTACGGAGAATTTACCGATATCCACCTAGTTTTTAACATCCACACAAAGCATCGAATCATGGTAATTATTTTCGCATACATATTTTTGTATACCTAATTGAAAGTTCATTTTTTTTTTTTTTTTTTTTTTTTTTGTGCGTTCTTACCCATGTTACATATAATAATGGGCCATGATATATGCTCTCACACTTGCCCAATGTATTAAACATATTTCGTTATATAATACCTCTTAAACATGTGTAAAAATTCAATAATCATCGAGTGACACAAAAAAACATACATATGAAAGAAGAGAACTATATCTCACCCACACTTTCATCTGATATTACATTGGATTTAAAGAATCATTCTTTCTTCCCAAATTTCCTGTACACGCGCCAGAAGAATTATCTTTTCTTCTGTTTTGTATTTGTTTTACGAATTAAAATCAATGAACTGAGATAGCATGTTGTTGATCATCTTATCTTACTTGACCCTCGCCATTAAGAGGAAACAATAAAAATATTACTCTCCATGTTGTCTCGTTTAGTGTTTTTCATTTAGTGAACTCGATTGGTATATTCACTTGAGTTATAACTATTTTTTTAACTAAACATGGATCGCATATATTAACACATTTCTCCATTGATTATACTCCTTTTTTTTTTTTTTTTTTTTTCCCCCCCCCCCCCCTCTCCTCTCCTTCACAGGAAGACGCAAATAAACCAAAGAAGAGAACATTCAGAACATTCCACTATAGAGGTGTGGAATTAGATAAGTTATTGGATTTGAGTCAGGACGAACTAATTAAACTTTTTAAAGCAAGACAGAGAAGAAAATTCAAAAGAGGAATTAGCAAAAAAGAAAAATCTCTTTTAAAAAAATTAAGAAAAGCAAAGAAAGAATGTGAAGTCGGAGAAAAACCAAGAGCTATTCCAACACACTTAAGAAATATGACCATTATTCCAGAAATGGTTGGCTCAGTTGTTGCTGTACATAATGGGAAACAATATAATAATGTAGAAATAAAACCAGAAATGATTGGATATTATTTAGGAGAATTTTCAATTACATACAAACATACCAGACATGGAAAGCCAGGTATCGGGGCTACTCATTCGTCAAGATTTATTCCATTGAAATGAAAACCAGCGCATCAGCAAGACATAACAAATGTAGCGTATATCGGTATGAATTATGTATACATATATATACATATGCATGTATATACATATATATGCATGTATATATATATACATATATATATATATAATTACACACATACACAGAGTGTGTACTAATTTGCATAAGCACACACGTATCTGCACGTGAAAGCCGTTCATTCTGCTACAACCAAAATAACAGAAAAGACAAAAGAATAAAATACCAATTTTTCAGCAGTTAATAAAGTTTTGAAGAGAAAGAAAGAAAAAACAAGTGAGAAAAAAAATATTCATAAAAAAAAAAATAAATAAATAAAGATGCATTTTTTTTTCTTATATGTGCTGAATTTTTTTTTTTTTTTTTTTTTTTTTCCCATTAATTGCTAAATTCGTGAAAGTACTTTTAACTTGCATTTTTAAAAGCAAACATATAATATGTAAGAAGAAGGACTAAAAAAATAATAAATATTTTGCTCCCATTTTAAGTATACGAATAATGTGTCATTAAGGGAAAGGTTTAGAAAGTTATATATGGAGTTCATTTAATCGCATATTCTTAAGTTAACATTTATATAGCAAAAAAAAAAAAAAAATAAATAAATAAATAAGTAAAAATTCACACTCAGCATGAGTAAATAAACGTATACGTAAACGGGGTATTATTGTGATAGGTATGTAACCTAACCATGTACCTTTCAAACACACATGCACATTTTTTTTTTGAAGATCTCATTAAATATATATATACTGCACAAATTTGTAAGTAGAAATATAATCTGCGTTTGTATTATTGACACATAAATCAAAAAATCCACAAATGGGTTTTCTTAAAGATAACAAAAAAAAAAAAAAAAAAAAAAATTCCAGTAAAAACATTCGCAAGAAAAATTGAAAACGAAATCGATAACAACACGATTCACAAAAAGATTGTCGAAAATTCCTTCTGTTCCACAGAGGGCAGTATGTCCGTTTCTTTTTTTTTTTTAAAACTTAAAAAATTTTTTAAAAAACCCAAGAGAGAATCCTCCATTTCCAAATTAAATTTACTCGGGTTGGTATAAAGCATATGAGGCTTAAGAGATGAATCGTTGTTGAAGTTGTAGTGGTACACGTTCGAATAATATTTCAAATTGTCGCATAAATGGTTGTTCAGGAGGATTATCTCGTAGAATATATGATTGACCATGTACAACTCCTTTCTGTTTAGCGTATTCATATTTATTTGATACTTGTTTGGTAAGCATTCCTGAAGGCTGAATAATTTTTTCGTCGAACATGATACATTGGTATCTTCACCTCTTTGGGTGTCATTCTCAAACGTATTAGTCACATTCATGTCCAAACCCTGTGGGATATTAATATCCTTTTCTGTCCTATGTATCTCCACACATAACGACTTATCAGCCGCCTCTGTCATAACAACACAATGTTGATGCTGCTGTTGATGTTGATGATGATAATCTTTTTCCCTCTTCACATTTTCCAAATTGTGAACAAAATTTTTCTCCTTCTCAACATAATCGTTTTGATCCACCTCCCATGCTCCTCCTCCTCCATCACGTAATATTTTGGCATTCGCCCTCAAAATTTCTACGATTTTATTTTTGTCAAAATTTTTATTCAAATTTTCATAGCAAAAAAAATCCTTCTTGATGTCTATGTTCATAAAAACAGAAGCAGAAAGTGCCATTGCATCTTTCAGTTCACTTTTGAAACAAATCAACAAATCGTATACCACACTCAGGATGTTTATAGATATGTTATAAGACGTTAAGCAAGCAACACGGAGAAGTTTTTTCAAAAAAGATATTATATAATGTATTGGGATCATTTGATTTTTTATGGATACATGAATTATTTTTAAAAAACTTGTATCCGCGTAGTAAAAACTTGCCGGTGTTATAAGTTCAAACAATCTCTTATAGTAATCTGTGTACATGTTATCATTTAACTTTTTCTCCCCTTTGTCATCACTGTTTAGATCATTACTTCCTTCCTCACTTTCATCTGTGCTGTTGTTTTCGTCTTGTACATTTTTTTTCTCTATATCCTCTTGTTCACTTTGATTGTCGTCCTTCTTGACTCCATCAGCCTCCGCATTCTCAACATTAGAGGATATGTTAACAGTATCTTCCTTGTCCAATAAATTTCCTACATTTAATTCGGTCAGAATATAAAATATACCAGGGAGAGAGGCAAGAGAAGTGTACAAACTTGGTGAAGAGTAAAAGGAATAATTAAAAAAATCAATTAAATAATAAGGATTATTTGTATATGGAAATACACATATAGGAATTGAATGCAACAACTGCAGAATCATGGAATGTTTATGATTAAATGTTGTTATGAAATAAAACCAACAGCTTGAATATAATCTAGCATATATTCTTTTTTCTACATTTGCACTTATAAATAAATTGTTCTTTCTATTTTTCATTTTAAACTCCAATTTGCTCTTTCTCCTTTTGATAACATCATAGTCTTTAACTTGATCTTCGTCAAGTATGTTTTCATACTCTGCATCGCTATTGTTTGTTTGATGCATTAGATTGGCATTTTGTAAAAAGTTGGAATCCTCATGGATGCCATTCTCGCTAGTCTCACTGTTCTTGTCAGAGGAAGACCCATCCGTAGATTCTTCTTTAGATGAATGTACAATACTATCATCTGTGTCGTAATTATGAAACGTTTTCTTCATTTCTTCCTTGTCGTATGATATGTTCTCTCTCTTTTTTCGATCGATTCGTCTCTTCTTCCGTTTTGACATCCGAACTTCCTCATCATTCAGATCCAAGCACAATTCATCAATTCTACTTCTCTTCAAAAAATCTTTATTCCTAATGTGAACTTCTCTGATTTTCTTTTCTGGTTTTATAGAATTAATTAAAATGCTAAATATTAACAGATTTGTATTCGGATTATCTCTCAGTATATCTTCATGACAGTTTCTTGGCCCTTGGTTCTTCTCCAATTCTTTTTTATTTTCTCTCTCTTTTGACAAATCTTCACCATAACAAACATTATCATCGTCGCTGTAAAACTTTTCATTCCAAATACCTTTTTTTAAAACACAGAACGTTTTAAGAATGTGTAAAAAATAATAATTTAAATCATAATAAAAACACAAGTAACTTTTGCAAATGTATTTCATTGTGCTGACACTAATATTGTCAATTCTTAATAATTGGAATATTATTTTTCTAAATAATTTAATAGGAAATGCTTTTCTAGAATTATTTTGCCTCTTATTTGATTCAATAAATGTCCTTTGATTATTCTGAGTGGGAAAAACCTTATCATCCCCTTCATTCATATACAGATCACTTGATGCATAGTTATCAAACGCAGTATCGTTATTATTCCCTATTTTACTTTTTTTTTTTTCCATCTCTCGAATTATTTTGTCATATATCTTGGATTCAAACTGTAGACTGCCAAAAAGGAGAGACAAGCTCTTAGTCACAAAAACTTCATCATTATGTTTCAATAACTGAAATAACATATTTAGGAATTTCTCATAACATTCATTTAGCCACTGTTCATATTTTGTATAGTTTTTCCTACTCTTTTGAAGTATAATCAAATCTGTCTTGAAAATTCTCCTCAAACTGGTATTATCCTCTTCGTCACAACTGCTACCTGTGGAACTCCAGTTAGCAACTGTCGAATCATATAACAATTTTCGCTTCATCCGTTCATTATATAACAACAAAAACAACTCTGTTAGTTTGTTCAAAATGGTTTTCTTACTCTTCACATTTTGTAAAATGGTGAATAGGGAACAAATGTCACGTACGACAGATGTACATGTGTTACTATCCCCAGCAATTTCTTTCATTTCAGAGTTTTTTTTTTTTTTTTTTTTTTTTTACATCTAGTGTTATGTAGAGAAAGTTGAAGTAAGAAATGTTAAAAAATAAATTACGTTAAAAAATATATTATGTTAAAAAATAAATTACGTTAAAAAATATATTATGTTAAAAAATAAATTACGTTAAAAAATATATTATCTTAAAAAATATATTATCTTAAAAAATAAATTATGTTAAAAAAATAAAAAAAAATTAATGAACAAACAATTAAAAAGTTGGAATAATAATAATAATAAATATATATATATATATATAAACTGCATATTCTCTTTTGATATATTTTTTTTTTTCTATTACTTAAATGAGTTGTGGCTTTTCTTTATCCCCTACTATTGGGTTATTAATGACATGGAGCTAATGACTTGTGAGAACATCACAAATGAATCTGCCTTATTTACGCATTCAATTTATGTAAGACACTAAAAGTATGATTAGTAAAAACTGCCACTTTGAAGTGAGTTTACCATGACATATTCAGTGCCTTAGGATGAGGAAAAAAAAAAATACATACATAAATACGTACATAAATACGTACATAAATACATACATAAATACGTACATAAATACATACATAAATACATACATAAATACATACATAAATACGTACATAAATACGTACATAAATACGTACATAAATACGTACATAAATACGTACATAAATACGTACATAAATACGTAGATGCATACATACACATATATATATTCTGTATAGGTATATGTAATCATTCAGCAATTGGTCAATGCACATGTCCTCGCTGCCACCACACAGGGCTTCGAAAAATTTTGATGTCAGGAAAAATGAACCCCAAAATTGAAAGATCCCTACAAACTACATGTAAGGATCTTGTTTTCCTTTTCATGAATCACACCCTTTTTTTTTTTCATTTTTTTTTTTTTTTTTTGAAAAGTAAAATGGACATGGTTTCGAAAATGTTTTATCAGCTTAATAAAGATACATGTTGACTAAGTGGAATTTAATTGAAATATGAAAATTCAATGGATAATATCCAAACGGAATGAATTTTCCAGCTAGTGAAATTTTTTTGCCCCAAAACATATTGTGTACCTGTCATATTATATCATCATAAATAACTCATTTTTTTTTTGTTTCTCCAACCTCACGATAATATATTCTTGATTAATTTAAATTTGTACCAATTTTTTATTACATATTTATACCTTATTATGTTACAATTTGGGCACTCTTCAATTTGCAATACTTTTTCTAAGTCAGTTGTAAAAGACACCAGCTGAAACGAAGAGATTCAGCTCGTTTCAATGATTAAAATGTGTTTTTAAAAAAAAAAAAAAAAAAAAAAAAAAAAAAAAAATTTGCATGTGCATGGTTATACACATGTCATCCCCATGATACTACAGCACACCCAGATTCCCCACCCTAGCAAAAATGCTGTGTACATAATTAAAAGCAACACTTATGAATTTCTCAAAAAGGCAAAAGATTGAATTGATCAATAAAATATGAACTAAGGAGAGACGGGGAAGGGAGGGATTGATAGCACATAACGAAATAACACCCATGGTTGCATCAAAATATAATGTCCTATTAAAATATTCTAAAGTACAAATCTTAAATATAAAAAAAAAAAAAATAAATAAAATAAAATAAAAGGAAGCGGAAAAGGAAAAGCTTATGTACAAAGATCCTATGCAAATATTAAATCTCAACAAATAAAAACCCAAAGAACATCAACTTAAACACAGATAATGTTTAGTGAATTTTTTATTTTCCATTTAAAAAAAAAAAAAAAAAAAAAAGGATAAGGAACATTTCATCATCGAAAACAAAAGAACTAAAAATATCTCTCTTTCATATAGACATATTTAATAGAAAAAAATGGAAATTTCATTTTTTTTTCTTCATTTTTTCGTCTTCTTTTTTTCTATTCTTCAATTTAAATGCACCTAACGGTGAATGGTCGAACAACTGATTCGTTTCAAAATTTACATATTTGTGCACTAATGTGTGACATCTTATATACCACTACATGTCTTCGTCTTCGCGTGAATGGAAACATTTACACCTTAATCAAAAATTCACTCTCGTCACCTAGCAATTTTGGGGAATTTTTTTTCTTCTTACTCTGCATGCGATCATGGGAATATCTCAAGTCTTCTAAACACAACTTGGCATCTAACTGAGCTAGGTAATCCCCAATTGTCCACATAAAACAAAAAGAAAAGAATATTAATAAATAAACAATCGAACAGAAAACTAATCCCACCTTTTTATCCTGTACTATAAACTGTAATAACTTGGATGCTTTATGAACTGTCACAACATGCGGGAAATTTATAATATCTATCAGCAGAAATGTTATTAACATAGTCATAATTATATTATTCACGATTAACAAAACAATAGTCGATCTGATTGATGTAGCATTTTCTTTTATTATTCCATAGAAGCCAACTAAACAAATTAAAATAATTACAATTCCATAAAAAACACACAGTACTAATAAATTACATGTTCGTTTTTGCTTATATTCAATGAATCCAAATACTAAAATCATGAAGGAGTATATCAGCGGTATTAAATACAAAACACATGATGCCACTCTGGTAGATAAACATTTTAAAGAACTCATCTTCTGAAATTGAAAAATAGGAACCAACAGGGTGCTTCCAGAGGAGATGGGTGTGTGTATCTAAAGGAACTTCAAATATGCCCAATAGAATCTTGATTTATTCTACGTGATATGCCAATCACCTTGTATGTTACGTCTTACGTGTACAATTACGATATATCATAAACTGTACTCACATTTGACGTGCACTTTGCCTATCAATGTTGCTGAGTTGGAGCACGTGCAAAGAAGCAAAGTGTTAAAAAAAAGAAAAAAAAAAGCACATTTCCAAAAACTTACACATGTACATATATATAGATATATCTACGTGTGTGTATATTAACACATGTTCAATAAGCACACACCAGGTAACTTTCATGCAGAGCTAACTATAAGACCATAAATTCGGCAACTTATGCAGCCACGAGTATGCGTAAAAATATGAAAACTTAGACGCTCGGACAAGCAAAAGGATAAAGTACAAAATGCTAAATTTGTTAATTTTCTAAATAGGGGAAATTACTAAGATTAATTTTATATTCATGCTTTGTCTTTATGCCAATAAAAGCGCATCCTTTTAATAAGTAAAAATGAGAAAAAAAAATAAAAAAAAAAAAGACCAAAAATTTATGAATTTCATAACCATTACTTTTTACAAAATATATATATATATATATATACACATAAAAATTTATCACTTACACTTACCATTTGATAGGTAATAATCCCCTTCCCCATTTTCTTCTTATTATTTAAATAGTGCTTACCTAGTGGTGCATAATATACATGTAATAATAATTGCATGTTATGTGTTAAGGCTTTTCAATTCTTGATTTTTTTGCCTTAAATGATGCACACAAAATGTAGATTACTCTTATTTTGACATGGAAAATAAGAGGAAGAGGAAAATAATCCATTCCGCTTAAATGCGTACGTCTATATATACATATCAAAAATATATACGTGTGCACATATAAAAATACAATCTAAAAAGGTAAACGTGCCCCGAAAGCCTCTTTTCTGTGGGAAATATTCATAGGAAAGCAAAAAAAAAAAAAAAAAAACAACAATTCTTATAGACATGCAACTTGCACTATTCTTGTAGCCCTTCTCTATTTTTATGCATTTTTAGTAACATTTCACACTCAGCAGTTGTGACATGTAAATAATTGTGAGATATACATCGATGCACTGATTCTGGAAGCGTGCAAATAGGGATGTGAATCATTTTTGCTTTTTTTTTTTTTTTTTTTTTTTTTTTTTTATATATATATAAAAATTGCAACAGTTATATGGTTGTAGCACTTAGTCAGAGCTATGATGGTACTTCCTACTATCCATTGCAATTTTTCCAAAAGGTTTGTTCCTTTTTACATGCTTATATTTCAAACTTTTTTATAGATCTCCTATCCAAATTTTCGCAAAATTTTGCCCCTTTCTGGGAGGAGAACATATACACACATGTGTACAAAAATGTGCACACATATATATGTGTATGTATGTATATATATATGCGTATATATGTGTTTAAATATGCATATGTCATCGAATTATGTTCAGCAACGGAAAAATTTTTCATAGGACATGGAAAAATATATAAAAAAAAAAAATTAAATAACTTTTAAAAAAAAAAAAAAATTTACCACTTAGCAAACTTGCGTAGTTTTTAGTGTGCAATTTGCAAAGTACCATGTCTGCATATGAACCTTTGGGTGATTGGGAAAAAATGACGCTTATACAATTTTGCGCGTTAAAAATATAGACATTTTCACAAACTAGAAGCCTTTATTTTCGTATCCACTATGTATGTATATATATATATATATATATATATAGCGTGGCGCATTACTTTTACGTAATTATTTCTCGATTTTCGCGTTTTTTAATTTTTTTTTTTTTCCCCCTTTAAAAAATAAAAAGTAGCGTGCGCATCAAGTGCAAGACGTTTCACTTTGTCAAAAAAGTGGACGACCATAATTCGTCCATAAAAAAAGTGCACACATATCAAACATACATATTTGCATATGTACATGCAGTACCTATGGGATAGGAAATTTTATTTTTCTTCCCTATCACAACAGGTTGTGTGTTTATAACTACGTTTAGCTTTTACGTGGACATGCCTTTCGCGTTATGGGATTTGCTTAAATTTTGAACAAAAAATAAATGTTAAATGTGGGAGGGGGAGCAGGTCATAAAGGTTGTGGAAACTCGAGGGTGGTGACAGGCAGGTAGATTTACAGGCTGGTTGAAAAGGCGACAGAATGTAGGACAGACTAATTGAATGACTGATTGACGGAAAGAATGTGAAGAGATAACTTCAAAATGTACTATCAAAAGGGGCTCTAAGGACGCACGGATTAAATGCATATATCCATCTAATGATCACGTTACACAAGGACAGCAAAAGATTGTGTCCTTTTAATAACTACCCCTCGTCAGTGGAGATTTATTCTGTCATTTAAACTTCCTTTCTCCAGCACTTGTCGTTACACTAATGGGTTCGTATCTTTTTATTGAAATTAATCCCCCAAAAAAAATGCTTAAATTTTTATTTATAAACAAAAATATACAAACAGACAAATTTATCGGATTCTTCTTTTATTATTATTTTTTATTTTATTATTATTTTTTATTTTATTATTATTTTTTATTTTATTATTTTTTTTATTTTATTATTATTTTTTATTTTATTATTTTTTTTCTGTTATTATTTTTATTTATTTTATTATTTTTTTTCTGTTATTATTTTTATTTATTTTATTATTTTATTTTTTGCGTCTTCTTTTATGCAGATAAAAAGCATTTATACACAAATTAGAGAGATAAATAATCGTATGTGCATGAGGGCTATATCCACCTTGACAGAGCTAAAAAAAATACAATAACAAAACTAATTATATGTCATGCAATTCATCTTCCTTGTGTGTTTCGATAACGCAGTCTGATTTGGGATAACAAGTGCATAACAGAATATATTTTTGTTTCAGCTGATTTTCATCTAGGTAACTTTGATCATCATTGTCAACTTCCCCTTGTACTAATTTTGCAGCACAGGTAGAACAACTTCCCCCTCTACAGCTGTATGGTAATTCAACGTTCTGTCTTTCACTGGCATCTAATATATACTCATCTTCATCGCACTGAATTTTCTTTTCCCCATCATTTGTTCTCAAAGTAATGTTATAAAAGAGTTTGTTTTTATTTGACGATTTAAAATATCTCTTTTTACCACCACCATTTGTCTGACCCATGTTGCTTAATATGTTTCCGCCTGTAGAAAGATATGACAATTTCTCATAATTAACTAAATTGTTTACAAACTTAGACGAAAAATGTTTGGAGGGCTTACATGTTATTATACCTCGAGTTCCATACATATAATTTAAGGGGATATTTTTGCGACTGAATTTATACGTATTACTGTGCTTCGTTAAGAGTGTAACAAACAGGAGTAGTATAATAACTGCAATCATGTTTTTTCTTATCTTCTACTTTGTGTGCATATATTACACATATATGAATGTACATATGTGCATATATTTTTTTTTTTTTTTTTTTTTTTTCATACACCTGGTGTAAATGTGTATAACTTATTTAGAATCTACACTTAGAAAAGGAGGTTGTGGGATGGGAAAAGGCATAATCATCACAAATGGAACTCGCATTCATGTAAATATATGCATTAATATATCTATGTTCGTCTACATAATCCTGAATTAGCGAATATATTCATGTATATATATATATATATATGTATACATAGATATATATGGGTATCCATACTTATGTGTATATATTTAACGTATTATGTTCTCATAATGCTTGCATTTTATCCAAGCTTTTTCCTCAATTCGTCAGATGAACCATGCCTTCACTGAGATTTTTAATTCGTTTATATATGTTATACAAAAAAAAAAAAAAAAAAAAAACGATTTTTTCATAAAATGCTCTTTTTGGTGGAAAATTTTTGAAATTGTTGCAAGTAAAATAAGCCTAGTTGGTATTTTTCTTCTGTTCACTCTTTTTTTAGTAAATGTAGAAATCTAGTTCAAAATTGGGAATTAAAGGGTGGGGAAAATATATACATATATATATGTATTTTTTTTTTTTTTTTTTTCTTCATAGTGTAATGATGAGTGGACTTTTTTTTTAAAATTAGCGCACGTGAAAAAGGGCAATTCTTCCCAAGAAGATCGATGGATGGAAATGTTGGAGGACAAATAAAGTCATATTGCGTGTGCTTTTAAATGTACAATGTATATTGTTATTACCTACAAAAACAAGTGTATTGTGTGTATATCAAGTTACAATGCTTGCACCACACTATAAAACACTTCCTTACACGGTTGCGTACATAATTCGAAAGAAACGGATTCTAAAATTGATGGAGAAATCTAGATAAATGTAAAGAAAAGTGTTCAATTTTATCAAAAAAATAAGCACATGCAAAAAATGAAGAATTTAAAAAAAAAAAAAAAAAAAAATGAACAAATGGTGGGGAAAATCCCAAAGGACTTAAACATATCCCTAATGAAGCATTGTGACTTAAAGGACTCAGAATTGTGAGCATATCTACAAAAGAAGGATAAGTCGTTTTATGTGCACCATGCTTACACCTATACTAAACGTGGAATCATTCTAGTCGTTCTCTTCTTTTTCGTTTCTACTTCTCCCCCCTTTTTCGTTTCAATTTCGCTCCCCCTTTTCGTTTCAATTTTACTCTCCTCCTTTCATTTCAATTTCGTTCCCCCCTTTCGTTTCAATTTCGTTCCCCCCTTTCGTTTCAATTTCGTTCCCCCCTTTCGTTTCAATTTCGTCCCCCCTTTCGTTTCAATTTCGTCCCCCCTTTTCGTTTCTATTTCTCTACTTTTTCTCCTCTTTTCATGACACCCCACGCCATCACTCTCTCTCCATAATAAGCACGGAAAAATGACACACGTATGGAACTCACTATTAACAACCGTATTATTCATCATCCTCGAAATAACCAATGTTGAAAATGTAAAAAAAAAAACTATCCAGTATATAAAAAATTATAACCATTACGATCGCGTGATTAGGGGAATTTCAAAAAATAGACACACAAATAATGTCACGTACGCGTCACCACATTCAACTTCGATACCTGAAAATGAGGAAAACATTAAAGGATATACTACTGCCAACAATTGTGGAAACAAAATGAACAATCCAACTATAATGGAGAACACGTATGAAGAAGCCCTAAAAATAATCTCCGATAAACTGGAGGTACTTAAAGTAGAAAATATGGAAAATGTAGAACATATTAACACATTCATGGGATTCTTAAAAAAATATTTTGGAGAAATGAAAAAATATAAACCTTGCTCACCGCAGAATTTTTTAGAAAATTTTTTAAAATATATCGAAGCGTTTAAAAAATACAGATACTATACATTTCCGAATGTACATAAATATGATGAAACTTTATATGAATGGTCCATAGAATTCTGGTCTCAATTAATTGACAAAAAAAATTCTAAATTCATTGGGATTCAAAATATTGATAAAATAAAAAATTGGATACAACAAGGACATAATGTAATAATATTCAGTAATCATCATATAGAAGCAGATGCAAATATATTAAAATACTACTTTCATATTCATAATGCTCAAAATATTTCAAGAAGAATAATTTTCATTGGTGGCCATAAAATAAGATCAGATCCATTATCTAGACCATTTAGCGTTTCAGCTAATCTTCTCTGCATTTATTCCAAAAAGTATATTGAGAATCCACCACACCTTAGAGAAGAAAAAATTCTATTCAATCACAAATCTCTTAACGCATTGAAAAATTTGTTAACCGAGGGGAGAAATATCATTTGGCTAGCTCCAAGTGGAGGAAGAGACAGAAAAGGCCCAGATGGTAACATCAAAATTTCTCCCTTTGATCCAAAAATTATACAAACTTTTTATATCTTTGCAAAAAGGGCCAAAGTAAAAACTCATTTCATAGGATTAGCATTAAATACCTATAACATTTGTCCACCTCCTAACACAGTTGATGTTGACGAAATTGAAAAACAAAGGTCATGTTCATATTCCCCTGTTGGGTTAAATTTAGGGGAAGACCTTTTTGATGCGTATCCTCATATTGATGAAAAGGTTATAGCAAAATATCTGTACACCTATGTCAATAAATTATATAGTGATATAACTGAACTAGTGATGATATAGAGTGGTACAGGGATGGGAAACTGGGAAATGTCATCCCAATCCACAGTAATATAGAGAAAAATGCTTTTCCAAATGAAGAAGTGTAACATGTGTACATATCAGTTGCAGCAGGTTTGTTTTTTCCTTTATCTCTTTTGAATAAGCCCATTAGTTTTATTCGCCTACCTGACTTTCCTCATTTTTTAGTTAAATTTTTTTTTTTTTTATTTATATTTTCTTTTAGGGTTTTTTATTTTCTTGTTTCATAACATTTTTTTTTAGTAATTTTAATTTTGTCATAATATTAAGAGAAAAAAAAAATAAAATAATAAAAAAAACAGCAATTGAATGGACTTAACTGGTAATAATATGTTTGTTTTCTGTAAGTAAATCTACATTCTTTTCTCCCATATGTACATGTGTTAGTATGCATACGTCCATAATTATATATGTTATTATATATATATATATATATATATGTAAATTGACAACGACTGTTAGCAATGTCTTATACCCCCAAAAAAATATTTGCTAAAAACTAGAGATAAAAGTAAAATAAAAAAAAAAAAAAAACACGCATACATATGACCAATGCTCAGTTTTTAATATGATCTTTTTCAATTTTTTTTGAAAACGTGACCCCCCCCCCCCCCCCCCCCCCACTCTTATTATTATTTTTTTTTTTAAATCAAAAAATTTTTATAGAACACGCATATAATAATTGCATTTTTTAACGTAAAGGGGAATGTTTAAATGTTGTCTTTTCTTGTCTTTTTCTTTTTCCGTTCTTCCATTTATAAGATTATAAAAATTCGATATTCTTATGTTCAAGTAAGAATGTTAATTTTTTTTTTTCCCAGCTAGCCAAATACCTCATTTAACACTTGCAAACGTCTATTTTACATGCACAAATCAATGAAATTTTTTTTTTTTTGTTTTTAATGTTTTTTTAATGATCTTTTAATTGTAAAATCGTAAAAATGTATAGTTCAACAAAGGATAAAAAAATGTCTACTAAAAAAACTTCATAATATTGAAAATAAAGAGAATTCTTTTTCTTTTTTTTTCACACATATTGTTTTGTAATTCCAAGCTCTCTTTTTGTAACAGATGCGTGAATAACACAAGTTTTTTTTTTTTTTTTTTTTTTTTTTTACGTGCTTTATGGAAAAAAGAATTATCTGCCTTGTTATTTGTTTTAAATGTACATTTTTATATATACAAATATATATGTGAATGTAAATATTTTCACATTGTTATGTGGATGATAAATTGTTGTAACACTTTTATTGTCTTATTTTCTCATGATATACATGTGTAGGCTGCAAAAAGAACAAAAGAAAAAATAACAAAAAAGTTGCCGCATTAGTTAAAACCATGATTGTACATAAAAATGTGTTAAATTGTGTTTATTATACTCCATACAATTACATTAATTTATGTGTACACTTTTTAAAATATCTTATGTGTGATGTTCTTATTTATATATAGTCATAATCAGTATTATTCTCCTAAATAATTTGTTCTGTTATTGTAAATCCATTTTACAAAATAGCATTTTTGTGTAAGAATCCTTTTATCACCCTCAATTTGTTGTTATTTTTTTTTATTCACGTCACTTCAATATTAGCAATACACGCTATTTGTGTTTTTGGTGCTAGTATACATTAGTGTAAATATATATGCCGTCATTTTTTTTTCTTTTTTCAATTAATAATTAGGATAAAAAATATAAAAATTTCTATTAAGACAACATACATATGAAGCGCATAAATGTGGTTACATTTGTGTGTATTTATATGATTTTCACATAAGAAAGCTTTTTTATTTTCTTTTCTGCATCAAATAAGGGAACTCTTCCGTTTGCCTGCCGGATCTGGATGTACTAACCTCAGATGTTGCATGCGCAAATTGTTTATATATATTCACACACACGTGTACATATATATATTTCCTTTTGAATAACTGTAGGAGATGCTTTGTTAAATTTCTTTAAGCACACCACGTCATATATGTGGCCAAGTTAACAAGTCTAACATTCGTGCGCACCTATAAAGATATACGTTTTTTATATATTCTTCGAGAAATACACATTGTAAAAAGTTTTACACCTTTTTAAGAAATGCACTCGAACGAATTATACGGACCCTATGACGAAATCGAAGGAGAGGATGTCAAATCGATTAATGGTGAAGCCACGAAGTCCAACTACTACCTAACGGATCAAAATGAAGATACATTTTCTAACAAATCAAACGTAAGCGCGGATAATAACATATCTGTGCCTACATCGTTTTCAGAAGACGCGCCTCCTGGTGAAGAAGTAAAAAAGAATGATGAAACCAATTCATTGATTAAACCTGAACAATTTTCACACATGTTCAAAGGACCCGAATTGGATATAATGTACAAACAGGACAAAGGAGAAAATAAGTACTACGAAAATAATGTCATACAGAATGAAGAATTGGAAGCGTCGAGGAAGAAAAAATCACTTCCTCATTCTTATGATCATAAATCAAATTACGTAAAAGGGACAAAAAATATTATCACCAGTAAGGGCAATTTTTGGTTTATAAACAACGGGGGTAATATTAATGAGCAAGGTGCAAAAGGGAAGAACAAGACAATGCAACATGAGCGAAATGAGGAAACAGGTAAATTTTTGTCTTTTACGGACTCAGCATGGGACAATACGGAAACAGAAATGAAGAGATTTGAAAAAAAAAGTCAAATACCTACAAAATATGCCAAAGATTGGCCAAATGAGAAGGATGAACCTAGTGGGCAAGATAATACAAACGAGCAAGGTAATCCAAACGAGCAAGATAATCCAAACGGACATGATCAACAAAATGTGCGTGGGAAGCCAAAAGGGCACAATGAATTAAATAAGCAGGGGCATAAAAATAAGCAAGACGACGAAAATATGCAGGATGAAAAAAAATTTCAAAACGAACAACCTGATAGTGCGATAAAAAAGAAAGAAAATGCAACAAATGATCATGTGGCAGAAAAAAAAAATTGCACACAGAAGAGTAAGCTGCATGGTCAAGATTTAAAAAAAAAAAAAAAAAATGAACAAATCTCCAATTTATTAAGTAGTAAACTTTTTGGTAGCAGAGATTTAAGTATAAAAAGTACACAGAATGGAGGAGAAAAAAATGTCATAGCAAATTTCACGTCAGCAAAAATAAATAACGAGTTAAGTGTGTTGGGTTTAAGAAAAGAAAAAAATCGAGAAATTATAAAAAATTTTGAAAAATTTTCATTGAATTCAAATAGTCAAAAGCATATATTTAACACTTTAAAAAATAAGAAGAAATATTTTGATCGCAAAGTTGAGAAATGTATGGATAATTCACAAGAAAACTCTTCTGTGGAGCAAATAATGGTACAGAAATTTTTCATACAGCAAAGTGACACAGACATTATAGTTCAAAAAAAGATAAACAGCATAGAAAATATTTTGGAAGAAACCGAAAGGAAAAACATGAATAATTCATTAAAAAAAATTAATAGCCTTAAAAAGGACAACGAGAGAACAAATGGAAATGCAACCATAAGTCAAAACACATCAGGAGCTAGAAATGAAGAGGGAAACGACAATATGGTGCAAATCAGGACTTCCTCCATCAGTTCATCCAGTTTTTCGAATGATCAATCGAAGGAAAACGAAAATATAGAGGATATAAACAATGATACTCACTTGAGGAAACATAGGAACAACCAAACCAATGGTGCATTTACTAATAATCTGGAAAAAAATGACTACGAGAACCCGCTTGACACTTCTTGTACACCATTTGAATATAAAACCAAAATGAAAATAAATAAAAAAACAAATAAAATTGAAGAAAATGGCACGGTCCAAGCGAATGAAAATTTTAAAAATAATAATGTAGAAAGCAAAAGTGAATCAAAAGGGACTTCTTCTGAATCGTCATATGAATTAGCAGATATAAAAATATACGACGATTCGGAAATAGAAGAAGCGAAAGAGAGCGAATTAGAACCCTTTTGGCTTAATAGAGAAATATCATCGCTTCTAAATAAGTCAACAAATTACTGTAGTAAATATTCAGACGAGTTTAACATAAATGAGACAGTATGGAATGTTGGAAACAACAATAATAGGATTCATCATTCAACAAGTGTCGGATATATTGAAGATGAAAAAATTAAAAAGAAAATAATTTCACCCAAGATGAAAAAATATGAAAGTGATATTATTACTTCTGTTAAAAGGAAGACAAGTTTTTTTGATAAAAAAAACACGGTAGATAATATAGCGATGAATGGAAGACCCTTTATTATGGAAGAGGATAACGAAGAACACTTGCATAGTAAGGCTAAGCAGTGCACCATTGAAGATATTTCAAATTGTAAATACAGCACGATTAGTAAGGATTTTGTAGATGACAATGAAAAGAAAGAAAACCTGGATATCTTCAGCAAATTAGATGCTATAAAAAACAAGATATCCCTTATTAATGACATCGATATTGATAACATTAATTTCGAAAAGTTTGACATGTACCAAATTGATTTTAAAAAATTAGGCTTAAAGGTAGACAACCTAGAAAAAGAAGAAAAATATATTTTAATGCTTTACATATCACAAAAAAAGTTGGAATGTATAACGCATGAAAGAGGTATATGCAAAAGTGCTTATGATTATGAAAAAGGACGTCAATCTAATCCAATACAAATGAAAGAAGTGAAAGATAACAAGTTGATGTATGACTCTTTCCATCTAGAAGATGCTAATTGTGAAGAAACATGGGGTGAAAGAAGTAAATATATGTACCCATTAACGCATAAGAAGAATTTTTACACCAATTGTATTACAACTAAAGAGTCGCTTGAAGAAGACAAAGAAGAAAGAAAAAATTTTTTAAAATCATCCCCAAGTGCAGAAATAAATACAAGTCATAATTTTAGTATACCTAAGAATATATCATTGGGTTTAGGCACACAAAAATTAGTCAGTGATAATTATGTACACGCAAATACAGAAACAGCGATAGAATATATTAATGGAATTAATAGTTATCTCAGTAGTAAGAGCAATAGTAGTAGTGGATTCCACCAGCTAGGTCTCTTCTTCGAATTGTATTATAATCTATCCAAACAGAATAGCATTATGTCGAACGGAGAAAATAGTAATGATTCTAATGCCAATAATGAAAAAATTCTTTTAAAAAAAATTCTGAAAAATTTTATATATTTATTTCTTCAAGATGAATGTATCGATGAACTTGTAAAAAATTATGAAGATATGAAAAAGGCAATAGGGAAAGAAGATGTAACATTGAAAAATTCTATATGTTTACAATACATTTGCAGTAGTCTTTTACAAGATATTTCCAAATATAAGAAAGATAAACAGGATGAAAAAATGGACATGAATTCATCTTTAGTATTTTCCGAAATAGTAAAAGAAATAGGAAATAAATTTTTAAAAAACGATCAAGTAATGGAAAAAATAAAAGGAATACAAATTATTAATAGAATACTAAGAGAAGAAGTTAGAACATATTCTATCAAAGTTGCATGTGTAGATAAATATTTGGACATAGAACCACATTTCATCGAAGAAACAGAAAAAGTGATAGTTGGTAATGATATCGGATTTTTCCATATGCACATATTAAATAGTAATTATGTATATAATTATCATAAGCATGAGGAGACAAAATTAACTGAACAAAATAATAATCCAGTTTGGAATTTTTTTTATGGTTACTTTAATGATATATATAATTGGTATAATGACAAAAATAACAATGACATTTTGACACCTCTTCAAGTAGAAAATGGAAACATAAATAAAGACATCTCTTCTTCAAAAAGAGTTTCCAGAAATTTCATTAAACAGAAAAAAAATGAACCAAAAAAATATAATGAAGATATTCATAAGAAGGAAGAAACGTATGAAAACTCAGATAAACATCTACTCCATCAGGATAAAATTGATTCGACTATGAATAATTCCGACACTACCACTACCATTGTTTTCGAAGAGAATGATATTAACGAAAGTAAGGATCAACAAGAAATTTCCCGATCACTAGATGAAAAAGAAAATGCAAATAAGAATGATCCAAAAGATCATGTGAAACGCAATAATGTACCAAATGAAAACAAGACAGATACAAAAATGGAATCATGTAGCATTAGTCAAAAAAGTAAGAAATACATAACCAACATAAAACATGAACAAGGAACAATATTTAGTAATTCTACTAACATTGAAGAATGCTTGATAGAAAGTAACATATCAAGTATAGATAATTTTATTTCTGAAAACTATAACAAGATTGGAGATAGTGAGAATGTTGGGACTTTAGTTCCTCAGGAGTTAGATCATTACACAGTTGAGAATGAGATTACAAGTGATAAAAAAAATTGTATAGGAAATTCGAGGGAAGATCCAATATATGGAGGAATGACAAGCGAATCGGTGCCCTACTTAGACACAAATATGCTATATAACAACAGCAAGAATAGTATAAGTAGCAATAACTCTCTGCACTGCAAGAAAGAACCAATTTTAAATGAACAAAATAAGAAAATTATAAACGATACCGTAGAAGCTTACTTAGTCACGTTTCAGTATAAAGGTTCCATACCAAAGGATCAAACAAACGAAATAAGTAAAATATGCAGAGATAAGAACAAGAATATAATAGGATGTTATCTATCCTCACAGAACGATAAAAGTTTAATTGCTGTTCATATGAAAAATGACAAAATTGAAAATACGACAAATGCACATTTTATTGTTGAACGGTGTAATAAGTATAACAAGGAAATTAGTAATTCCTATGTGCATATTTTAAATTCAAGCACAAAACAATATTTAGCTATAAATCTACAAAATGGAGAATTATTGTTTACAATCAAATATGACGACAGTTTCTTTATAGATGAGAGAAATGTAGAAAACAGGATATCCACTTATTTCCAGTTGCACTCAACATCAGATATGATGAAAAGTATATTCATTCAGGATGTGGTGCAGAGTTTTGCCGATGTTATTCTGAACTGAATATGTGACTACTGGTGTTTGGGCATTGTATGGTTACGTGAACTTGTGAATGCTTATGTGTGTTTTATTTATACATCCAAACGATGAACACGAAAGTGTGCAACAAAAAATAGTGAATGGTAATTGCTTCAAAAGTATATGTTTATGTAATTTTTTTTTAACTTTTTCTTTTCTTCTAAGTCATATGCTTTTTTGTTTATTCCTTTTTTGTTTGTTCCTTTTTTGTTTGTTCCTTTTTTGTTCGTTCCTTTTTTGTTCGTTCTTTTTTTTTTTTTTTTTTTCTAAGTGTCACTTTGATTTCATTGTTACTACAGTAAATATAATTAATTACATTACTGCATATATTTTTCTCCCTTTTTTCCTTTTTTTTTTTTTTTTTTTTCCATTATTAGTAACTTACATTTGTTGAGGCATAATTTTATGCATGTCGTATTGACAGAGCATTAATGACCTCCCGAATTGTACACAGATATACATATAAAATTGGTAATATATTTTTTTTTTTTTATCTTTTCTCTTAAAACATTGGCGTTAATTATTTCCTTTTTGTAAATTTCAAAATTTATGTATCCTTAAAAGACTCCATTGTGCTAGGGAATATTACGTGTAAAAGCTCTTCCGTATGGGAATGAAAGTGAGTATCAAAATCATTACAAAATCTTTCTCAATTTCATATGCAAGTGGAATCAAGGTATTCCACCAAGCCATGTAAAAATTGTACAACACACTCTTGGAAGCAAGCACATAAATACACACGCACACACAAGCAGAGGAATACAACAAATGAGCAAACACACAGACAATATTAATCGTCGTCCGAGTCCTTTTCATGAATTGTAACTCTCCGACGCTTAATCTCAGCCACCTCCTTGTTTGAACTTTTTCTTATGTCTAATGCGTGTCTATTAACGGTAGAAATGCCATCGATAAATCTCATTTTAAACAAAACATCTGCATGGGAAAACATCCCTTCTTTTAGTGAGACAATTATAAATTGAGAATTTGGAAATTGTGTTCTTATCATATCTCCAATGTTCTGTGTATGATTTAAATCCAGTGCTGCATCGATTTCGTCAAGTATGTACATAGGAACGGTTCTCACTTTCAATAAAGCCAAAATTAATGAAAGAGCCAAGAGACTCCTCTGACCACCACTCAGTTCGGTTAGAGACTCTTTCCAGTTGTTATTAAATGCAATCTGAAAATAAAAAAAGGAGAAAACCAAAAAAAAAAAAAAAAAAAAAAAAAAAAAAAAAAAATACAGTTCATGTAATACGTTTACATATGATATTTTTGGAATGTATATTCTACTGAAAAGGCGTTAACTTATTTTGTCGTGTATGCACGCCATTTAAGTCTATTTACACACTCTATATCTGTCACTATATATTCACATTCATGAGTGTCACTAATACAAAAATAAAATGAATATGCAACAAGTACTCACCTTCATTTCTATTCCATTTGAGAGATCTCCATCTACAATACTTAATTTAGCTTGTGCATTATTCAGAAGAGTGGAGAATATGGCTTGGAAATATTCATTAATTTGTTCATACATTGCGAGCAAACTTTCACTTTTTTTTACATCTAGATCTGCTATAACTTCCTGTATTTTTTTTTTATCTTCTTCGACCTGAGATTTCTTAGTTATAAGGTCTTTATAATCCACCTGAACTTGATCATACATTTGTACGGCCTTTCTGTTAATATTTATAGATAATTTGTTTTGCTCATTTTGCAATGCTTGTATTTTTTTTTGTATGACATCATGTCTAAAGTTTTCAAAATCGTACGGTGTATATTTTTTATTAAATAAATGTTCGTGTGATTCAATCCAGACATGCGTTTTGTTGAGATATTTTACAGTATCGCTAGCTGTTTTTGATTCTTTTTGTAAATCAATTAATGTGTTTTCTAGTTTTTTCATGTTGAGCATGTCTTCACTTTTTTTTTTTTCCAGATCTTCCACTTTTTTAATTACTTGTTTGATTTCATTTTCGTACGTGGTAAAGCTAGCCTGAAGTTCGATAATTTTATTGTCTACCTTTTTCATATCCTCTGATGCGATATTTATATTATTTTCAATTTCTAAAATCCTTTTATCAATTTCGCTTATTGTTTTATCAGCAATAATCAAATCATTACTTTCTTTTTCCATTTGTTTTTTATAATTCTCTATTTGTAATAGAACTCCATCATCTTCTTCCTTTTTTTTGTGTTCATCATGTTCTAATAGTTTTATTTTATTTTTTATTTTTTTAACAGTATCTTTGAAATCTTCTTCCTTTTTATCTTTATTACTCTCATATTCTGAAATGTCCTTTTCAATTTTACGTATGACTTCGGTTAACTTTTTTTGTTTTGCATATAATTCATTTAATTCTTTTCTCCCTTTTTCAATTTCATCCTTAGATTCTTCAATTTTTTTACTTATATTTCCATAGTTACTGGTTTCTATTCTGTTTTCTATATTACATAAATTGTTGGTGTAAATTTGTAAATCTTTAAAAATTTTTTTCTTCTTTTCTTCTCCTTTTTCTAATATTTCTAATTTTCCATTTATTTCCTTCAACTTGTTATCTTTCTCAAAATATTCTTTTTTTTTATTTTCATATTTTTCATAATGTAATAAAAATAAGTTAATATTTTTATTGGAACCTCCTGACATACTCCCAGACGTATCAAATTTATCACCCTCCAATGATATAGTAGGGAATGATAATTTTTTATTAGAATTATAGGTAATTTTTTTACAAAAATCCACGTTGGAGCATATTATGGTTCCATTAAACAGGTATTTAACAAGCTTTTCTAAACTTTTATCATATTCCATAATGTCTAAAAAGTGGATAATATCCTTTTTGTCTTTTATGTCTACTCCGACATTTTTTCGACATTCTTCGACATTTTTTTCATTTATATCTCGTGATATTACACAGTCTTGTAGTGGCAGCAAAGTCACTCTTCTACTTCCTTTTGCAAAGTTATTATATTCAAATAATCCCTTACTACATTCTTTATTCTTAACCAGTATGTATGATAATTTTCCCCCTAGTATTAAATGAATTGCCAAAGCTGTGTTGTTATACTCTTTCTTAATTTTGATGAGTTCATATATTTGACCAAGAACATCTGCTTTGTTTATATTACTGGGTATTTTGAAATCGATTTTTAAATGATTGATTAAATTTTTTAATACTTGCATTTCTTGTTGTAATTTTTCTATTTCATTTGATAGAATAGATTTTTCTTCTTGTAATGCTTGTAATTCTTGAAAATTGTTATGTTCTTCATTTAATTTTTGCAATTGTGTCTCGCATGATATTTTTTTTTTTTCTTCCATTTCTTTTTCTTTATTTATTTCGTTAAACACTTTTTCAAATTTTTTTCTTTGATCTTTTAAATTGATAATTTCCTTTTCCATATGTTTATTATTTTGTAACAAATTGTTTATCTGTGTTTCTATTTGGCTCAATATGGTTTTATTGTTTTTAACCTGTTCTCTAAAAGATCCTGTATACTCACTGTTATTAATACCTCCACTAAGTAGACAGTTAATAGTTGTTTGTTTTTCATTTAATTCTTCCTTTAATAACTCTATTTTTTTTTTTAGATCTTCGTATGACTTTAAATTTTTGTTATTCCTTTCGTCATTTTTTTCATAATCATTTAACTTTTTTTCAATACTTTTTATTTCTTTTTTTATATCTTCTTTTTTTTTCTTTTCTTTTTCCTTTTCCTTTCCTTCTATTTTAGACTCTGATTTTAAATGAGAAATTCTTTTTTCCAATTGTTCTTTTTCATCTATGAGAACTTTCATGGGTTCACTAGCAACATGTGTTTTACTAGATAATTTTTCCCTTTCTTTTTTATATTTTTCTATTTCTCTATCAATATCTTTAATGTCTTTTTCTAAACTTTTCCTTTCATCAGTGGCATCTTCAATTTTCTCTTGACTCTTTTCCATCATATTCTTAGCAACATAGTACTTATAAGCAATTTCTATTTTTTCATATTTCTCTATTTCTTCATTATTGCTAATAAATTTATTATATTCTTCTTTTTCTTTTTTTAATTTTGTTAAAGTAGGTTCAATTTCATCTACTAATACTTTGTTTATTTCCTCTAATTTCTGATCTTTTTTACCCATTAATTTTATAGCATTTGTTCTTTTAACTTCATAAAGTTTGGTGCCACTAGATTCTTCAATTAATCCAAGTAATTCAGCTGGTTTCATATTTATAACTTTTGTTATCTTCCCTTGCATTATTAAAAAATGTGGATTGTTAATATTCAATTTTAGGGATTGAAAAAAATCACTAATATCCTTTGGTTTAGCATTATGACTATTTAATAAATATCTATTACGACCTCCTAAAACAATCTGTCTTGTTATAGTAATAGTTTTCATATCTCTATATGGTTCTTGCAATGGACTTGGTTTTTCTTCATTGTTAAATTTTATTGTTACACTTCCTTTTGTTATTCCAGCCTGTCCTTGTTTATATATTAATTCGTCTAATCTATTTACTCGAATTAAGTTCAAATTATTAATCCCCATAACGAAACATATTGCATCTAAAACGTTTGATTTCCCACTTCCGTTCAACCCAGTTATTGCATTGAACTGTGGGTGAAATGGCCCTATTACTGTTTTAGTTGGATAGCTTTTAAAGCCATCCAGAATTATTTCTTCGATATACATTTTGAACTCACTGATCAATGCTTCTCACGCGCTTCTGCAGCTTTGTTTTCTGCTCTCTTAAAAGATGCGCTTTTCGGGTATTCATTTGGTTTCCTCCCCCTTTGCTTAGCTGATTGGTTCTAAATTTTGTTCTCAATTTTGTTCTCAATTTTGTTCTCAATTTTGTTCTTAATTTTGTTCTTAATTTTGTTGCTTATTCAATTTTTATTCATTTTTTATTCACTTTTATTCACTCTTTACTCACTTTTTTTCAATTTTTTTCACTTTTTTTCAATTTTTACTCACTTTTTTTTTTCTCCGTTCAACTCTCGCTTTAGGAAATTACAGCTTTCATTTTTTTCCCTCTTAGGGTTTTTATTTCCCGACTTAGTCGACCTGTTTCTACCCCTTCTTGCCCTTTATAGAGTAATGTCCCAAAGAAGTAGTAAAAACAAGTTGTGAGGTAACACACACTCTTCTGGATTTTCTCTATTATTGAAATAATTTCCAGTTATATTATCTACCACTTTAATTTTTAATTCTTTTATCAGAATTTTATAAGCCCTTTTCGTTCTCGTAAAATAAAGGTGACATGTAATAGGTAATAAATTAAAAGTATTTTCATCCTTTCTCTATCCCTTTCTCTCTTTTTTCCTTTTTTTTTTTTTTTTTTTTTTTTATTTTCCTGTGAGGGAAATAAATTAGAATTCGACAAAATGTGTATTTTTCTCGTTACCACGATTTGCTGTCATTCAAAATGTACATATACTTGTGATTTCTATTTTGTGCATAGTGCGTTTTGCATGTTCTTTATATTAAGCTCATTCTGGTAAATTGCATATCTTTTCTGACATTTTTTATTTTATGAAGAGAGTGTAATTTAATTTTTTTGAATCTTTCAATTGTGTGTGCCCGTGTGTACATATGTATATGTGTGCATGTATGTACGTAAAGAATAACTAACGGCGCTAAAAAAGGGGAATATAAAATAATCACTCATTAGAGAAGAATATAGAAAATAAAAAAAATATTTAAGCAAAACTCACGTTAAAGACAAAAAAAAGAAAAAAACAAAATTAGAAAATCTTCTTCCACACTTGATGTCTTATTTATTTTCCTTTTAACTAATAGGCAAATTATAAAAAAAAAAAAAAAAAAAAAAAAAAAATGGGTTCATGTTTAAATTCGCACACATAAATGTTTTCCACATGTATGCATACATGCACAAGTAATTTTTACAAAGGAATAAAATATCCCTTTAATTTAAAAAGAAAAGTGTGTAAAAACAGACAAACAGAAACACACGGTGTAACTTTTATATCAAACTTGTGCCGTGAAAACCCAGAAGTTTCTCATTCCACTGGAGAAATGATGAATAACTAAAGTAGGAGAAAAAAAAAAAAAAAAAAAAAAAGTATATTAACTCTATACAACAGATGAGAAGTAAACTATAGACAGTAGTCCATCTTTAATCTGTATATAGTTTATTATTATCTTGTACTTTGCAAAAAAAAAACAGGTATCATTGTAATATCAATTTAATAAATCTCCCACCAATTATTTATCAATTATGTAATATTTTATTTATAGTGGAGGAAGAGTCACAGTTTCTGGATGTGTGTCATGTAGCATAAATGACACTATTTTTTTTTCACATGAAATGTAAGAAAAAAAAAAAAAAATATAATAAAGTAGATTAAGAATAACAAAATGTAATAAAATAAAGTGAAAACAACTTTGTTTAATTGTGAATAGTCCCATATATACATACAAATTCCCTGAACACGTGACAACTCTTAAAGGTGCTTCAAAATGAGTCCAAATTTTTAACAAAATGAATGACACGTCGGTGAAATATGGAACAAAATATTTATACATTTTTCTTTCCCCTGTCTTTCTTATTATTTTTTTCTTTTTTGCATTCCCCATTTGCAGACACCTAATTATATCTGCCAAAAGACACGTACCACTGCTGTGTAGACAAAAATGGAGAACTTAATTCTGGAAGAGAAATATAAAAGTCTCTTGGTTAAAAATAAAATCTCAATTGATATATACAAAATCATACGTTCCATTTCTCGTGTATGTCTTATGTATCTTTGTATGGTCACTTTTTCCCACACATGTATATAACCCCTCATTTAGAAGCTGAAAAACAGCATTTTCATATTTCCCAATAGTATGCATTAAGGGTAAATATATATATATATATTTTACTTATATTTCTCATCTATAAAATTTTACGTCAATGCTAAAAGAATAAATCTAACCATGAAAAAAATATTCTTATAAAAGAGTCTGAGGCCCTTAGAAATAAGTTAGAGGTTCGCGAATTGTAATGTAAAATTGGGGATAGAATTATTTGCAGCATATCTCAATCACTTGAATGCTTATTTTTTTTTGCATTCCTATAGTCCGTTTTATTATACTGACACTTAAAATAGAAACTCGAAGGTGCATACATCGAAAAGGAAAAAGAAGTGGCGACAATAATTCAAGAAAAAGAACATCTCGAAGATGGACTCAACAAAATGAGGAGAGAAAATGAAAATTTGAGCGATGAAATTGTGAAACTTAACGAAAGAATTGTGGTAAAAAATTATGGAAAAAATGTAAAAAAAAAAAAAAAAAAAAGCAAGAAAAATAAAAACAAATGAAATGATATATGCGCATATGAACGTATTAACGTATGAGCGTGTGAGCGTATGAACACATGAATATTCTTATGCTTGTCCACTTTAAAGAGATAGCAGAGCAGCTGTCACCCTACAGCATTTTCATTTCATGCACACAATACACACGAACTTGAAGGACTTGACAGATTTATCCAAAACGTATAGGAAAATGATAAAAAACAGGAACCAGGAATTGCAACACTCGAACCTTTTAGTTTCTGAAAATATGAATCTACGAAATATCATAGAAGTTAAAACTTTTCAAAAATAAGCTTATGAGATGCGTGGTGTTTTCAGTCTACATTGTGTTTCGAAATTGCTGATATTTTAATAGGCATCGTTTAATTTCCTTTATTTTTTTGTTTGACTGTTTGGTTGTTTGATTGCTTGGTTGCTTGTTTATATTTTTCTTTTTTCTTAAGTTCTCATTTTTCACTTCTTTCCCCTTTTGCACACTTTATTTTTTTTTTTCTTATTTCAGATCTCGAATAACGAAAAATTAGAAATAGAGTCAGAACTTGAGAAGAAAAAAAACATCATACATGTGATTAAGGATAAGTATAAAAATAACATAAGCAGGTGTGACACGCAATACCTTTTAACAAAAATAAAATAAAGAAAAGTACAGGGATTATCCCTGTTAGAATTCTTGTCTTTTTCCACACATCACGGAATAGGATATGGTATATATATATATATATGTACTTGATTTTTTTTAGGTTGCTTGATAAATTCGATGAAAAGGACAAAGACATACACGATCTTCAAACTTTTGTCGTAAATGGTAAATGTTGAAATTCGACAACAAATTTGTGAAATGAACACGTGGATTTTATAAGAATTGTGTCGTTTGATAAAAATTTATCATTTTAAATAATCCCAGGGTAAACATTATGTTATCATTATACACTTTAACGTGCGAATGCGTGAACTGGACACACATGTTCACAATGTTTCAACTTTTGTCAGAATTGCACAATTTAAAAGTTCTTATCCGAAGAGAAAAAGAAAATACATTTTATGATGACAGCATACGGGATGACACAATATTAAATATAAGCCTTCACTTAGATATGGTAAATTTATGCAAAAAAAAAAAAAAAAAAGCTTACAAAATTTTACACTTCACCGTTTCACTTATTTTATTACATTTTACTATATTTTTTTTTTTTTTTTTTTTTCTATCCAATTTCTTGTAAAGAAAAAGCTATAGCTATTGCACTTTTTTACATTTTATAAAAAAAAAAAAAAAAAAAAAAAAAGAAAAATAATAAACATTTCAAGATCCTCCATAGTATTTTTCAAAACAAACACTTTTTATCCCTATCTTTTGTAATTTTTTTGTTTTTATCAGATAATTAAAAAGATGGAGGAAAAAATGAAAATATCGGTGGCCAAGTAGAATCTCCAAAGGGAACGTAAATACATACACATCTGGCAAGTGTGGGTTCAGCTGTGCAGGCGGCAACATAGCTTCATGTGTATATATCAGTTTTTTTGTGATGAAAGTGGAAAAAAAAATAAAATAAAAATAAAATAAAAAAAAAAAACATCTTTTCCCAATTTTGACACATTTTCCTTAGAAAATAACAAAAGAGAAAAGGAGAAAAAAAGAGAAGAAAAAAAAAAAAAAAAAAAAAAAGGAAAACCAGAAATTGTTTACGAATGAAAGCATAACAGAATCCTCAAATACTACTGAAAAACTTATTGGACTATTTTAAATGTGAATAAGCATGTGTGGTGCCGTACTTGTGACCCAGTGTGTGTCTGCTGGATGTGCAAGTAAAAATTGTTATAAGACCTCATTATCACAACTGAGAAAATGTCAATTTAGCACTTTTTTTGAAAAGCACAATAATGAAGATAGTAAACTTTTTGAATGTAAAGAAATAAATGATTACAATTATGAGAATATAATAAAAAATAGAAAAACATTTTTAGTTTATGGATATGCTGATTATTCGTATAGGTGTTTCACACATTTTAATAAATTAATAGATGTAAGTAATAAGCATGTGGAATTTAGTTCAGATGAAAAAATTCCCCTATATAAACTTAACATCAGTAAAAACAAATTAGTTGTTCAAAATTTCCACATTAAGTCAATACCAATAATTCAATTAAGACACAAATGTAAGTTAGTGGAAGAGTTATCAGGAAATGAATTAAATGATCAAATAAATTTAAGCAACATGATAAAACGGTCATGTAGTTATTTTGATTCTATTCTCGATGTAAAAAATATAATCGACTTTTTAAGTAGAGAGGAGGAACTCTCAAATAGTGGATATTTAAAATTTTTGAATGAAGAAAAATTCCATAATACATTCAGTTCTTCAAAAAAGACAAATGATGAAGTAACAAGGTTATTATTATCATACCCCAAAAAAATAACAAATGAAGAGGCCCATATGGAAAAAACCTTATCAGAAAAGGAAAAAATTCTGCATCCCCAAGAAATGAATAACATGTCCCAAGAAGATACACTAAAGAATCTACAGTTGAAATATCAATGTACAACATACATTAATTTTAAAAAGCTGGAATTATTACTAAGTTGTGAGAAGAAGAATGCAAATCTTATTAAATACTTTTTAAACGAAATAATCCTTTATCATAACAGTTACTTAGATATAAGTGAGGAATACAGCAAAATAATGGCCAAAGGATTTCTGTATCTTTTTGATGAAGAAAATATATCATTTGAATATTTAATTGAGCTGAAAAATAAATTGTTAGAAAAGGAATATCAATCTCCCATGAATCTTAAAGGCATCAAGTTGATTAACTTCAACGAACCCGTCATTACTTTTGACGATTTTAAAAATGTTCATTTGAAGGGGTTGAAAAAAATAGATGAGTTTTTATCCAATGAAGAAGCAGACGCGCAATCAGACGCTGAGACGAATGCAGAAACAAACTTGGAATCAAACTTGGAATCAAACGCTGAGACGAATGCAGAAACAAACTTGGAATCAAACTTGGAATCAAACGCTGAGACGAATGTGGAATCAAACTTGGAATCAAACGCTGAGGCAATAGCTTTTTCAAAAAATACCATTTTGCAAACAAATTCAAAAGAACACAAAAGTGATAAAATGAAGAATGTAACGAAATCGAAATATCTAAGTAGAATATACAGGATTTTGGCAGTAAAATATTTACATATAGAAGACTACGATAGCACCTTCCATTATGCATTGGAATCATATAAATTGACATTTCCCCTGAAAAATATAGAAACAACTAAATCAAAAGTCCTCATTGAAAATTTAATTTTATATGTTGGAGCATATAACACAAGTGTTATTAACTTTTTAACCAATTTGCAATTTTTATATACCAATAAAATATTCAAAGTAGTTCGATTTCCTCATACGCGTGCAATCAAAGGTGGAAGACCAATGATGAAAAGAGGAAAATCTGGAAAATGGTTATGGCTAAGTCAAGATTGGAAACCTAGATGGTTAAAGAAGAAATCCAAATTGATTTTGGAAGACGAGTGGAAATGTGTTCCCGATAAAAATGTTCCTTTTTGGAATTAAAATTCATTTTTTAGAAAAATAGACATAGAGATCATATCACTATTAGCAATAATTTTTTAGAGCAATCAATACTCATAAGTATGCGTCTCAAAGACACATTTGTCAGTTTTTTGTGGGTGCAGTAAGCCAAAAAAAAAAAAAAAAAAAAAAAAAAAAAACATTTTGAAGGATCCCACATCTAAACAACAAAAATGAAATATTGTTAATAAAATATCGGAACTTTATATACAAAATTGTATTTATAAAGTTTCCGATGGAAGATGCACTTAAATGTGTTTTTAGTGAGACAATATATGTATATACATTTACATATATGTATATATGCATACACTTCACATGTGCTGATATAAATACATAGTTACGTTTGGATCATCTAGACACAAATAATACATGCAAGTGAATATCGTTATATTCTTAACGAACATTTTACTAGGCGCATACACAGAAATGAAGCTATATATTTTTTGCTGGACATAAAGAAAGGAAGAAAAAATAAAACAGGAATGTATATGTTTTTTTAAATGGATTAGTATTAAGACCATATGAACAAAAATCACATGAAACAACGTAAATAGATATATATATATATATAAAAGTAGTTAATTCGTTATTCTGCACGTGTCAGTACAGAATATATGTACTTATCTGACAAACGGGGATAAGGTAAAATATAATGAGCAATGTGCCCTCACCACAAGAATGTACATATATGTAATTCTGTGTCATTGTGTATACATGAGTATGAATAGGTTTTTTTTTTTTTTTTTTTTTTTTTTTTTTTTTTTTTAAACCAAAGGGGTTATATGTCCCGCTATGAAACCAAGTCTAACCTGTCAAGATGGCAAATGAGCAGAATCACATACGATCGCACATGTGCACAAAATCATATGCACATATATTTACGCCGTGACCTGTACACCATCCTTTGTGCTTTCCTGTGTGTGTTCTTGGGAAATTTCCTGAACATTTATTTTATTTCCACGTTTTTTCTTCTTGACAATGGAAATCTTCGCCTTGCGTTCACCCCCAGTGTCTGGAGATAACTTCTTTTCTAAAAGGGCATTGTCGTCATCTTGATCATTTTTGCATTCTGAAAAATTATGAACAATGTTGATGCCATTTTGTTGTGTTAGATTTTTTTTAATTTTACATAAAGCTTGTGCTTTGGGTACGTTCTTAAGCACTTCAAATGCATCTCTGGCTTTCTGCATTTGTATTTTGTTTAAATATAATTCTTTCTTTAAATTTTGCAATTCATCAACTTGATGTTTAGCTGATTTGTCATATAATACTTCTTTGAATTTCATATTTGCATGTATTTTTCTATTTTTAGCAACCTCTTTTAAGTAAGCATTTTGTCTATGTACTTCATTTTCCCTTAACTGTTTTTCTAATTCAATCATAAACAAATCTTTTTTATTGGATGCATCTATAACATTTTCTAAATTATTACACATTAATCTAAGCTCATTTTGTAACTCTTTATTTCGATCTTCATATTGTTTTACTAACATCTCATTACGCACAATTTCATTTTTTAATAAAACAATTTCTGAGTCTTTTTCTTGTATCATTGATTGTAAATGAGATGACTGTTCTTCTAAAATATTTATCTCAGATGTAAATTTATCTACTTTTTCTCGATAAAGTAATTGTTGTTTTTTTAGATTATCCTTCAATTTTGTTATATCTTTTTCATTTTTTTGTAATGCACTTTCCATATATGCTATTCGCATATCACGTGAAACGATTGTTTCCATATATTCTAATGTATCCTTTCTCAATTCACTTAATGTTTGAAATGTGTTTTCATATTTAAAATTAACATTTTTATTTTCTTCTTTCAGTTCAAGTACTTCTTTTTCTAATTCTACAATTGTTGATTTTAAAGAATATATATCGTTATTATCACAACTTAAGTGCAAATTATGGAGTGATTTCTTCCCTTTTTTGTATGAAATTCCTGTGTCCTCATTTGACATGTCATCATTAGCTAACAAACCTTCCTCTTCACAACTACTTCTGCTTTTATACCAGCTAAATTCTTCTTCCTTATTTTTTCCTGTATGTCTATTTTTTGTATCATTCGTTTTATTCAACTGTTTCCCTTTTTCGTTTTTCACCCCATCACGATTTTCAAACTTCCCATAATTTTCTTCCATCACTCCTTTATCTCGATGTTGTAAAAATTTGAAAATATTATGTATATCATTTAGACTTGTATTTTCTTGCAACCTAAGCAAGAAATCATTTTCGTTATCCACAGAACCAATTTCATTTTCCAATTTCGTCAAGACTTTATCTCTTACATTTAAACTTGATTTTAATGATCTTTTCTCTAATTCTACTTTTTTCAAATGTTTTAACGTTTCTTCATATTTTATTTTTTGATCTAGTAATTTTTCTTTTAATTTTATGTTGTCTAAATTGGAATAATCTCTTTCCTTTTCTGCTTCACTACTTTCCATCATCATTTCATTTCTACGTTTTTCATTTTGTATATCTATTTCTAAAGCGTTTATTTGTTTATCTTTTTCTTTTATCAATTCATTTATTTTATTTTTTATCTCTGGTTCAGGTAATTTTTCTTTTGTTATTCTTTTTTTAAAAGGTTCCACATGGTTTCCTTTTGTCATTACTTCGATTTCTTTATTTTTTTTCTTTTCATTATTTGCATAGTTTCCTATGTCACCCTGTGTATCTAGTCTTATATAACCTTTAATACTTTGTACAGGTGAATCAAAACTGATGGATGCACCTGATAAATCGCTTTGCATTTTTTTGCAACCATCAGGAAAGAATGTCGGTTTGGAATTGAACAGACATGGTACCTTACTCAACTTTTTTGAAAATCGTTTATTAGTGTAACCTATAGTGTGATCGAGATTAGGCCCATTCAGATAGCCACTAGAACTTGCATGTGAAAAAATGCTCCCATGTGTAGTTCCATTTGTGTTTCCATTTAAACATTGAAACGAATTCATACAGCTAGCTTTTCTAGAATTTGTTGTCGGTGGGTTGTAGTTAGGAATTACTTGACATGGGCTAATTACATGAGGGTTATAAATAACCCTTTCTTTGTATACTGGTTGATGTGATTTTAATGTTGTTGTAGTTCTATATAATACAGGATTTAGTTTATTATTACTGTATTCATATATATCACGATTACTCATTTTTACATTATTTCCATTTTCTCTTATAATTTCGTTATATTTATTCGAAGGTATTAAATTTGGAGCCATGACAAACGCAGGGGAACTCATTCTGTTCATCCTAAATTTCAATTCATGCACATGTGAGGTATGAGGACATGTAAATTGGCATAACTACAGGATAATATATATCCTATGTAGCAAAAATATTTAAACTGATATAAATTTTCTAAGGATATGTATTCACACACACATTTGCCAATATGCAAAATGGTATAATATAAAAAAAAAAAAAAAAAAAAAAAAAAAAATGATGAAAGGATAACCCCTGTTATCATCCAAATAATTTTTTCTTATTCTTATTGACATCAAATATTTTATTTCAAAGATAGGCTGTTTTAAAAAATATTTATACAAAGACAAGTAAACATTAATAAGTGAAGAAGGGAGGGATAAAATTAATACAAGAAAAAATCTTGTGTGTATTTTTGTTCGTACAAACAAAAAAAGCCGAATGTGTTCTCCTTAAACTTTGATTCATAAAAATGTTAAGGAAAAAATCATAAAATACAATCAACAACAATGTAGGACAGATGAAATGCTATTCAAAAGACGTGATGAAAAAGACGGTTTGAATTAAGACAAAATTCAGAAACATAACAAATATAAAGCTAATTAAATGAAAAAATGAAGTGGAAAAATTAGCAAACATGCTTCTTACATGTATGGAAAAATCATACTAGTAGAAAAGCAAAAACAATGACTCGTCAGAGTCAATGTTCATGTAATGATGAAAGTGCGAATTAAATAATTAAAGTCAAAATTCTTTTTTTTTTTTTTTTTTTTTTTTTTTTTTTCATGTTGTTCCTTTTTACATACATGTATTATGAAAAGCTTTATTTAAATTTATAACAATAAATCAGAGAAAATGTAAACAACATAAAAAGGTGGGTAAAAAAGAAAAAAAACGAATAATAAATTCCACATTTTATATTTGACAATAGCACAACTAATCAAAAATGAAAACGATAAATAAGATGAAGTAGCCAAATAAAACAAAAAAGCATTTACACTTTACATTTGTAATGTAGATTTGTGCTGTTATAGAAAATTTTAAATATCAATTTAAAACCACATGGTAAAAAAGCATAAATTTTAAACAAGTTAACCTTTTCTTGGATATAAAATATGCACACTTTTTTTTTTTTTTTTTTTTTTTTTTAACCATTCTTTTTTAATGTTTAAATGTGACAAGATTTTTGCGAACTATATTAGCTTTGTTAAAAAAAAAAAAAAATGTATTTGGTGCAAATATTTGTATAAGAAGAAAGGTTAATGTCGTTCAATTTCTTAATTTTTCAATTTTTCAATTTTTCAATTTCTCAATTTTTCAATTTTTCAATTTTTCAACTTCTCAATTTTTCAATTTTTCAATTTTTCAACTTCTCAATTTTTCAATTTCTTAATTTTTCAATTTTTCAATTTTTCAACTTCTCAATTTTTCAATTTCTTAATTTTTCAATTTCTTAATTTTTCAATTTTTCAATTTCTCAATTTTTCAATTTCTTAATTTTTCAATTCTTTAACTTTTCAATTTTCCAGTTTTTCATTTTGTTTAACATGTTAAAAGAGAGGTTGGCTCAAAGTAGACACGTCTTTAGAAATAATTATCATATTTTTTTTCGGCACCATTTGTGCGCAAGTGCCTTGCTTGATGTCGGGTTTAGCTTCGCCTAATTCCAGAATGTTAAGGTTTTCGAAAAATTAAAATTTCCTCATAGTTCCACAAATTTTCATTTTCCTTATACCGCATAATATGTTTAATGTTTCTCAATGCCACCAAGTTTATATGAATTTTTTTTTTTTTTTTTTTTTTTTTTCAACCTCGTAGTAAAGCTCGAATAAAGAAAGGAAAATTGCATTTTTCGTTCTATTTTTACAGTGAAAAAATCTTGAGTGCTTCTGCAAAAATAGGGGAGTTCACACAAAATTGGACACTTTTTTCAAACCCTTCAAATTTAAGTAGTTTCAACATGCAAAAGTGTATAAAAACTTATATGAGCTTCAGTTACATTTACTATTTTAACATAAGTATAAATTAAAAAAGTAAAAATGAATTTCAATTACATCTACAATTACATCTACAATTACAGCTACAGTTACATCTACAATTACAGCTACAGTTACATCTACAATTACAGCTACAGTTACATCTACAATTACAGCTACAGTTACAGCAACAATTACAGTTACAATTACGTATATTTTTTTCCTTCCTCTTCTTTATGGAATGGGCATTACATGTATATGTCTATAAATGCACGCTTTACCCCAAAATAAATTCATTTAAAAAAAAAAAAAAAAATTGGAAATCAACATAATTTTCTTCCCCTATTTCGTTAGAAGAGTTATAAATATATACGTCTTCCTCAAGATATGGAGGAAGAACTCTATTTCACTGTTTAGTTGAGGAAAATAAAACCCTTTCAACCTTATTCATATATGCTATTGTTTAACTGAAGAATGGCACAACCTTATCTAAAAATTTTCGCAACTTAATCATGTCACTCCTAGAGCATTTAACCGTGTTTAATTTACTATTTACTTGTGAAGTTCATTCAGAATGGCAATATTCTCCTGTTCCAATAATATATACACATATATGTATAATTCTCTACATATTCTTATATTTTATATTTATAGTCGTGCACCCATTCCTCCTTCATCCGACAGTCTAAATGCACATACCATTTTGCAAAACTGTTGGCCATATGTAACCAACCGAGTAAAAAAAAAAAGGTGCATTGTTTGACGGAAATATTTACGCACACCTTCTTCTGTTCATAAAGGGAACAAAGATCAAAACAAAAAGAAATAGTAATTTATTATATATACCTAAAACACCTATTTATAAAGAACGAATTGTATGGCTATCATTTGATTTTGTCTACTTCCATTCTTCTAATATGGAAAAAAAAAAAAAAATAAATAAAATAAAAAAGCACTAATTCGTGGACAAGAAAAGTGGTATTTATTATGTACACAAAATTTAATTTTTCTAACTACAGCTAGGAAGGCTAAAGTAATCTACTCTTTAAACATGCTTCTTCCCGTTTTCCTTTTAATGTGCTCAATTTTATGTCAGTGATATAATGAAAAATAATAACAGTATAATATGTATTTATTATTCTGGCTTTGATTCAAAAAAGGTGCAGCAATTAATAGTACAATATAAAATAAGGTACTTGTTATATTATTAATTTTAATGAAAAACCTCTAAATTTTTAAAATTTAAAAGCATTAATTAGACAAAGTTAATTTTTTATCACGTTAATTTTCTTTTGATGAAAAAAAAAAAAAAAAAAAAAAAATTACATGGGAAATATATTTTCTTTTTGAACGTAAAAAATATATACATAACAAGTACACACAACAAATATACATTTACAGGTGTACTACCTTTGTTTAAAGTTGAGAATAATTTAAATAAACAGATTTTGATGTTTTCAAAAAAAAAAAAAAAAAAAAAAAAAAAATAATTTATTTTATTTATTATTTTTTTTTTTATTAATTATGCAAATTCGTTAATGAGATGACGGATGTATCAAGTAAACATGCGTACATTCTTTTTACTTTGTGGATGCACGTGTTTGTTAACCTATATATATTATTATGTCATATGATATTATTTTGTTTCATTATACATAACCAAACGTCTCCAGAAGTAGAAAGGATAAGTCTCTATGCTACTGACAAATAATCTTCTCTGTGCGAGACTCATTTACCACCTCTTAATCATCATCCGAATCTTCGTTTGAGTCATCTTCGGGCACGTACTGTTCGTGATCATTTGATATGTTTCTTTGTGATGGGGGAAGTTTTGCACCAGTGTTAGCGTTGTTATTACCTTGGTTGGCACTGTTATTATTATTATTATTACTATGATTGTTGTTATTGTTGTTGTTACTGCTGCCGCTGTTGTTGTTGCCTGCGCTTGCAGAAGTACCACGATCAGCAGTACTTCTTTTGTTTGCCTCATTCCCTCCACTAGCTTCCTCCTCATCACTACTGTCGTCTCTCCTTCCTATATCCCCAAGCATTTGTTGAAATAAGGTAGGCTCATTGTCCAATTCAATGTCTTCAGGGTGAACAAATATTTCTCTCTTTATTTCAGTTTGTGAGTAAGCTCTGAATGGTATATCAAGTTTCTTATCACATCCAAAGTAGCAATCACTTAGGATATAAATAGACACACATAAATTGCCTACTCTATCTACCATAAATTGTAATTTTTCTTCAATTTTTTTTTCACAGTTTTTTACATGTACATATTTTAAAATACGATCATCACCCTTATATGTTGCAATAATCCACCATTCTTCAAATTTCGGTTGCGGAAAAAAAGGGGCATGGATATATCCAGCGGCTTCATTTTCATGTAAATTGGTTCTATCAATATGTACATAAATAGATGCAACATCCCCTTTGACAATATGCGTTTCATCTTCTACTAATATTTCAGCCGTCATTTTAGTATCTGGAACAATATTGCAAAATGATTTAACATCCAAAATTTGATCATCTGTCATATCAGCTAATCCTTTTCTTGTTTCGTGATTTTGATGAACAAAATCTAGTATATCTTTTACAGCGAATTTTCCTTTATGAACATGTTTAATTATGTTTTCATCAAAATGGGGAATTTGCAGTAAACTTGAACTTCTTATATCAAAAGCTTGTATTAAACATCTTCTAAATGTTAAAGCTGCTTGAGCTGTCAAAAACCAATCTCTTAAAATACTAATTTCTATCATACTATGTGTTATTAGTAAAGAAAATTCTAAAATTTTTTTCAAATCCTCCTTTAATTCATCTGATAATAAATCATGTCTTCTTTGCATATGTGCTAAGATTAAAAAATAATTTTTCGTAATAATAGGTACTTTAAAAGTTCTTTTTTTGGGCTCAATTAATTCATCAATCATTTTATTAACATATTTTTCATCCTCCTCTCTATATTCTATATCCCTACTTTCGGCTGTAGCTGCTAACATTTCTGGATATGCCTTTGCCCTACTATTTTCATTTATTGTATATGTTAAATATTGTAGTGTTTCTATTTTCACTCCATTGGGGCCATATTGTTTTTGCTTTTGATAATATATAATAAATATTGCTGGAATAAATACAAGAAATACTAAAAAAAATATAGATAAAATTAATAATTGATATTTCTCATCTATCAATAATTTGGGCAAACCAATTCCTACTTTCATCATGCCTGGTCCATCTGGATTCCCATATTTTTCATAGTTTTCCTTTGATATTTCATCAGTCAATGCTTGATAAGCTTTTGTTATTAAAATAAATTTGGCAGCAGCAGATGTATCATTCGGGTTTTTATCTGGATGATATTTCAATGATTTAAGTCTATAAGCTTTTTTAATTTCTCCTACAGTTGCACCTGCATTTACTTCTAATATTTCAAATGGATCAAATGTCTGCATAGGTTTCGTACTCAGCATCTGCTGTACGAGGATAAATAACAATATCCAAAATAGTACCAAAACAACAAACTGAATTATCCTTATACATCCCAACTTTTCCCATAGTGTTGTGCTTTTATTTCTCTTATCTAATTTTTCCTTACATAATGAACAAGTACATGACCTGTACACACTGTTGTGCTTAGATTTTTTTAAATTGTAACTATCATTGTTGAAAATTTTATTAAATAGTGATTTTATAAAAATATATGTACATGGAATTAATACGCAAATTAAAACAGTTCCAGCAAAAAAAATAAATGCTGAGTCATCATAGCTTAATAATGGCTCTTTTTTACTATCCTTAGTAAAGGTATCGCGAAACTGTGACATTATTATTTACATAAATTGCAGCAAAGTACTTGGGCTCTATAGCTGTGTACGTAACGTATGGCGTTGTGGGTGGGAAAAAATCACCTAATATGTACACAAGTACATTTATAAGTACATAGGAGTATTTTTACATATACGTGGTGGTACTCATATGTACGTGTGTGGTGTTGGTATTTACATATATGTGGTGGTACTCATATGTACGCAGGGGCACTTATATGTAATATGTGGATATATGTGCACATAGGCATATTTAAGTTACAATAACATACACACACAAAAAAAAAAAAAAAAAAAAAAAAAAAAAAAAAAAAAAAAAAAAAAAAAAAAAAAAAAAAAAAAAAAAAAAAAAAAATTTAATTAAAAAAAAAAAAAAAATATAAAAAAAAAAAAAAAAAAAAAAAAAAAAAAAAAAAAAAAAAAAAAAAATAAAAAAAAAATTAAATATTTTTTTTTTCACCTTTTAAAAAAAAAAAAAAAAAAAAAAAAAAAAAAAAAAAGTGAATATAATAAGCAATCTAATTTTTGTACAACATTATGACATTTACATTCATTGTTTTAAAAATTTACGAAAAGTTGATAGGCGAATTTTTTTTTTTTTTTTTTTTTTATATTTGTAAATAAAAAATTATATACACTTTTGTGGACTCCATGCTTTTAAGCTTTTACATACATTTTTTTAAATTTTTAAGCTGAGCGTTCATGAATTCTTTTCAAACAACTAAAAATTACATCATTAGGTGGTAAAACAAACCACCATTTTAGAAATTTGTTCATTACACCAAATCAGATCTTTATCGCTTCTAAGAATTTCTTCTTTTATCTTCAATGAGAGACTAAGAGAATTATTTTTACGTTCACGGCATTATGTTATATAATGGAACCTCGAAAGGCTTACTGATTAAAACTTTTATACATATAAATTTACATACATATCACATAGATATATATACATATTGGGTCCATCATTCAATTTGTGTTGAAAATATTCCTAATTACGTGTGTAAATTTTATATCCATATAATTACTACGGCAATTTTTTGTTGCTTTTTAAGAAAACATATTTATTGTAATGAAATTTTAAAAGCGTTTACTACTCTAATTATAGCTCACATTATTCAACTTCTTATTCCTTTTTGCTTTCCCAAGCATTTATTCATAAACATGATAAGATGAATACAATGAAATTAAACATTCTAGTGTACATTTTACCATTCGCATACGTAGCAACATACTTTTGGCAAGGAATTTTTTCCTTTAGGTTTATAACATGGGATGCTGCTGCACCAAGCTAATAGGGAAAAAATACCCAAATTTATTTCATCAATAGGCTTTAATTATAAGAGGAATAGCAATGATAATTCCACACCAATTTCTTTTTTTTAATCACATTATAGTGTATAATTTGAAATTAAACAAAAAGTAATTTTTTTTTTTTTTTTTTTTTTTTTTTGAGTGTGTGTCTGTGTGTGTGTTATATTATGATATATGAAACATACGCATTAAGAAAAAGGGATAGAACAAATATTACATTGTCTGATGCACAATTCTGTACCACACTAACTTTACACATTGTTGATTTAGTGTTTTACTACTTCTCTAAAAAGGTAGACAAACAAGAATAGGAGAAATTACACATATTAAACATTTTTTATAAAAATATTTTGTACACCTGCATAAAATTATTTTTAGAACATATAATAAATAGGCACAAAGTGATTTAGGAGAAATGTTCTATGTCAACTTTATGATCTATTGTTACCTTTTTGCAACTTTTTTTTTTTTTTTTTTTTCATCATTCCAAAACCCATCTACATATAAAATACTGTTAAAATTATAAAAAAGAGAAAAATTGTAATAATAGTATTAAAGAAGTAATAAAAATATTATTTCCCCTGTGAACCTTAATTAAGCATACTTAGATAGACAAACGTAAAATCAAAAATCAAAAAAATAAGACAAGGTTGTCAAGCCATATGTTTATTTGTATATTTATTATGTAAAATGTAATTTGCATGGTGATTTTAAAAAGTGTTAATACAAAAAAACTGAAATAAATTATCTTTTTAAAATATACTTAAAAAAATTTTTTTTTCTTATGGTCCATAACATTATAGTTTTTTTTTTTTTTTTTTTTTTTTTTGGCTTATATGTTTTGTTGGTATTTTTTTTTTTATTTCTTACAGCCAAATAGATAAAATAGCTGTTTACACCATGCAAATAAAATTTCCACATTAATTTGCTTACATGCAAGGTAAATAATTGGACAAGTTTTTTTTTTTTTTTTTGGGGGGAGGGTGAAGTGGGGGTTAGCTATTATTAGCATGTTTAAATAAAACTACGAATAAATAAATTGTTCCTCCCAACATACGAGATTAGCTACTTTTTTATTTTATATTAAAACGAACTGATGAATTTCTAATGCAAACTGAAACAAAAAATATATATATATATATATATATATATATGGTTTACATATTTCACATGTGTTGTACATATATTATTCAGGACATTTTTATCATTTTTTTATCATTCTTCCTCCGCACATTGACAATTTTTATTTTCCTTTTGGAAACATCACATTTTACTGAGGCATCAGGTATCAGTCTACAAATATTATTTACTGCTTGTTACATACACATATACCTATCAGTGGTGTAAGGAAGAAAAAAAAAAGGAACCATGTCACGTATACAAAGTTCAACAGAAAAATACTTTAACAAAAATATATATTTCGATTTTCCCATGGATTTAAACAAGTGTAATGATGTTTCTATAAACAGTAATTATTCCAGCGTGTGTAACCGTCTTCCACGCATTTTGAAAATGTACGCTAGGGAGTTAAACTGTTCTAGTGATGAACACAAAAGTGACGGTTCTCATATAAGGAGTGAAAACTTACTTAATCATAGAACTGAACATATTAGTGATAACACATATCTGACAAGCATACATCACGTAAGCGATGCAATAACGTCACATAATGAAAACTTTGCATACCCGAATAGTGAGAATTTAAATTGTTACAACTCATCTTTAAATAACAATATTTGTGGAATCGAAAATAGAATTTATTCTTCTTGCTTAACTTCATCAATATTAGTAAAACATCATTCAACAGAGAATTTGCGAGATGAGGAAAGGAACAAAGGGGTGAATTATCAGGAAGGATCTTATAATGTATTTGACAATCAGATAGTTAATTCCACGAATAATGAAAATAACAGTAGGAGAAATAACAACCAATTTAGTACCGTTAAAAATGGAAAAAACGAGGAATTCGATATTTTTTTTGGAAATAACTCCTCATATGATAAAGGTTATGTGAATACAATGAAAACTTCTTCTAATTGTCTTCCAATTAAAAACAGTTCAAAAAATGAATATAACCTGTGTAATATTAACAATTGTAGAAATGACAAAGTCTCTTCACCCCTTGACAAAAGTTGTGTCTTGCTTGATGTTAGTAATGATCCGAAAACTACAAATAAGTATGAGATAAATTATTCTACCGCAATTCCCCACCCAGAGTGTATAGCACACGAAAATGCCAATTCTGAAAAGGAACAGGGTCTAAATAAATTATCACATATAGATGCTTATAAGGTTGAACGCATATCAGTTTCTTCAGGTGATGAAATGCATGGGAGTAAAAAAGTGTTTAACACAAATTTGGGTTTATTAAATGAAGATAATTTAGCACTATCCGAAATTGCATGTAACAGCCTTGGGGATGGTTTAAAAAGAGTCAAAAAATACAATAGTGAACAAAATTATAATTTTATGGAAGAAAAAAAAGATCGTTCAGATTCACTTTTTAATAAAAAATTAAAAAGCTACTCATTAGATGATATAAAAAAGGGTAAGGTCGAAATCCCAAGTGTTATTTTTATAAAGTTACCATTTAATTCAAATGGTAGCAATGTAATAGATTCGTATAGGCGAAATAACAAGTTGCTCAATTTTATGAAGGACTGTAACGATTCGGTTGGTCTTATTTTAAAATATCCACAAATTGAAAAAATTAAAAATATAACATTTAAAGTACCATCTGAAATTGCCCCTGCAATTAGAAGGAATATCGGTTCATCCATTATATATGAAGATAAGTTTGATAGGAGCGATTATCACCCAAATGTTCAAAATTTACATATGGGAAAAATATATGAAAATCATGTTTTTAGTCTACTGAAAAATAAAAAGAAATTGGGAAAGAAATTATTCAACAAAAGTAACATATATAAAAAATATAAATACAATAATAACAATGGCTTTTGGATAAGTAACATTGACAAGAATCGATTAGTTGACCCTGAAAAAAACGGTAGCTATATAACAGAACTGGTATATGAAAAAAATAATTCATATGATGAAGAAGTGAAAACGTTAATGCATTGTAAAGGCCACAATGTTATTCCTCCTATAGAAGAATTATACAAAGACAATAATTTTTATTTATTCTTACAAAAGGAAAAAATGTATCATCCTTATTTCAACCCAGTGATGGCAACTACTATGCGTAGATATGATGTAGAAGGGGTATCAGACTACAAATATCTTGATACGTGTGAATGTATAACACCCTTTATTCAGCAATCATAATTATGTTCACACCGGTGTAAATGTGAATGGATACAAAATAGTGTTACATGTGTGTAATAAATACAAAACTGTATATGCAATTATATATTATTATTTTGTTCTTCTTCTTTTGAATTTTTATGGATGAAAAAAGGTTTTTTTTTCTCTTTTTTTTTTTTTTATTTCTTTTTTTTAATTATACCTACCACATGTACATGTTCCTTTAGAGTTGAAGAACAAAAATGTTTAGCTAAAATTTTTTTTCTGCTCTGCTTATTTTTATTTGTTTATTAAGGGGGGAAATTATTAAAAAATATTTTTTACTCCCATGTTTTTACATAAAAATTGTTTATGTTAACGTAGCTTATTTTGCTGCATTGGTTGTATGCAACTAGATCGCTATATAAAACTGTGCTTATTTTATTTTAGCTCACATGTCAAATGTTTTTAAAATATGTGTTACTTCCACTATTTTGTCCGTTCCATCGGTCCGTTTGTTCTTTTTATGATGTTTTTATATTGTATTATTCGATTTTGTTTTTTCTTTTTTTTCTTTAAATAAAATTAACAACACTGACTTTCCACTTAAATATTCACAATTTAATTTGGTCGTTTTATTTTAATTATTTTTAAAAGGCAAATCCTACTTAAAACTGTCTTTCAATATGCATATAAAAGCTGCATGTAGAAGACTGTGCATGTTCCACATTTCAAAAAAGAGCACTTATTGATATCTTAAATAAGTAATTAACGTTATGGTTACCTTAAAAAAAAAATAAGAACTTTTTTCCTTTTTTCATATAAGCAAAAAGTGGTAAATACTTCTGTTTGAGGGGAAAGAAAAAAAAAAAAAAAAAAATGTATATAATTTATGCTAGTGCAACGTAAACATGCAATATTCATGTAGAGTAAAATTTAACACAGTGATATTAGCACATATTTTATACATATTCAAATATATATGACACGCGTTTGTTACGTAATAAGCTTAAATAATTTAAGATAAATGCAACCAAATAAGCTCGTTATTCCCAAAAGTGAACAAAATTAAGCACATCTGTATGCGCAGGAAGTTTAACAAAAAAATCGTTTTACAAACTAGTTTGCTTTTCTGCATGGTTATTTTCTATTTATTATTTTTTTTTTTTTTTTTCGCCCATTATGCATACACAATAATACACACGCATGTATGTGCATGTGTAAACACGTGTGTACGTATATTTTTATAATATTTTATCGTTTTTTTTCCGAGGGGGGAGGAATTAAATTAAGATTTAAGGGATCTATACTTATTTTTTCGTCATCTACAAACTGAATAATTGCTTCTTTTTTTTTTTTTTTAATTTTGATTGAATGTGCTTTTTCAAGGGAGAGAAAAAAAAAAAAAAAAAAAAAGAATAAAAAAACGCGCTTTGTGAAATAGGAGTGTGATCATTTTGTGTTTTTGTGTTATTAATTCTTTTCTTTTATTTTATTTTTATTTTTTGATTTTTTTTTTAATATATGGAAAAACATAATATTAACTGTTTTTCAACGACCCTTACGCATAAAGACATGGGTGAAAATTTTTGGAAAAAAAGTCAAACATGTCATATTCGTGCGTTATTTTAGTTATATATATACACAGCAGCTAACCAAAATTCACCATAACACAAGTGTATATTTCTTACGACACTATTGATGTGTTTATTTTTGCATATGATTGAATCTGTCCGTCGTTATAGCATAGTGGCATTTTGTTCTCTTCATCACTTATTTACCACGAATGCTTCTTCAAGTAATATTCATTTGACGCTGCATTTGCGAAATATGTTATTATTATCACGAATGCTGAAGCTACAACTGTACAGCAGCTTCTTCCTTATTACCTTTTATGAAATGTCTATTATTTATGAACTGAGTTTTATTCATCCAAATTAATGCAATTTTGAGGAAGGATCGAATTGAAACTTTTAAGATAAATAAGGATGCATTTGTACTTATATATATATATATAAAATATACATACATGTATCCATACACTTTTACAATTTTTAAAAGGATGCACAATCTATTAATGCATTATGCGTTTGGTACCTTATTCATCATCTCATTAGCTACAATTATGTTTTTATTTTATTTTCCTATATTATAATTTTTTTTTTTTTTTTTTCTTTTTTTTTGCGTATCATAATCGTCACCTTTTTGGTGTATAGGATTGTAGTACTCTTCTATAGTACTGGGTCTTCCGTTTTAGCTACATCGCTAAGGTGATATAGTCAATAGGGCATATTATATATATACATATATATTTATGCATATTTATTAACTCCATTTTACCTCTATTTTATTCAGTTTTATCATCATTTTATTGCACATCTTTTTCAACATATTTTTCCATACTCCTATTTTTACACACCCATAATCCATTCGTATTCACCTGAAAACGCTTTGGGATGAGTATGTCCATATGTCCCCATAAAATACAACTATGAGAAGGAAAAAATTTGAGTTTGTCTATTAGATACTTATCTGCGTATAGTGTTCAGCTAATTTGGGCACTGTTCATATTATATGTAATTCATGCTATTGTTGAATCATCCATTTAGGTTGTATCATATGGTATATGTATATATGCTTGGATTTAAATGAAATAAAAAAATTCATTTTTTTTTTTTTTTTTTTTTTTTTTCTACAACGAATAAACCAAATCTTTTTATGAAAATAGAAAAAATATTTTATATATATTTGACAATTCACATTTGATGAAGTAAAATATTTAAGAGTCGAACATTAATGGAAAATATATCAGAAATGAAATCATATGAAGATAAGGAAAGAGAGCCTATATGTTTTGGAGACATTTCGGAAAACTACAATTTCTCCCCAAATAACTACACCATTAGTGATTCATTTGAAAAAAAAGAAAAAAAAAAAAAAAAAGTGAGGGAACATGAGAATAACAGAATTATGGAGAGTTTGGATGGGAGGAGTGATTTTTTCAATGATGATAAAAATTCCTGTTCATATTCTAAAGGAAGCGATAACATATCAGCAGAAATGAATAAACAAGAGGCAGAGAAATCAGCATCTCCTTTATATGAGAATAACGAGGGTTGTAAAACGAACAAGTATAACAGCAATAACATTGTCGGAAGTAGTAACAGCACCATACCATTGAGTAGCGAAAATTTAGAGGAAAACATTTTAAAAAAATTGAAAGATCATAGTTCCTACGATGATGAACATTTTGGAAGTGATGGTGAGAGTTGTAAAATCCTAAAATTTTGCTCAAAGAAATCCACTCAAAAAGGAAAATCAAGTGAAGAGATTAATTGGAGACTTCATAAAAGTAGTTTAAAAAGTGAGGACAGTAACAGTAAATTTGAAAATTATGATCATGTGATGGACGCAAAATTTTATAGGGATGGTAACACTAATTTCTCGCATATATCATCATACGAAATGACAGAAATTGGAAATACAGAAAAAACAGGTCTTTGGCTTGTAGACACTATAAACGAAATGTTAGACAAATTATGTGATAAGAATGATGAAGATTCATGCATAAACAGTAGAGCTAATATTCATACAAATTCTAATTCTAAGAATTTAAATAATCCAGAATTAGCAAAAAATAGGATATTTAAATGGCCAGAATATTTAAAATTTCAGAACATAATTTTTTATAGCCATATATTACCCATTTATGAAGAAATAAGGAGTGTTTTTATTGAATACCAAAGGCGAATATTAGAACAGAAAAATAAAAACGGAAGAGAATATTCATATGTGTTAAGATTACCTATATTTCCCCACGAAAATGTAAAGGACAAATGTATCTCAGAGACCTATTCAAATTTACCAGATTTAAATGAAATAAATGAGGGCACAGCTTGGGAACAATACGCTCGAAGTAGATATAACATTAACTGGAGAAGTAGCATGTCAAACAGGAGAAGTAGCACATCCAATGGGAGAAGTAACATGACAAACGGGAGCAGTAACATGCCATACGGGAGATACCATAAAAAGTTTGCACTAATAAACGATGATGATTATGATGATAACCTATTTTTCAATTTACCATATGTACTCCAGAAAGTGAGAGATAAATATAATAATTTCTGTGAATATGTTGGAAAAGAGTTAGAACACATAGATAGAGAAAATTACACCATGAAACAGTACTGTTTTGTAGTTTCTAAAAGTTTTGCTAAGAATATTATAAGAACAATACCTTTTTCAAAATTCCCTATATTACTTAAACATATGTTTAATTCTTTCCATATGTGCATGCGTCAGGAGAATAATGAGTTTATGAGTGAAACAGATTTTATGAATTCAAATAATTTACAGCATAGTAGTAATAACTTGAACACTATGTATACCTTGCCAATTGACTTAGACAATTCTATATCCAACTTAAATTCTACTATTCGATTAAATTATATTGGACATGCAAAAAAAAACACATGTGTAAATTCAAATCCATTATTTACATCAAATGGGGAAAATCAATTTTTTTCTGGAGGTATAAACACAACAACAAATGAACAACGGAGAAGACACAGCATCTCCTTAAATTTTAATGGCATAAATAGAAATAATAAAAATTTATTAGGAAATACATTAGAGGATAGAAGAAATTATTTAACTAGAAGTTTTAATACTCTACCTAAATATGTAAAAACGTGTGCTAATAGTAGAAGCAAATTGAGTAAGTCTTTAAGATCAAATGATTTAATAAAAATGTCAAGTATGAAAAATAATTCATTTATAAACACAGATATGTTAGATAGGAGAAGAACATCATGCACTCCTGAGACAAATAAGAACGAAATTACGAGAATTGATACAACAGTAGATCACGACACAACAAATAATTATTTAGAAAACACTCAAATCAATTCTCTTAACGGTATAAATGAATCCATTAATGTATCTGAGAGTGATAATTATTACACGGCAAAATCATTACCCCTTAACTAATCCCCCAACCCACCAAAAAAAAAAATATATTGATGCAGAAAGGTACTGTTGGTGGGAAATAAATTGATGTTGTGGATGTTCAATTTTAAATGCACATATCTGTATATATTCGGAAGGAACAAAAAGTGGTTATAGAAAAGATGTGTTTCCCTCTTTCCCCCACCCCCACACCCACAGACAGACAGACCCGTGCATATGTATCAGCACATTAACATATTCTGGTTCATATCACGTGTAACCTTTCGTTTCGAGAAATTAGTACATTCCCTCTAATGATTCTCCATTAGTATTTCTCCATTCGCTATTCCTTGTTCGCCTTTTCTTTTTTTTTTTTTTTTTTTTTTTTCGTTTCTGCTGGTAAGTCTCTTAAGAAGTGTAATTTTTTTTTTTTTTCACGAAACTGAAGAGAACACTTGTTGAAGTTACCCATTTAATCCTTCACTTTTTTTTTTTTTTTTTTTTTTTTTTGCAAATAAAGCGTTTATCATTTTTTGTGCTTACATTTATGAGTATTTACACACGGCACATCGAACTGAATATACTGGCTTATGATATATAATTACCCCCATTTTATGCACCACGCACATGCACGTACTTGAGTGATTTATTTGTAAGAAAACAATAGTAATGATAGTAAAAATGATAGTAAAAATGATAGTAAAAATGATAGTAAAAATGATAGTAAAAATGATAGTAATAATAGAAACAGTAGTAATGACAGTAATGAACGTAATAACTCCCTTCAAATTTTCCACTTTAAATGTAAAAAAAAAAAAAAAAAAAAAAAAGTGCATCACACTCGTTTGCACAAACCGTTGCATACTTCTTTGAACCCTGCAAATTTAAATAATTCATTTGAATTGTTCGGTGTGGCCTTATTTATTCCCGTTGTTTATTCTAATGTGTGACGAATACACGCAAGACGACGTATGAGTTTTCGAAACACTAGAGGGGAATACGTTTGAATTTTCAGGGGAAACCCAATCAAAAGTAAAATATAATTACTACAAAAAAAAAAAAAAAAAAAAAAAAAAAAAGAGTTCCTGTTGTTAGGATAGTAGACAGTCCAAATACATCCTTTCATTTTATTTTATTTATTTTTTTTTTTTTTTTTTTGGCAAAAATTAAAATATACTTCTTTACAAAAACGATTACTTGTAACACCCTTTAATTCTTTTGTTATTTTTTCCATTCATTCGTTACATTCGTGCAACACTTATTTACATTCATTGGGAAATTTACAACAGTTCACCAAAATTTCCACACTTTTCAGAAAAAATAATTTGTTGGGAAGAGCAGTTTGCAATTGTAAACATACGTACATGCATTTGTATATATGAATCAAGGAATGTTATCACAAATGCATTTTTAAAATCCGTTTCATAAAAATGAAATGAAATTTATTTTCTTCTAATTCAGGAAAGAAATGTGAGTCCTTTTATTTAAAATAATTTTCCATTTTTTTTAAATTATACACTTTTTATTATTTTATTTTATTATTTTTTTAATTTTTTTTCCATTTAAATGCATCTAACCTGTGCGCTTAAAACGAATGTGTGGTACACAAAATTAAAATACGGTATATATGCACGTAGGCTTAAACAAATAAACATGTGTAAAGAGGAACATACAGTGGGTTCATACAGTTTATATTATTATTTGTTCATAAAATGTAGATTAGCCTTTTTTTTATTGAATTTTTGAATTTTTTTTATTTTTTTCCATATAATGTTTTTCTATCCTTTGAATTATGTGAATTAAGTATATGGATTGACGAAGAGGATATTCTTTCTTTTTTAATGGGAATAAAATAACGTCATGGGAAAATTTTACTTTTACATTTTTCAAAAAAGGGTTTTATTCAGCATTGTTTTTATATTCAATGAAAAGTATAATGCGCATTTTATTTTATATGACACCAGTCACTGCGTTGGCCTTTTTTTTTTTTTTTTTTTTTTTTTTTAATAGCACTTATTGTAAAGCATGTTATATGTTTGTAAATACACATAATAAAATTTTTATGAAATAACTGTTCATCCAACATGTATATTTTATTACAAGCAAACATGAACACTATTATAAATATTCATGAAGAATACATTATGTGTATATATGTAAATTTTTTATATGATTATTTTGTGTTTCCATTATGAATACATATAAACAAGTGTATAAATATGTTACACTGTTATTTATGTACGTATGCTGTTGACATATTTACCAATGCTTATCCCTTTCACTACCATTGAAAGCATTATTAGTCGCTGTGCTATTTTAAAGTTGAAAAAAAAAAAAAAAAGAAAAAAAAAGAAAAAAAAATAATTTCTGTTACCCAATTTTAGAATAAAATGAGTTGCATTTTTTTTTTATTTTTTATGGAGGATATGTATTTCCCCATCTTTAAAGCGTTTTCAATTATGTATGAATGATACAGCGGTAGTAACATATATTAATATATATTATTACCAGCTTATATTATTAGAAAAAATTTTCATACTTCTAATTTTGCCATTTGTTACCCATTAAGTCACTTTTCTCGCATTACCATATGGCAATTTCATCATACTATTCTTTATTATATCAAAAATTAAAGCATTTTCATCTTATCATTATTCTTCATTCCACCATCTGCATGAACGTTTATATATACACATATATATACGTATATATATATATATATATATATACACGAATTACCTTCTTAATGGTGATAAAATGCTTTAGGAAATTCTTTAAACCTAATCATGCCCTCTTCTCAATATTCGAAACCATAAAACGGCCGAATTCCTGTTTTCCCCTCCCCCCCCCCCCTTTTTTTTTTTTTTTTTGTGATGTATATTTTTAGTTGAAAAATAAGATTCCATTTTATTTTTTTTTTTTTTTTGGTTTTTCTTTTCTTTTTAGCAATTTTATAGGCCATATATAAGGCCATTTTTTTGAAATGAATTTTCTTCTGCTTGTCCTAGAGTCCTATTCGTGAATGCTTCATTGCGTCTTATCTTCGTTAATCTTTTCTGCATTGGCTTATATTTACCTTTTATATAAAACAGGGTTTATTAGTACAGTTCAAATTCTTGAAGAATATTTTAAAACAGCACACATCACACCATATATTATGACCCGTGCAAACAGGAAAAGGGAATGAACTCAGAAAGGAAGAAAAAAAGGAAAAATGACAACTATGATAAAACTGCATTATGATGACAGAAATGATGAAGAAGAAAATATGATAATTCGGTGTGCAGACTATGAAACATTCAAATCGTATGTACTAAAAAAATATGACAAAATGTATGAAATAGCAAATTTTGAAAATGAAAATATAAACTATTATAGCGTGAAATGGATAAATTTTATAAACAGAAGAGTACCAATTTTATTACAAAATAAGAGCGGGCCATGTCCACTTTTATGTATTACAAATATTTTACTTTTACGTAATCAGATACAAATTGATAGAAAAATTAAGAAAATTTCTCAAAGCCTTCTCGAAAGTAAAATTATGAATATACTATTAGAATCTAATAAAAAAAACGTCACAGATAATACAGCATCATGTAATTATAGGAAGAATATAATTGAATGTGTTGATATATTACCGCAGTTAAAATATGGATTAGATGTTAATTGTAAATTTACTAATATTCACTCTTTTGAATATACCAAAGGTTTGTGCATATTTGATATGCTTAATATTCCCTTATGCCATGGATGGGTCATATCATCAGATGATGTAATGTTCTATTCCTATTTAAAGGATTACTCGTACAATGTCATAATAAATAAAATAATAAGATATAATGAATACTATGAAAGAAAAAAAAAAAAAAACATAGATGAATCCTCCAATGAAAAGGCTATCATATTGCATCAGTTGGAGGATGTAAAGGATGATAATAAAAACAACTGTGATTTGGAACAAAATTACATAAACGATGCACAGAAAGATAAATCTGAGAATAATCAGATAGATAATCCAAAGGATGCTGTGATTGACACAACCAAAGGAATAAGCCAGAATATAGAAAAGAATGATAAAAAAAAAAGTATAAAGGGTATTCCTATTTTTCCAGATGACCTTGACCATATTTCAGAAGAGAATGTTAAAGCAACATTATTGAAAAACACGTCTTCTCCTCACGTTAATAATATACCTCCTCTTGATATAGAACTAACTAAAAAGAAGAACAACAATTCTAATAAAAAAAATATAAATTCAGATACGTGTAGTATTATAAAAAGGACACAAAGCAACATCAATAATCGAAAATTGGCAACCTCTATCAATTTCGAAAAAGGCACAAGTAAACATGACAAAAAAGAATGTGATCTGAACTCAGATGACATTTTTATCAAGGGTGAAAAAACAGTCAACATTTTGTCACAGTCTTCAAAAAAAACTAACATAAACAATGATGTTAACATAAGCAAGAGTGTTAACATAAACAAGAGTGCTAGCATAAACAAGAGTGCTAGCATAAACAAGAATGCTAGCATAAACAAGAATGCTAGCATAAACAAGAATGCTAGCATAAACAAGAATGCCAATATAAACATCAGTGTTAATACTAACAGTAATAATAGTGCTAATGTGAAAAAAATGTATAGTGGCGATATTATAGAAATAAATACTCCAAAATTTCCAGAGGATTCTCTACCAACTACCTCTACCGACCTCATACCAGTTGATTATTCCTCAGATGGAAATACTAATAGTTGTTTAAAGAAATCCACTCTGGATGAAAGATCTAAAAGGAATAATGAACTTTTTATAGAATCTAACAAAATAGCTAGCTTAACGAGCGAGAGTGCGAATATTGATATCCTAGATAATTACACAGAAAATAGTGAAAATTATATCATGAAAAATTACAACACAGATATTGATTTAACTCCATACGAAATACATGAAGCTTTAATAATTTTAGAATTTCTCGAAACATACAAAACGCAATTAACGTTAGTTGGTTTGAAATTGCTCAGAGAAAGTTTGAATCCAAATCAACTTGTGGCCTTCTTTAGAAATAACCATTTTAATACCCTTTTTAAATATGAAAATAAATTATTTCTGCTAGCTGCAGATATTTCCTTTTTACATCTAAGTTGCACATGGGAATTATTTGACAACGTAGATAATGACACGTCTTACTATGATAACAATTTTAGGTGTATAACGTATCAGAAAAATCTGGAAAAAAAATTTAATCATTCTATAATTTATTTAAACAATTATGAAAGGGGCACAGCGAAAAATAATATGCATTGTGTCAAATCGAATTCTTCTATTACGAATAATAAGAAGAAGAAGAAAAAATGTACCTTCATGTAGAGAACTCTGCTCCTGTATATAGATCTGTCCCCTTATTGATATTGGTGTTCTTTATAATATGTTAAACTCTTTACTATTGATGATTGGTTTGCATATATGCTACGGGGAGAGTTCCATATATAAGCATATCTATGTGTGTGCACCTAGGTGTGCAGATGCGCAGGCATATTTGACATATTTGTATATTTTGTATATGTAATCCTGCATTTTGGCTTTTTTTTTTTTTTTTTTTTTTCAATGTGTTCTACGTGAAATTTTGTTGCTTTTTTTTTATCAGTTCCTATGCGTGTGTACAAGCATATGCCCCGCTCCCCGATACTTTAAATTTGAGTACACAAATATGATGTACTTGTATTTTCACAACCCTTATTTAATTAAATTTACGTTATCAACTGAATACGTAATGATGTATGTGTGTAATTTTACAAGTGTGTAATACCAAAAAGATGTCTTAATTTTTCATATTTTTTGTACTTTTTGTTTTTTTTTTATTTTTTATATTTTTTATATTTTTTCTTTTTTTTTATTTAATTTATCTTATTTTTTTTTTTTTTTTTTTTTTTTTTTTTTTTTTATTTTTACCCCCCCTCCTTTTTTTTTTTTTTTTTTTTTTTTTTTAATTTAACTATTTTTTGACGTTATTGTGGAAAAAAATAGTTCATTCTTATTATTACGATTATTCTTATTATTATCATTAATAAGGTTATTATTATTGTTGTTATTATCATTTCTATTATTATTTTTATTTCTATTATCATTTCTATTTTATTTCTGTTATTATTTCTGTTATTTTTTTTATTATTTCTGTTATTTTTTTTATTATTTCTGTTATTATTATTATTATTTTATAAACGTACGTATATTTTTAAGTGTTACACGTTTTTAAGCGTTCATACGATTATAGGCTTACAAAAATTGTTTTTTTTTTTTTTTTAGCATACGTGCGTTTTTATGTATATATATTTTTTAAAATGTCATTTCAAGCAAACTTTTCAATAAAAGAGTTTTCTCCTTCAGACAGCTTTCATTACAAATGAATATATTTGTATACTTAAGAATAAAATTATAAAAAGCTAACAATAATGTTCTTTCCATTTTATCGATAAACAAGAAAACGTAATTTTCCTTTCCTCCATTCGTAAGAATGTATAATATGTCTATTAGCACTACACAAGCTTCAGCATTTAGAAATTCTCCAGTATCTTCATTTTCCCTTGCATGTATGCATTTGTCATTTGAGGTCGAATTGGAGTCTATATTCGTTTTCCCTTCAACGCAGTTGAAATCATTTACAACACATTGACGTTCCATCAGAATTTTCTTTATGTATTCAACGTTATCGATATTTTTAAATAAGAATAGAAAATTATTTTTAAACAAAGAATCTAATATATCTACATAAATATCCTTATCAAGGTTGAATTCAAATATTCCTTCTTCTAAAAACGCAATTTTTAAAATATCGATTTGTTTTTTAAAATTATTTTTTATTTCCTTTGAATTCCAAATAATTTCAAAGTTTATCTTATTTTTGATTTTTCTCTTCCCACAGTTTTCCCTGTTATACATGTTTATCATATGGGGTGTTATTTCTTCCACATCAGTGAGCATTGTGTTTTCGCTCAAAGTTATGCTACTATCCGTGTCAGAGTAGTTATCGGGGCAATTGTCGACCCGGTTACCTTTTTCTGTATGGTCTATTTCTCTCTCATTTTCTTTCCTCTCCCCTCTACAAATGTTACCACACTTCCCCTTAGGATCCTCTGCGACATTGCATTTGTTCTTTTTGCAGCCCTTTTTTTCTTCTTCTGCCACGGTGAGTTCTTTGTCTGTCAGACATATCTTATCACACACATCTACACCCATTGTGCAAATGTATTCCTGCTGTTCAGAATCCTTTTCTTCAGGAATATTATGCGTAGATTTCTTTTCCTTATCAATGCAGTTACTAATTACAGTTGTGCATATATCTTTGTAGCCCTTTCCTACTTTACCATTGTTGCAGTTTATAATGTCACTTTTATTTTCTAACGATTTTAATTCTTCCATATACTCTTTGGGTATAAGTTTAATATTCAGCAATTTTGGCTTTAACTTGTACCTTTCTGGCATTGTAGAAGTGTATTCATTTTGTCTTCTTGCTCGTTTTTTAATATCATTTTGTGTTACTATATTTTGAAGTAGTTGTATTGATTTGTCAATATTAAGAGTGTAAGAGGAATTTAAATTATTTATATATTCTTTGGAATTTTTAAAGTCCTTAAGAGAATTTTTATAAATTTTTAGCTTGTATCTCGCCATACCCCTTAAATAATATGCCTTAAAAATTACATACTTAATATTAATCTTAAGTGTGTTTTTGTTCATACAATAGTTAGCACAATTCTTTTGTTCAGACAAAAAATAATTATAAAATAAAATTATGGAAGAACAATCAGCCATACTTTCGTAAAATAAAGATAATTTTTGTAAAGTTAATGACCTATTTATAAGTACTTTGGTTCGAAGTATACATAATTCTTCTATTTTTGTATTAACAAAAATATTCTTATTGTTATGTGACAGGATATCTATGTACAATTCATTATCTAAATTTTTTTCTATTTCTAAAAATATATTATTATTTCTTAATTCAAAGTCAATGTAATTAATTATATCATTGTAATTTTCCAAACATTTATTGTATTTTTTATTTTGATAGTTTATTTTCCCTTCTTCGCTTTTGGAAAAGTATATATCATACACTTTACAACCAAAAGATAGTAACCATTTTTCTTCATTCCTTAAATTTAATGAACAGTTATGACTTTCGTTTATCTCATAGTCAGCTTCTACTACAAAGTTGCTATTGTCTTTTCTTCCTTCCATATTAACATGTAATTCTAAATCTTCTTTGTTCTTCTCCATATTCATTACCTCTTCAGAATATCTGTCGTTCTTCCTTTCTTTTGCTTCTCCATCAGCATTATCTTTACGAATCCAATTTGATACCTCCACATTATTGTCAACATCATCTATTTTTAGCTTATCCCATGCGTGATAATAACTCTCAAGAGAGTTACAATCTCTCTTAAGGGCATTATGATGTTCCTTGCATTTCTGCAATGTTGAGATATTCTTGCTCCTAAGGGTATCAACCTGGGTGCTACTAATATTTGCTTCCTCACTTTGGCAATCTTCACCATTCCTGTTAATGTTTTTATTACCATGGTAAATCTGTCTTGTGGAACCTTTCTCGTTTGCTGTCTTTCCCACTTGTTCTTTACTAATTTTATTTTGCCACTCATATAGATCCTCGAAATACTCTTTTATTTCTTCGGAATTATATTTTAACTGTTTGGCAATTTCTATATGTGATTTTGCCATTTTTAGAAACTTTCTCTCTTTTAATGCTGAATATTATCAGGGTGGATATGGGGCTGTTAACACCTTAAGTGGATTACCTTTGTTATTCTTAAAAATTTCTTATTATGGTCAATTTTTCCCCCACTTCCTTCAGTTCCTCTTTTTACGTTTTGGTAATTTTTCTTATTTCTTCTTAAAAGATCACACATGTGTATTCCTTCTACTGCAAATATTTATGCTCATATACACTTACACGTACATCCATATGTACATTGGTAAATATGTACCTCCACGTGTTTATGGAATGAAAAAAAAAAAAAAAAAAAAAAAATTATGAACAAATTTTTATCCTTCTTGCCTTGGTGTTATTCCATGTTTAATATATACGTATTGCTATTTTTTTTTTTTTTTGTAAAATCGAAAGAGGTAAAAAGGGGACAAGCATAAAAAAGACACAAACATTTTCTTCGCTGCCATTTTGTGGATTCAGGCAACAACCTAAGTGTTTCAACTTGTAGCACACTTGGGCGCTCCCTTTGATTTTTTGTAGTTTTATATTTATTGGATATATCGACACTTTTCAGCCCCATTTTTTAAGATCCTGCACACGAAAAAACGAAACAGCAAATAAAAAAAGGGGAAAGTAGAAAAAAAAAAAAAAAAAATTTACATTTGCGGACAACTTCTCCTCAGAGTGTGAGAAAAAAAGCGTACACTTGTGGTCCACTTTTTCCCTTTTTTGTGTGCAAAAAAAAAAAAAAAAAAAAAAAAAAAACACCATTCTCATGCCCTCCTACTGTTTCCTTATATATTTCTGCGGATGGGAATTCTCGTGACAAAAATTAGCCATGCTATATATATGTGTATGCACTTTATAATGGCCTAAAACACCAGCATTTTATTACATACATTTAATGCTCTTATTTTTGTACGTAAGATATTCTTTGTGATATTACATTATTACTAAATGGTGTTTTTTTTTTTTTTTTTTTTTTTTTTTTTTTTTTGTTAAAATGCAGTTGAATTTTACGTATACTTTATATACACACATACAACATGTGCATGTGTGGGTTTCACAGAGAACTCAAAGTATGTGATTGTAAGTATATATTTTTTTAACTGAAATCGTAAATAATTATGATCTTATAATACAGAATTCAGGATAATTCCATATACTGAACAAAACACAAACATATTTAGAAATACATGTAAACATATTTCGAAACATATATACAAATTGTAAATGTAAGGAGCTTCAATAAGGAGTATATAGTCAAATATATACAGTTGTAAAAAATAAATAAAAAAAAAAAAAAAAAAACTAAAATTAAATGTGGTAAAATATGACGGGAATGACATTACGATGTGGAGAAAATTATGGGATATAATCAAGTATTTAACATTTAAAAATAGGCATACTACAAAACAAAAATAATATTGCAAAAATACAAATACAATCATAATGGAAATGGCACAAAAATAGAGTATATATTATACAACAAATTGGGCATAAAATCTGATAGGTCTCCATTTGATGAGCCCCAATTCTGTTTCAAAAAGAAGCAAAGCAACAAAAGCATATTTTTATAAAAAAATCAAAATAAGTTTGAGAAAAGTTTAATTTTTCTCATGATGCTTTTTCATTGGTCCCCAAAATGGCTCAGGGTTCTGTAAAGTGAACAGTTTCATATGCACATTGTCGTTTTTCTTATAATTAGAAATGTCTATGTTATCAAAGGCTGAATTTTTTTTGAAAAATTCATATGATAATAATTTTTCTCTTAATTTTTCATCCTTTATGGTATTTATAGAATATATTTTTTTTGATCTATCTTCAGTCCCTTCGTTGTTATTGTTCTGGGAATTTATTTCATCTTTTCCAGGTTCTACAGTATTCGATTTTCTTTTTTTGGAATTTATTTTATAAATAATAGCGCGAAATATATCCATGAAAACACTGTTGGGTGCATTTGTTTTTACACTATCTGGATCTTTATGAAAATAAGAAACTTGATAATTCAAATTCAACAATGCGTTCACTAGCAATCGTCTTGAAAATGAGCAAATTTTAAAATTTCTGAATAAGGATGGTAAATTATAATACAAGGGAACATTTATTTCTTGTTTTAAGCATCTAAAATTTATTAATATTCTTTCTCTAGATTTTATCGTATTTAAATTATATTCTTCCAAATTTTCTAGTAACGATATGCACGTATGAATAAAGTCATCATTGTGTAATTTTCCGATATAAATTGGTCCACCTAATAATATATCTCCTCCACATTCCATACATTTATTTGAAATGTTTAACTTGCTGCATTTATACCTATGACAAATAATGGGGTTCTCATCCTTTTCATATTCTTCTTTTTGAAATGGTCTCTCTGCAATAGCACTAACTATATCTGCATTCACATCTCCTGCATTTTGTGTGAATTCGATATTCACACTATTTCTCTTGTTATCTGGATATTCTCCATTTAAGGATTTTTTAAAATTTTCTTCTTTTTCGACAATGTCATCATGTACCAATTTATCGATATTATTTCCATTTTCCACATTTTCTGTTGTACCATCATCTACCACATCGTCTTCAATATATTCAACTGTCATATTCTCAGATTCATGATTGTGCTCATGGTCATTCAAAGTGTTTAGTTCTGCAGGTCCATGTCCAGTTTCTTCAAAAGTATGATTATTCTTCTTCGCATTTGAAAAAATAGCATTCCTTTTGTTTCTTCTTCTTTTCTTCGAATGTTTGTTATTTTCTATATCTGATAGGTTAACATCTTTCTTAGATGCCATGGGATTAATGTAAAAGCTACAGCAGTTATTGCATTGGTAGACCAAACCACTATCAATACAAAGGTCCTTTGTCTGTAGTGCATCATCTAATACTTGTATTAATATACGAATATAAAAATCAATATTAAGGGAAGAATACGGGATAACACATTTCTTATATTTTGCTGCAATAGTTTTTATTTTATAAAATAATACTCTTATGCAATATTCCTTATTGTAATTTACTTTTTGACTAAATATCATACTATTGTATTTATAAAAAGAAACATCTGGGAATTTTCCATTTAGTACTCTCATATCTGTATTAGTTATTAAAATAAAGAAATTGCTTCTTCCATATTTTAAGCAGCTTTCAAGATATTCCAACGACGACCCGTATGGGTCTATATCTATTATATCAAACATGTACTTTTCCATAATTTTGTTATTTTTAATTATTTCTTCCATTTGTCTTTCACTCAAGTTATTTTTATCTCCTATGTTTTGTGTTACCCCTGTGTTTTGGATCTTCTCAATTTGGTTTATTTCATTTTTGGTTTCCCTATCAATGGGTTCATTTCCACCAACAGCCAAATATGCATTGTTAACGCGAGTATAACTGCTGTTCTCCGTTTTATTGTACGCCTCATTTGATGCGTCAATGTTTGTAACAGTTTCGTCACTGGATGAAAATGCCGTTGAATCACTTTCCTGCAAATGATCATGATCTTCAACGTAATTATTATTCGCACTTTTCTTGTTCTTATTATTCCTATCATTCAAGGTGTCATTGTTATAGTCCATGTTAGTGTCATTGTTATAGTCCATGTTAGTGTCATTGTTATAGTCCATGTTAGTGTCATTGTTATGATCCATGTTAGTGTCATTGTTATGATTCATGTTAGTCTCATTATTAGCATCATTGGTATAGACCCTGTTATTATCTATGCTATTGTTCGGCTTTTCTTCCCTAACATCATCCGACTTGACTCTATTGTAATTAGTTAAATATTTTAAAAATTTCAAAGCTTCCCTAAAGTAGTCATTATAATCCGTTGTATTGTTGATGTACGAAAATCCAATGTCTAATTTCTTATTACTTCTTTTCTTTCCATAAATATTGTCAATATTTAATATATTCATGACACTATTTGCGTCATTGCATAGAATGGTATACTTTTCTTTATTAATCTGATTTCTTTTAAAATTTCTTCTTATTTGCTTACAAGCGTATTTATCAATATCATTTGCAATAATGTGATTTATCGTTTCTTGTAATTCCTTCACATATCTTATGCTTCTTATTCCACTTGCACTTAACAATTCAACGACATTAAATCCTCTAAATAAAATCTTCTCCTTATCTTTGTTTTTATTTTTTAAATATATCTCTAACGCCTTTATTAGAATAATACTCATATCACGATTAAATACCTGTACCTTGTTATAAAAAATGTTATTACTCTTATTTTTTATTTTCACACTTCCTTCAAATATGTATTTGTTATTTAAGTTACAACTGTAGGCCTCTCCTCCATTCTCCTTGTTGGTATTTTCCATCACATTCGTTTTATTTGTTCCATTATTACATTTTTTGTAAAAGTTATGTTTGTTTTCTTCTACGTAATTTCTTTTCCGTTTATAATTTTTTTTTATTTCATTCTTGGCACCTATCATTTTTTTTTTTTTATTTTATGAAACTTTTTATGTTAAGATGTTGTTTAAATGTGCGTGCTCGACGCATGAACTTTACGCGCAAAAAATTACTCTGTCAAATTGCATACAAAATACAATAAGTATATGTAGGTGTATGTATGTGGATAAATATATGTACAGAACAAGTTAACTTTACGTGATATAATATGTCGGTGAAAAAAAAAAAATGCCTGTCTGTGTACGTGTGTGTGTTCATATACGTATGTAGGAAGAATGTAATATGTGCATTTTGTAATAGCATAATATAAATATTTATTGTAAGTTCTATAAATATTCTTATCATTATGTATTATAAACGTGGGTAACACGGTTCGTGATAGGAATACGTAATAAAAGTGCTCATTATAAACATGTGCAAAGTTAATATACGTGGCCGATATATAATAAATAATAATGTGATGTGTATTTGGTGAATATTCTCATTGTGTGTGGGAATCAAACGTGTGCTGAACTTATGAAAATCTTTACTTACAACAAATTTTGCATTATAAATATATAGGAAAAAAAAAAAAAAAAAAAAAAAGTGCTAAATGAATGTATAATAAGATGAATCATGTTGATGTATTTTTTGTGAAAGTGTTTTTTTCTCAAAATTTCTACTAGATCTTTTGCCTTGGATAAAAAAAAAAAAATATAAAATATGTGTTTCTATAACATCATTTAAACTGCCTACTTATTTTTTTTTTCAATATTTTGGTAGAAAATCTATGTGTACAACATTGTGCAAGTTATGCATATAATGTTGTAACAAAATGTGAATTTTTTTTTTTTTTTTTTTCATTATACTTGCTGCTACTTTTTATATTGTGTTGGGAAAAAAACAAAAAATAACTCTTTTTCTTATTTGCATTATTTTAATGAAACATTTTTAAAAAATTTTGGTGAAACAAAATGTAACATGTACGAAGTTGCATACACAAGTGGAGAAATATATATATATATATATAATATATTTACTAAATAAAGGAAAAAAAAAAAAAACACCCTAATTTAAATAGTTATTAAGTCCATGGACTTTTTATCTGATGTTATTTTTTATTTCTGGATTTTTCCTCTTTTTCTTTATAATATATTTTTTTTTGGGTTTATTCTACTCATTTTTTTTGTAACAAAACTTATTTATTCTTGAGATTTATTTTTACAATAAAATGCGTTTTTATGTTTTCTTTTTTTTTTTTGTTGTTGTTTTAATTTGTTCCTATTGTTCGTATTTATATATGTAGCCTAGAATATATTTCCAAACATTCTGATGACATTCTTGTTGTTTTGGGGATACTTATAAATCATTTTTTTCTTTATCTTTTTTCATAACTCTTATACTGCAGATTGTTGGATACACAGTTGTGTTCACAAGTTTTTACATTTGCATTACTATGTATACCTTTTTGAATTTTTCTTTTCTTTTTTTTTTTTTTTTTTTTTTTGCCACTTATTAGATATAAAAAGAAAAAACATTTTCCCGTTCACATAGGTGTAAATTGATTATATAAATTTTATCTACATATATCTACAAAATTTCAACACATGATGAAAAAAAATACAGGGGGTATGTGACGTGATCCAAATAAATTGTGCATAAAATTATGATTAAATCCGTAATGCAAAAATGAACATGCTAAATCATTTTTAAATATAACAAAAAATGTCTCTTTTAAAGGATGAAATGGAAATAAGCTACCAAATTTCACATATACTACCACTATATTTCCTTAATACTTTTTAATGGCATTTTAGATTTGTGAGTATATATATAAAAAAAAAAAAAAAAAAAAAAACAGGTTAAAAAAAAATAGTTACATGAGGTCTGAATGGTACCCTATAATTTCGTATAAATAATCTTAAATAAAACCACATTTAAAAAGGAATACTAAAAATGAAATAAAAAAAAAAAAGAAAAACGGCCCTCTCATTTGCCTATATTATATGCATATATAAATTCATGGTGTATATGTATTAGCGTGTAACATAATAATATAAACATGCAGTATATTATATATATATGAAAAAGTATATATTACATATTCTCATATAATACAACTTTTACACTCTGAATGATAAAAAAAAGCAAAACTTCCTCTTAATTCTCACAAAGGATTATGATGTTTTTCTTCCCTTTTAACATCACTAATATATTAAAAAATAAATAAAAATGTATACATGACTAACAAATTAACGCAAACAAATGTAAAGGATGAAATTTACATCACTTTCAAATTTTCAAAATAATAAAAAAAAAAAAAAAAAAAAAAAAAAAAAAAACACCGTCGTACGCATGTTACAAATCTTATTTATGTGAATTTATGCATGCCTATATATATGCATACGAAAGAGTGATTAATGCTTTTGTCATGTAGTGCCCTCATTTCCCCTCCTATTTATGTAAACATAAACGGACACACATGTATAATAATTGTTAAGCATATAAAAACGATATCTTATATAGTAGGATTTCCAGAACATCCTAATCAAGAACACAACAAGAAATGAGGAAAAAAAGGTACGCAACTTGCTATCATCCCAGGCAACTACAACAATTTGAATAAGCTTAAATAATTCTTAGGAAAAGAAAAAAATTAGAACAATGATTAATGAAACTAGTACACCTAGTTTGTTTACACCAAATCATTTCAATATGATTGCTTAGCCGTGTACAAATTATCAATTAGTTGTAATTTGTTAAGTAAAAATAACTATACCCCCCCCCCCCCCCCCCTCCAAAAAAAAAGAAAAAAAAAATTAAGACCCATTTTTACACTGTGCATTTAATAAAATAAAAAGAGCCTTATGTATTAGTAATATTTTTTTATTCTGGTGCTAAATCAAATAGGAAAAAAAATATATGAAGCGTGAAAAAAGCCTATTACTGAAACTGTGTGTTTGTCTGCCTTTATACATCATCGGTTTTAATTTCAACCTTGTGTGTACACTCTCCTTTTTTTTTTTATTTTTTATTATTATTATTTTTTTTTAATTTTGTAATTATTCTACTTTTTAAATAGAGGGAAATTCCATTCCATGCTGTCTAATGAGATTCTTATGCCGCGATACATTGAAATTAATTTGTGTAAGTTTATGTCACGCGTACTTATCCTCATTGGTGCAAACATAAGCATATGTAAACAAAAAAACGTGAATATTTGCAGTACATATATATTCTCGCACCACTATGTGTGTATGCATGTATGTATATGTTAATATATACTCACGTGTATAACATTCTTGAATTGGAGTGTAACAAGAAATTTTGCGACAAAATAGAATAGTAATTTTCGTTAAATGTGTATTCTTCCCGTTTTTGTAAAAGAAAATCTTTAAAATGTGTGCGTAAAAATAAACTCTACTAATTTGATAAATGGAGAATTGTTAAAAAATAAACAATGTAATGTTTTCATATGGAAAAAATAAATAAATAAATAACTCCAAAGGCCACTTTAAGCACTCAAGACAAAGCAGTTAATTTACCCGTATTATAATAATGCAATATTTCGAGCACAAGCAAGGGGTGTATTTATACGTATATGAAGCATATTCTTATATGCGTGTAAAAAACATACATAAATGTTATATCATTTAGAAATCCAATGCAAAGGAACATAAACTTAAAGGAGAGCAAAAACGGCAAACCAGCATTATGTCGTTCTAGTAAGCATATGACAAAAGCTTCCAAAATACGAAAAAGGAAGAAAAAAAAAAAAAAAAAAAAAGGGACAAATGTGCATATACACATGCATTATATATATATATATATATATATATGTATACATATATATAATTGCACAATAGGGAAAATTGTTAATTTATGGAAAAAATAAAAATTGCCTTAAGTAATTTACAAACGTTCCTTTTGCGTATTCTAGCAGTATACATGTAAATTGAGGCAGGATCAAAATTCATCTTTTTTTTTTTTTTTTTTTTTAAAGTGATTGCATAAAAGTCTAGAGAAAATATAAAAAAAATAAAAGTAACGAAAAGTCACACAAATATTAAAATGATAATTTCATAAAAATATAAAAAAGAATGAAATTATTATTTTGTGTAACACCTTTATAAGTCCTAAAAAAGGGGAAGTGGATTTTGTAACACATCAGGGGAAATTTAATCCATTTTATGAAAAAAAAAAGAAAAATGAAAGCCATTTAATGCTTCTATCTTATTACATTTTATATCGTTTAATTTCGTTTTATTTTGTTTAATTTCGTTTTATTTTGTTTAATTTCGCTTAATTTCGCTTAATTTCGTTTAATTTCGCTTAAATTCGCCTAATTTCGCTTAATTCATTCTCCTTTTTCAAACTCATTTTAACAAACCGCATTTTAAATACATTTCCACAAAACACACATTAAATGGATGAATTTTCTTTGACCACACACCACTTGGATAAACGTTTACACCAAATACACATCCAAGGGATAAGAATCAACCGAACATATGTACTTATGATACCTTTTAATTAAAAATATTCTCAAATGAGTATACCTAAATTCTATGTACATTTTCTGTAAACCCATGCACACAACACATAAATAATTCGCGTGACGCCTATGTGCATGTACACATGTGAGAGAACATAACCAGATATATTAACACACTTACATGCATATGTTCATACATGTCTGAGGAACGCGAATTTATTTTATGCCCAAAAATGTAGGACTGCGTGTAACATCTATTGTTCCAATGTAAAATGATTTTAATGTCCACTCTGAGTAAAAAACAAATTAAACTTTTTTCCCAAAATATTTAGAAAAGTGCCAAGGGGGCAAAAAAATAGCAACATAAAAAAAGTAGTCAAATAGGGCGCATGGATAGCGCTCAAATAGGCACCAACAGCACTCAGATAGACACAAATAGCACTCAAATATCTCGGATAATTAAGTGGGTAGAATAAATTGAAGAAATAAGCAGGTTAAATAATAGCGCAAGTGCGTGCTGTGGTACCCATAAAATTTTACGAACTATCTGCGCAACAGGAAAAAGTCAGTAAAATGGAAAATACAGATAAAAAAAAGGCAAACGGAAACAAAGGGAAAAAGAAGGCAAATGATATTAAAGAGAGGATATTAAGCGGTCGATCGGTTTTATGCTTTGATGAAGAAATTGAATTCGACAAATGCTGCCCAATCAGCGCAGATAATGCTAAGGATACCACAGGAAAGAAGAAAAAAAAATCAGGTCACGAAAAAGAGAATAATGGTTCGTTAGACAATGAAGAAGTAGAGACAAAAAAGAAAGCCTCCAAAAAAGCAGATAAAGGTAGAGCTGATGAGTCAAATAAAATTAAAAAGGACAAAAAAAAAACAAAAAAAAAGAATCGAACAGAAAATATAAACGCAAATGATTGTAAGGACAATGATTATGGTGATAATGACAATGATGATGATGAAAATAACATTTATAAAAACAAACAAGGAAATATTGATAAAGAAAATCCATCAATTTTAAGCAAAAATGACATGTTTAACGAGATAGACGGCTCAACAAACAGCTCAGCTAGCCCCAGAATACATAGAGATAATAATAACGATTTAAAAAAAAAAAGTTCATCAAAATTTATAAAATTAAAAAGCAGTAATAATGAAACCTTGAATGAAGAAAATAATGAACAACTAAATAAATGGATCGAATCTTTGCCAAATATAAATACGGAAATTAACAGCATTTTGAATAATCACTTACCATGCTATAATATTCTTAACAGTATTAAAAGAATTAACAAAATAAAAAGCATTGTTTATAATGAAAATGAAAATGATGAAATGTTGAAAACAATTGAAAAATCCAATCTCATGTTTAATTCTATAAAACTTACAACTAAGGAAATGTATATTATCAGATTTTTGTGCGAAGGATCATCTTGTACATTATCCGAGTTGGTTGATTTACTGTTTTATGTTCTAAACAACGACGAATTAATATGTGATAATTTCCCTATAAACGTCGCACATATTTTTAGTAAAAACATAGGGAAGTCCAATTTTATGCTAAATGAAAATCAAGCTGAAATGCAACAAGAAAGAGTAGACAATGGCGGAGAAAATAGCATAGTGATCAGTAGTAATAACGAAAATGAATGCAATCTATCGATGGATAATTTTTCCGACGAAGAGAACCTCTCTGACGATGCAGAAAAGGAGAGTTATAATATCCACATTAGTAGGGAAGATCTATTGGCTAGCATACCCATTTTATTGAGCAGAAAGAGTTTAGGAGATAATATGAAAAAAGTCAATATCAGTAAGAACGAAAATAATGAGAAGGAATGCCTATGGGTTTGGGAAAATGACAATTACGATATATTTCCTTCGTATTATAGAGAAGTGTTTAAATACTTTAAAGAATTTAGAAGCATTTTAAGCAAAATATATAAAACATTAATAAAATTAAAAAATTCAATTATAAGCAAAGAACTACAAAATATTATCAAAATACATGATTATTTAAATGAATTGAAAAAGAAACAATATTTAGAATCTGAAAAAAGGTGCAAAAAAATCATAGCTGAAAAAAAAAAAATTATCAAAAAAAAAATGGACATAAAAAAACAAGAAGAAAAAAAAAAAAAAATGGAAGATGCGAAATGTTTAGAAGAAAAAAAAGTTTTATCCATTACCAAGTTAGAAACCACTGTAGTGCAGAACAAAGTCGAAGAAAAAAAACCAAAACAACAAAATCTTATACTCTCATGGTTGACAATGAAAAAAAATCAAGTAGTAAATCATCCAAAGTCGAGTGAAAACTCTGATTACATCATTAAATATCCAATTGCCAACGTTCTTAATTATAACGAAACTATGCGGGAAACTTTGCAAGAAGCCCAAAACCAACTACCAATATGTATGAGCCTCGTACATTCGAACTATCTCTCAAGAGAGTGTGCATAGATAGAAATTAGTGTTTCGCCTCCTTATTTCTAAATTGTGTATATGTACCGTATTCCAAAAATGTTTTTATCTATTTTCCTGTATATATCATTTCATACTCGTTACATTTGCTCATACACCGTAGCTAAATGTGTATATAAGCACATACATTTCTAGAATCGTTCTGTTTCTTCAATTTTTCAGTTACATGCAATAGAAGAGGTGCCAAAGTTTCGAATTGTATATTTCAAGGCAGTTCGGATTATGGTATGATATAATGAGAGAACGATGACAAGAGAGTTAAGAAAAATAAATAAATAAATAAATATATATGCATGAGAGAAAGAGTGGAGAGGTGTAGACATAGTACTGTACTGTATTTATGAAGACACTAAAACTGTACGTTCAAACTTGTGTATAAATGGGCATAGGAGCACGATTTTACCTATTGTATATTTCAATCACCTAGATTATATTTGCTTTGTACCCATCTACCCAGACAAAGAAAAACTCCTCATGGATTACGAGAAATTATGTGTAAATCATAAGAAGTCAGTTGTGGACTACTTTAAAGTATACGGTATGCAAAAAAAAAAAAAAAAAAAAAAAAAAAAAAAATGGAACTTATTTTCACTTATAAATATGTACACTATTATAAGATATATATTAATGTGTCAATTTTTATAGATTCCTCTCACCTACAAATATTCATAGAAATATTTTTCCTTTCATAAAAAAATATAATTATATATATATATATATTTTTTTACCCCTTTCTTGTGTATCTGTTTAGTGGACAATAAAGAGTTTTTTGAAGAAATTCCATCGGTTGATAGCATTGATGGAAATAAACTAATCACACAAGTAACAAAGTTTATGATCATATGTACTATATGAGTTTATCATTTATGGTTATACATTTTCAATTTGGAACAAGTGTGCATTTTTTTTTTTTTTTCATTTTCCTACCTTACAAGTTACCCTACAAGTTTGTTATCTTTTAAATTTGCTGCATTTTTAATTTTTTTAAATGCAGAACGAAAAGGGAGTGAGATCCAAGCTTTGGGAAGACAATGAATTTTACTTGAAGTTAAAAGATTCAGACTACATCAGAAGCTTTTTTTTTTATGACAATACGTGGACGAGACCATACATGTCCCTTCTAGTGCATAAAGTTTTAGATGTAATGCATTAGTTCTATTACGCCATCATTTTCGTTTCCTTGATATTTGATGTTTCATATTTGATTTTAGCTAATTTGAAATTTGCTAATTTGATTTTTGCTAATTTGCTATTTTATTTTTAAAGAACAATAACTTGGCATATGCTTTGCCCGCTGCCACCCCACACACACACCTAACGTGACACAAATTAGCAATGCGAAGACAGGATCGAAATATATGTTAAAATATATACTTTTTTGTTATTTAGGATAATATTAACGTCCTCCCCTTTTATTATCACGATGATATGGAATACGAAAATGATACAAATGAGGACTACTACGAAAAATTTGAGACAATTGACCTCACGACAGAGAATGAGGAAAATGAAACGGTATGGGATGGAGATGAGTAATTTCCCACTTTCATGCAGACATGTTAACATCATAGCAGTGATTAGGCAAACTTGTTAACATAAATGAAATAATGAGAAAAACTTGTTAGTATAATGCTCAGATATAATTTGTTTATTCTTTGGGCAAGTCCAATTCACTTCTGCCTTAATTTTAACCTTCCAATAACTGCAGGAAAGTGACGGTAGCTCACAAGATATGTTTATCGTTCCAGATAATGAAATAAATAAGGATATTGATATAACGCCAATAACAATACCAACTAGTCAAGACATTCATTTCTTCTCTTTGTTTAATTGGGAGTGGACATTTGAAGGGAATCCCAAGCGGAATTACAATAGTATGTGGCGAAAATTGGATAAAATAAAACAAATAATAAAATGAAAACATCAAATTGATCAGATCAGAATGTTGTAAAAAATAATAAAAAAAAAAATACTAATGATAAAATTGCAATTTCTGCGCAAATATTTTTGTCATTCTAATGAGAATGAAATTTTTTTTTTTTTTTTTTTTCTTTTTCCCTATGTACAGTAATTGATAAAAACACATGGAAAGAGTTCAATCTGATATATAAAGAGAATATTTACGGATGTCAGTATATGTCTTGGGGGAGTAATTACAGCTTTTTTCTTTTTCTTTTTTTTTTTTTTTTTTTTGTTTTTTTCCATTTTTTATTATCACTTTTTTTTTTTTTTATCATTTTTTAGATATCATTTTGACAACATTCTATTTCTTCCCATTAATCTATATTCTTATATATTTTTTTTCTCTTTAAAATTGACAGAAGATAATGATCCTTTTATATATCTAGCTGAAAGGAATAGTGCAAAAAATACTTTGGACAAATATGATATTAAGAAATTAATAAAGGTAAGTATCATACATTTATTTCGCACAAGTATACACATGTTTCTAATTTTGTTCTACATTGTACATGTTTTTAAAATATTTGTAATTGTTTTTGTATACCCATTTTCCCTTTTCCTCCCCTTTTTATTATTTATTTTTTTTTTTTTTTTCAAGCATTCTCATGGAAAAGTAACGAAGAAGGATGTTCTCGTGGATCAGTTTAAACTTAAGTGAGGTTTTTTTTTTTTTTTTTTTTTTTTTTTTTCATCCATATTATACTATTTTCTCCGTATCTCTATACAATGTTGTTATTAATTTTTTTTTATTATCAGAAATGAACACCTCACGAAAGCTGATACCGAACGGAAGTTCAAGACCTATTTGGTGTACAAAAAATGTGAAGATAACAGAAAGGTAAAAAGTATTTTTTGTATGCATGCATGTGCAATGCTATCACTAGGGAATACACAATTTAGAGTATTCTCAACATATATCGTCTAAGCAGCACAAATGTTTCAATCCATTTAATTTTGGATACTGTGGCTACTTATTTTGTTAGGAGTCATTTATTTTATCTTATTTATATTATTCATTTTTTTTTTTTTTTTTTTTCAGAAATGGATGGCCTCGGAAGAAGGAATTAAATTATTTAAAAATGAGCAATTGTTGACTAAAATTTATGACATCAGAAAAAGAAAACTAAACATAATATCACGAAAAATGGAAGAAATAAAAAGACAAAAAAGGATGGACAGAGAAAATCTAAAAAAAGAAGAGAAAATAAAAAAGAAAGAAAAATCAAATCAGGAAAAAGTAGCAAATAAGGACAGTCTGAAAAATGAAGAAAATGTGAAGGATTCCGAAAAATTGAAAAAGGCGGAGACCTTGCCAAAGGAAACCACAAATATTATACAAAAGTTATCATCAAGTAGTTCTTTGGCTGGTAGCAAGAAAGCAAAGATGTGATAACAAAAAAAAAAAAAAAAAAAAAAAAAAGAAAAAGAAGGAAATGTGCGTGTCCACATGGACAGGTCGAACAAATAATATAAAATTCTCACACAAGTGAAAACAATTAGTGTAATTTTTATTTTTTTTTACCTCACAAATTTTTAACTTGAATGAAATACCTTTGTAAAAATAAAAGCATAGAAGATAAATTTACATTTATATGATTCTCGTATTTAATTTTTTCTCTTTTTAAAAGTTACAAAAATGAACAAAAATTAAAATGTGTTTCATCCCGTTGCTGGCTATTCCATGTTCTGATTGATTAAACAGATATTTTACTTCAATTTTAATTCATATGAATAAAATTTATAAATATATTTTGCATATATATGTATATTTTCTTTTTTCTTATTTTTGACTTTGGTATACTTATACAATTGTCGTATGTTTCACCCTTTTGGCATTTTAATCTACACAATTTTACTCTTTTTTTAAATAACATCATAATTTTTTTTTTTTTTTTTTTTCTATTTTTTCATCATGAGCATTAGCAATACCAACTTAGATTTCACTTTAATAATCTGAACACTGTTACGATGGCATAAACACAATTCTCTTTATTTACACATTACTTTTTAGCACGTAGGAGTTATGGTATTAAACCGTGCATATGTAATGTAAATATACAAAAATATGCATAACCGATTTGCTACGCAAAATGACAATTTTGCGAAGTCTTACAGTAGTGTTAATACGTTTCCTTTTGTTTTTCTGCTTCACTTATTATTATTACTTTTTTTTTTTTTTTTTTTTTTCGTTTCCTTCTTTGAACATGAAACTTAAATTAAAAATGAATTATCAGTGAATGGAAATTCAACTTATGTCAAACTGAAGGATGGGCACTAACACATGTTGCGCATATTAATTTTAATTCCTATGGGGTAAAAACATAGCTCCTTTTCTGTTCTTTTTTTTTTTTTTTTTTTTTTTTTGTTTTATCATTTTTTGATATGCATTCAATGAACCATTTCTACCCCACATAAACAAAATAATGGAAAGAAACATCCTGAACAAGTACAAGAGCCTTTTCAATTTTGTTAACTCTGTGAAAAATAAGGTAGAAAAGGAAAAGAGCCTGAAATATAGCCAAAATTTGTACTTAAAAAATATATCAAGGAGTAATTATAATGTTAAAAATAATGTTAATTTGATATATGACAATAAGCTTTTTTTGAAGTACTGGATAAGGAAGAAAAGACCTGGAGCTAGGAACTGAGAAAACGGATGGAAAATGCTTGCTCATTTTATGTGAATAAATGTACAAATATTTATATGAATATATAATCATGTAAGCATGTATACACTTTTCGCGTACAATAAAAACCAAAAAGGCTTAGTGAAACCCCGACTCAAAAAAGTCGAAAATAGTTATATAGGGAAAAATGTAAAGATGTTCTGACGTGCTATAAACCTATTATGCACACAGATGTTTTATATCAGAAATACTAAACTCATTTAAGTGGAAGGTTTGAGAAAAAAAAAAAAAAAAAAAAAAAAAAAACTGTGAACATAATTTCCTCATTCATAGAATGACTTTTTATTATAAAGAATTGACATATCGTTCATATAGGTTTTAATTACCCCCCCCCCTCCCCCCATTCTATCCACACACACACACACCTCCCTTTTTACAGGGGACTTTATTTTTTTGTTATTATTATTATTTTTTTTTTTTTTTCATATGTGTGTACATAGATACACGTGCGCACATAAAACGAGAACTATCAAATTGACGAATTCGCACACCTCCCAAATGTTACAAAATTTCTATTTAGATATAAGAGGACCAAAACACTTTATACACATAACGTCATACCCTTTGAGAAAACAATAAAACTTTTATTTTATTCAATTAAAGTGTGTTTTTTTTTTTTTTTTAATGTTATAATATACGATTTACATATTCATGTTGCTTGTACTACGTATATATTACATCGTCGTCGTCGTCTTTTTTTTTTTTTTTTTTTTTTTTTTTTTGAAAGACAAGAGATGCTATGTATGTATGATCACATGATGAGAAAATGTGTAATTTTAATCAAGTGTAGAAATAACATTATTTTAGTAAACTATCACTTATGATTGAGTACTTCCTATTACACATGCTTAAACGTTTGGACTTTTTTTTTTTTTTTTTTTTTTTTTTTTTTTTTTTTTTTTGAGTTTTCGCTTAAATGTAAAAAAAATAAAATGAAGTAAAAAAAAAAAAAAATAAATACTCGAAAAAGCAGAAACATAAGGAGATAAAATAAAAGAAAAACAATTCGATTACTCTGCACATACATGATGTAGTGTTCCCTTTTAGAAAACAGAATGAACATGGTTCATTATTATATGCTATTTTTTTCATCATTTTTTTTTTCTTTTTTTTTTTATGTAAAAGATAAGAAGCATTCTTCAACAGTTTATGGAAAAAAAGTGGTGTGCAAATTGTGATGAATTTTATGGCAATCAAAATAATTCTATGAGAAATTTTCCCGAAAAAAACAATGTGTACTTATACATGCTACATATGTAATATATATATGTAAACAAGTATATTTTTAGAATTCTACATTTTCCGAAAATGGAAAAAAAAAAAAATGTTTTAAAGTGCGTATATACATCAAAATTCTTGATGAATTTTTCCTTTCCTCTTTTTTTTTATTTTTGCTAATTTCTCTATTTCTCAATTTCATTTCTGACCTTTTTTTATCGTAAAATTTTCATATTTTCCTTTACATGAGGAACACATGAGACGTTTTTTTTTTTTTTTTTTTTTTTTTGCTTATGCAAACTGGTTACATTTATACATAAGACATCTGAAAAAAAAGAAATAAAAACAAAATATGCAAGGCATTTTTGTTTTTCTTATATTTTCAACCTGTTTTTCCTTTTTTTCCTAATACATTAGTTGAACTAATGAGACAATTTTTATGTAAAGCATATTCCTTTGTAGCATAGTGATAGTGGTTCTATTTATGCTTTCATTTTAAGTTTAAGTTGCTGCATTATTGTTGCATTATTTCTGCTTTATTCCTGCCATATTGCTTCCTTTTCTGCATTTGGTGCTGCACGTTTTCCGCTTTTTTTTTTTCTTTTTTTTTTTTTTTCACTTAGTGTGACCACATTCGCTCGTTCTTTGCATTTTTCGTCTCCTAAGGACAAGAGTATCCCAAATAATAAATGTGTACAACAATCTACGGAATTAAGAACAAAATGTAAAAAGATATAATTTTTTCTATTTGTTTTCTTTAGCTTTTTCGTTTTATTCATGCCTTTCATGATCTATAATTACGAATGTTTCACAATGCCGCTTACTGTTAACTTCTCGTTTTTTCAATCTAAATGAAAAAAAAAAGAAAAAAAAAAGGGGGAAGTAAAAAAGAAAGAGTACAGGAAAATAATTTGTGTATTTTTTATTTTTTTTTGTTTTATCTTCAGAGTTTAGTAATACATATGTAAACATATTCTTCCCTTATAATTCACTCGAATTCGCCTTTGTTTGTGTTTTTGTGAAAGACCTTTGTTCATATGTACGTATGCACGTACTTATGAATTATGTATATACAAGCGTATATATATATGTACACCCTTACAATAACATATTCCTACAGTGCACAATTTTGTGAAATAGAGATTATTTCACAACAATTAATATAATCGTAAATAAAATATTTTTTCCTATTTCCTTTTTTCTTGTTGCTTTTTTTTTTTTTTTTTACGCAATTTTATGTAACAGTTACGTAGTTCTATTCTACTGTGCTTTGTATTTCCTTGGAAATCTAGGCAAAAATAATTACATAAAAAAGAGATATCAAATGGTGAGATCAGTTAATCCTTTAGTGTACATTAAGCAACTATATGTAATCATTTTTACGATCTGCATATTTATATGTAAACAAATTAAAAAATATATATATAAATAAATAAAAATAATAAGATAATAATTTCATTATGTAACCGTGAACATGCCTTTTTTTTTTTTTTTTTTTTTTTTTTTTTTTTTTTTATTATTTTTTTTTTTTTTTTTTTTTTTTTTTTTTTGTATATTTCTCATCATGTCTTTTTTTTTTTTTAAGGTGATTTTAATACGTTATTTTGATATATACTCATAGTGGAAGGTGCATTTACACATTTTCACAAGAAACTGAACATACAACTATACTTCCACATTCACGTATATATATATATATATACATATTTTTATTATTTGCGCACACAATGAATTGTAAGTGCTGCCACTTTCCAAATTTGTCAATTGAAAGATATGAAATCTTAAAATTGGCTCAAAAAAAAAAAATAACCAAGGAAGAAAATATTATGCAAAATAAGAAAAAAGCTACAATAGGAGATATGGCAAAAGGGCCAAGAGCATTTGCTAGACATCACACAAAGTGTTGGAATAACAACCACTTTGTTAATGTTAGTAGACTTAGAGCTATTAGACATCTTAAAAACGGTCTACATAATGGTAATGTGTTGCCTTTGAAAAAGGTAAGAACGTGCGCTCATTTCGTAAAAAGAAATAAAGGAATCAACACTAGAGGAAAACTAAAAGCAATGAAACAATCACACTTGTCTAAAAATTTATGTCACTACGAGGAAAAAAGTTCCCTGCATCTCTCTGATAAGTATATTGCAGATATACGTAACGCCCAAGAGAAGGACGTCAATAGAAGTAGTGCTGTTGGAAGTGAAATTGAAAGTGAACCGAATGGGGAAATAATGAAAAATAGAACTTATAAAAAATTTAACAAGTCTAACAATATAAGCCAAACAGAGAATAGCAACAAAAACAAAAGCTGTTCCTTAAGAAATATTACGAGCCTCAATTCATTTCCAAATATGGACACATATGAAGACATTTCAAATTGGGGCCAAATCAATGATCATGAAACAAGGGATCCAAATTTGTATAACCAATCTAATACATTTAGAGAAGAAAAAAATAAATGGGAACCAACCAAAGGAAAAAAAAAAAAAAAAAAAAAATACATTAACATAACAAATGCTTATGCAATTTGTCAAAATGGACACTCCTTAAGAAGCGAAGAAAGCTATACCACTCTAGAAACACATAATGATGTGCTTTTAGATAAAGAGAAAATAGAACAGATTTGCAAAATGAATAAAACTGAATACAACGAAAAATTATTAAGTAAAAAGAATTATTTAATTCCTGATTTAGCAAATATTCCAAGAGGAGAAAATGAAAATATGTCTGAGGAAGGTAAAAGTGGGTGCAATAGTGAGTATAGTAGTATTGACCGTACTATTGAACAGACTAAAGAACATAGTACTGTTATTCATTACACCAATGAAAATGTCAAAGAAATAACAAAAAATCAATGCAGATTATCCAAAGGGAACGAGATGAAGGAAATAGCGAAAACTAGCGCAGGTACATCTTTACCATCAATGAAAGAGGAAGAATCCAAAGAGGAAATAAATTTAAAGGAAGAAAGATACTTTAAAAAGAGCCTTTATGAAGACATTTCAAAATGCAACTTAATTTGTGATATATATAAATATTCCAAAGGGGTGAAAAATAAGGAGGGGGAAGTCATTGTCAATTCGAAAAACATGTCTGATGATGAACTTGTGAAGAATCATAGTGTGTCCATAAAATCAATGAATCACATAGAGGAACAAGTATCATCAGATTATCAGAGTACTATAGGAAAGAAAAATTATTATGTGAATGCAGATGAAAGAATATATTTTAATAATCAAAGCAGTTTATCAAATACTAATGCGATGGAAGGGAAGAGTGAGAATGTAAATGAGAAAGAAAAAAGCATTCAAAATGGTGAAATCCGTAATGAAAATACTCCTAATGAAGTAGCTACTAATGACGTAGCTCTTAATGGTAAAACTCCTAGCGAAGAAACCCCAGATGAAGAAGCCCGTGACGAAGAAACTCCTTTTGAGGAATCCCCCAATGACGAGGATCTATGTGAAAGAAAAATAGAATACGTAAGAAACAAATTAAACCATCATTTGTACCAAAAATTAACTGACGACACAGTAACGGAAAGCACGAACCACACTTTCTCCGATTTCAATGAAAGCACACATAACAACAGTTCTTCGAAAAGCACTAAATTATTATTCAGCACGTGTACTGAGGAAGAAAAAGAATTATCTGAAAAAATTACTCTTCCCATATCTACAACAAGCAGTAATGCAAATAGCATAAGTGTGTACATGGATTCACCTTCATCTGTATCCGATGGAAGTTTATGCAATGATGTAAATAGAAAAAAATTGAATATAAATGAGTACTATAAAAAGGAAAATACATTATCGAATATACTGAAAAAAGTGGATTGCATAAACTCAACTCCAATGAACAACACAACCTTTAGTAATCATAATATCAGTGATAAAAATAACAATAGTAGGAGAAATGCAGTTACGTATAGTCCTTTACCTATCTATAGGAAAATAATTAACCCTATTATGGCAAGCCAAGTACAACCTGTTGGTGAAGAAAATAAAAAAGACACAACAGAAGAGTCCAAAAAAATAGCCAATTTGAAAAGAAATATCGATCAAGACTTAGATTACAACATAAAGAAGAAATTGAGAATAGAAGAATATTCATTACTCAATTTAAATATATATAAAAATAGTGCATCAGATTTACACAAAAATAACAGCTATAACACATACATATTAAAAAATCTTCAGGATTCCTATTTAAAAAACAAATTGTACAATGTTACATATAACCAAATGAATAACCTCAGTGTTAATAAAGAGAACGCAATTTCTTCCCATGCTGAGAGTGATTCTTCAAGTCGTACTGAACCGAACAAGATCATAAGTGACCACACAGATGAATATAACGAAACAGATGGGTGGGATTTTATTAGGCTGACAAACAATGAAATGGATCAGAAAATTAAAGGAACAAAAATTATTATGAATAAAAGAATGCAAAATGATGAAACGCATAGCTATTACAATGATATATTAAACAACATTGAGTGTAGCCATTCTCCTCAGTTTATAAATATCGACAATGTATGTAGAAATAACTCGTTTAAGGAACAAAAATTTAACACTATATTTAAAAGATACGAACCACCTGATAATCATTTTAACAGTATATATACGCAAGATGTAAGTTATTCTAATTTGTTAAAGGAAAAAGTATATGACAATGTTCAATTGAACCTAAGTGATATAATAAACCTTTTAGAAAAAGAAAGAATTGGAAACTTATATAGTGAAGAAGAATTAGAATCCATAATGATTCCTGTATGTGATGTTTACTATGATTCGATTAAACAAAATTGGTTATGCAAGTATGACAACGTAAATAAAATTCCAAATCTAAGAACGAAAATGTTCTCTGCCAAATATCACTCGTACCACCACTCCAGACAATTGGCATTGCAGCTTAAATACAATTACATAAAAAAGAAGTATAACATTTTTAGCAATTTAGAGGATGAGGAGAGGATGTTCTTTGTTTGCATCAGCAAATTCGCAACAAATGATGGGTACACACATGAAGGAATGACAGAAGAAGGTAAGACAAATGAAGGTAAGACAAATGAAGGTAAGACAAATGAAGGTAAGACAAACGAAGGAATGACAAACGAAGGAATGACAAATGAAGGAATGACAAATGAAGGAATGATAAATGAAGGAATGATAAATGAAGGAATGACAAACGAAGGAATGACAAATGAAGGAATGACAAATGAAGGAATGACAAATGAAGGAATGACAAATGAAGGAATGACAAATGAAGGAATGACAAATGAAGGAATGACAAACGAAGGAATGACAAACGAAGGAATGACAAACGAAGGAATGACAAACGAAGGAATGACAAATGAAATTCTAAACTGTCAGCAAGGGAGAAACCCATCTAAGAAGGCTCTTAGAGATGGTCATGGATGTGATGCTACTTACGCAAGCATTTCCCATAGACCAGATAATATAAGAGAAGATATAAAAAAAACGAATAAAAACTCGAAAAAACTACAAAGAGAAAAGGAAACAGAAGAAAAAAATTACTGTCATGATGACACAGATGAAAAATATGACGAATCTAAAAGTACGATTAAGGAGCCCAGGAATGTTAGTGAGTTAAATTTAAATGAAACAATAAATGTGTTAAGCACTGAGATACCCTCCAGAGCTTCCACACCGAAACCACATGAGGTCACTTGTACACACCACTTAACTAGTAGTCAAATAAAAACGGATTCTTCTAGTCATAACATAGTGAATACACAAAATGGTAACTACTCTAAATGGGTTGAAGAAAATTCCAAAACTAACATTAAAGAGAAAAAATGTATATGTGTGGAACAGAAATCGAATAATATTACAAAGAAAAGAGATATCCATGAAGAGTACTATCATCCTATTAGCATTAGCTTGAAAACGCGAACTGTTCTGTATAAAACATTAGGTATATCTTTCTCAAATGATATGATAGAAAAAATCCAAAATTTACCTAGAGAAAATATATTTTATGAAAGAGACAAAAAAAGATGGGTTATCAAAATTTTCGAGAAGAAAACAAACACTTTGTTATATTTCAAAGAATTTGATTGTACTGTTTTTGGATTTGTATATGCGTGTATATTAACCATAGAACATAAGCATTTATACTTAGATTACTTCTTAAATGAGAAAAACTATGACTTTCTAATGTATCTAATCCAGAATAGCTCATTAAAAGGAAAACTCTATTTCAATACAGAAATTCGATCATCGTACATAGACAGCGATACGTATCACTCGGAGGCCAGTATGCGCTTCATAGAAGGTGTTAATGAGGACACACTAAGGAAAGAAACTGGTATAGAAGCATCAGACGGAGAAGAAGAAAAAGAAGAAAAGGAAGAAAAGGAAGAAAAAGAAGTACTGGATGGACTAGACGGACTGGAGGGATTGGACCGAATGAAAGAAGAAGGGGAAGAAGCTGAAAAAAAAGGGATGGGTGCAAAACCAAACTTGAACGAAGCGAAAAATAAACAAATAAAATCGGGATATAACCCTAACTTTGCATATTTGGTAGACAATCCATATACAGTTTGGAATGACAAAATGGTCAACGGAATTGTAGAAAATGATCAAACAAAAAAATTAAGAAAAGAAGATTTAATACTATATAATAATCGTGCATCATTAAATAACCAATCACAAGTAGAACATATTGTAGCAAATAAAAAATATACTTGGAAAAATGATTTTCGAACAATACCAAACAAAATATTGGATAAATCTCAAAAGAGCCCATACTATTTTCAAAACAAATTGGATCGACAATATTTTATTAAAAGGATAGATACAAACATAAATTGTGGAGAGTCAAAATTTTCTTTCGGAAAAGAAATGGAATGGACTAAAACAAAACACTTCAAACAAATGAAAAACGAAAAAAACAAAAAAAAGGAACAACAAATAACAGACAAAATACTAAAAAATTGGGGCATTGAGGATGAAGGAATAAATATATTTAATAACCAAAAGGTATATATGGAAAATTATAATATACATGCAAAAAATAATAAAACGATAACTATAAGGAACCATAGAAATAGTTTCTCGAACGAAGAAAATAGTTGCAATGAGAGTACAAATACACTGTATACAAATTGCAGGTCCCAAAATAGCGAAATTTGTAACGATCAAATAATAAAAGTTAAGGAAATTGATGATAAGAATGTGAAGAAAATCAAACAGGTAAATCAACTAAGACTGAAAAAGGATGCTTTATATTATAAGAAAGCAAAAACTTCAAGAGATTCCCTAGCAAATGGTAAAGATCCCACTCCTACGATGGATCTAATGCAAGAAGAAACGGACAATTTAAGGAAATTAGATTCATATGTAGAAACATTAGATAACAACACGGATGTAATATCATTGGCGAAACAAACTATTCTTTTACTTCTTAAAGATATTATAAATTGTATCCCATTTCAAATGGCCCCATCTATAATTTCAAAAAAAATTTACTACCAAAAAATTAATGCCCATGTTAAATTTGTCTATCATTCGAAAAATATCCTCGATTTAATGCCATACTTTTTCATATTCAAAAATGTTATTAAACAAAAAACACTTCCCAGCGATCAGTCCCTTTACATGTGCAACGTTTTGCTTTACGCCTTGTTTGAGGCCTAGATAGCTCAGGAAAAAACAGCAGGAGAAAAAAAAAAAAAAAAAAATATTCGAAAAATAAAAAAGGTACGAAATAAAAAAATTATGATGTAATAAAAATAAAATAAAAATCCTCCTTTTTTTTTTTTTTTTTTGTGCTTTCCTCTTGCCAAATGATGCATTAGTGCCACGCACATTCCCGCCGCATAAATACATTTTGATCCTTTTTTTTTTTTTTTTTTTCTTCCAACCAATTATTTATACTTCCAGTATAGATGAATATACACATATATATATATATACGTCATTACTGCACTATGCAATATGTATCACCTGACATTTTCAATTTTGTTCGCAATAATCTATATACATTTCCCCGAACAAAAATTGCCGCCAAAAGATAATTACCTTGTTAGAAACATATGTGTGGTTCACGTATTTATTATATTTAAGAAAAGGAAGGAAAACTTTTCATGCATATCCACAAGGACGTGTGTAAAGATGATTCTTTTTAGTATATTACACAATGATAAACAAAGTGGTGTCACTGCATGAAGTGTCACATACTATATGACATAATTAATTAACATATGTATTTTCTTTGGGAACAACAACAAAAAACAAAAAAAAAAAAAAAAAAGGCACTTGTATATGTAAAGCAATCCAAAGTTGCATATTTTAAGTAAATACATGTACACATATAGTAAAGAAGAATTATCACTGAAAAAAAAAAAAAGAAAAAACAAAAAAAAAGACTCATTTTATCGGCCTACAAACTGCGTTGAATGTGTTTATGGAATTTATGTAATAAAAGAAATCGTCGTTCTTCAATGAATTCGATGCCATAGATACATCAGTGTCAGTGTCGTTTCCCAAAGTGTTTATCTTCTCCGATAGAACGTTTAAAATATTCTCACAGCTGCGTTTATTTGTGTCTGTATTCTTCATGTTTTCATAGAAAGAAAAAGAAGAAATTGAACACGAGTTTATTAGGAAGGAATATTTCTTTTGTTTTATGTGATCATTTAGAAGACACTGCTTATAATTCAAGATATGAAAATATTCACTACTGTCATTACGGGACTTGCTTGATTCATAATAATGCATGTTATCTTTCATGCTATCTTCTTTTTCTACATTTCCATTTGACTCTAAACCTGCATCTGTGTGTATGCGTGTCCCTGCACTTGAAGTTATTGTTCCACTCCTTTCGTACGTACGATTTTTTTCATTTTCCTCATTTTCCTTATTCTTCCGTTCAACCATTCTTGTGACTTTACACATCAACGTGTCATAGGTTTTACTCATTATAACAGACAAAACATACTTTACGTACTTCTTGACATAATAAATGGTCATTACAATGTTATACCTAATGTTACTTATTTTGTCCATACTTAGTTCTTCCAAAATGTTTAGTACGTAATTTTCGATATAGTATAAGGAGAAGTACATAACTAATTTGGATATGTATTGCAAGCAAGTGATTCTACATATATAACTCCTAGATTCTTTAAGATCATTTAAGATTCGTGTAATTCCTTTTTCAAAAAAAGAAAAGTTTCTATCTTTAATTAAAAAATTTAATGTGTCTACTACTTCCATTCGGATTGAATATACAACATCTTTAGCCCCTATATTGATATAATTCCAAAAATCTGCATAATTTGATGAAACATTTTCCTTATTTTGATAAAAAAAAAAATGACCAAAAAATTTTAAATAATAATATAATGAATGTCTTAATCTCCAGTTTTTACTTTTAACAATTTCCTGACACAAAGGAATAATGATTTGTTTCATATCAAAAAAAGAGATAAGTTTTGATATTTTATGCAAACATATAAAAAGTTCTGATTTTAAATCACTTTCCTCTATTCTTATGAATAATAAAAATAATGGAAGAATATATTCAATAGATCCATTTTTATCTAAAATATCTGGTAAAGAGCACAACAATTTACATAAAGAAATTTTTAAATGCACATTGTTACTATCAATATCTCTTTTCAGATCATCAAATATTTCATCCATTATATTCACATTAATTTTGGAATGTACTAATATATTATCAAGGTTATTTAATACAATGCTACGTACATTACTATCTACATCTTTTAATAGTAATAATATGATTATAGATATATCTTCATTTTTTCGTACTTTTAAAATACTGTAAATATTATTTGCTAAAGTTGCCCTTACTCTCCAACTTTCATCATTACATATGTTCCTTAATATTTCTTCTAAATTTTTAACAAAATATGGATCACATGTTAGAACACCTGATAACATAGATACTGCGCTTATTTGAACTTCATCCATTCCATTTATAGGGAAAAAAAAACCTCTGTATATTTCCATAGCCACTTCCCACATATTATCTATAAATATTTTTCCTTTCTCATTTGTTGTTGATGCATCCCATGTCTCTTCGATATCTTTCACCTCTCGTGTTTCTTCATCATTTGTCTTGTGTCTGCTTGTTCCGTTTCCTATGATTCTATGTACAGCCATGGCACAATTAACTTCTTCTCGTTTTTCCAATTCTCTCTGCTTCAATTCCTTCTTATCTCCATTCAGCGATTTTACTTTCCGATCTACTTCACTATCACCACTTGTACGTGGTACATATCCATGATCAGTTCCTACAACGTCATCCCCTAGGAGGGATCTTTTCTCGTCCTCCTCTACTTCACCTTTGGTAGAAATATACTTACACTTCTGAATAAGTTCCTTGTATCTTTTTAGTATAAAAAGAAAGAAAGAGAATGTTTCACAACATGATTTCTTTACTAGTACACTTTGATCTTGACACAATTCCAAGAACAGCTGTACGAACATTTTTGTATATTTAGGTTGATCTTCTTGTATACATCTTTCAATTATTATTGGTATAATTCTACTAACACCAATACGATAATTATCACTGTTGCTATTAACTAACTTGATAATTTTGGGATATATAATATTTATCAGTGTATTACTATCACATTTTTGTATGTAATTCTTAAAGGCAATAATAGCATTTGAATTAATTTCTCTTTCATATGCTACAATGAAATGTAACAATAAGTCACATAAAAAATTACAGTTATTCACATTATTTAAAAAATTTGTTATGAAAATTAAATTATTTGATAATTCAAACAAAACATCCGAATCATCTTCTATTATGTTATATAAAAATTCAATAATTTCATTTTGGGTTCTTTCCATTCCTAAAATTTCGCATAACACTTTTAACTCTTTCATGTATTTCAATCTCGTCTTCTTATCAAAAGACTGCATTCCGTCAATTATTTCTTGTGCCTTTTTACTTCCCATACTTGAATTTTTTTTTTTTTTTTTTTTTTTTATCTCCTTTTAAATCAGCTTTTCCTGGCGTTAGTAAATCTGTGCTGTTTCAGTTTAATTCAAACTCACTGATACTTGGTATTTGCTTAGTTCTTATCGCAATACAATTTATTGCTATTTAATTTGTTCTTTTCTTTTTAATTCTTCCTCCACCCACCCCCTCCGCCTCTTCACTTGTTCATAAACATAAAAAGTATCTTTTTTATGCTCTTTCTAGTGAGGTCTCTTATGTTACTCTTGCTCTTCCACTTGTACATGTACATGCGTGAATATGTGTGCGTAAAGACGTTCGTAACTGTGTTTAACTAGGTTCGCATAAGATAAATATCACGTGTGTCAGTGTGTATATATAAGTATAATCACATATTCATAGATTAACTTATGTACATTTATATATATGTTTACATATGTATGCCTCTTTTTTATTTCCCTTTTTTTTTTTTTTTTTTTTTTTGCCTTTCTGTTATGCTACGGTAGTGTTTTCTCATAAAACTATCACTAAGCCTTGGCCTTTTTGTGTTATATTCTTTTTGTCATCCCTTTATTACAAGAACGTTATTTTTCTTTTTTTTTTTTTTACCGTTTAACTTCTCACTATTTTGTTATTTTATTTCACTGCTAATCAGGATGATCGTTATTATCATATATATTCAATAGCTTTACCTTTTATAAAATCCAAAAAGGAAAACAAAAAATGGAAAAAAGATGTTCCCTTAGGTAAATTTAAATGGCCTTTATATTTTAAAATTTTTATTTTATTTTTACAAGTTTCTTATATTTTAATCCTACAAGGAATCTCACTTTTCAAGTTTACTTCAAATTTTGTTAATTCTTTTTTTTTTTTTTTTTTTTTTTTTTTTTTGCTCAAACACCCTGCTTGTGTATTCATTGAAGAGTACATGTCTGTAATTTTATTTTCTCCCCTTTTTGGATATAAAAAATTAGAGGAGAAGAAATCTCACTTAAGAAATCAAAAGCTTTCCAACTTGAAACAATAGTGAATTTATTTTCATGTCTTTATTCAAGTACACGCTGTGCCTCTACACATGCAAAAATACATACCAATTGTGTAAAATAAAATAAAAAAAAAAAAAAAAAGGCATATAATAACATAAGAAAAAGGAAAATTAGTTTCTCAATAGATTAGAAATACTTTTATAATGTGATAGTATAGTTCAACTTGAACAAACTCCTCGTTCAGGTTCTATATACTTACGCATGTGAACATTCAAATAACATATATTGATGTAACAACATTTTAGGTATGCTACTTTGATAGTATTTTCAACAAAAAATAGAAAAAGAGAAAACCATAAATAACATCCATATCGTGACTATGTAATGTGTGAATGTTTTTTTTTTTTTTTTTTTTTTTTTTTTTTTTTTTGCAATTTGAATATTTATGGGTACCCTTTTCTCTTTGATTATTCTTGTGAACACACTTTTTTTCATGCAAAGATAACATAATTATTATATGGCTACAGGATCCCCGTTTTATTCTTAGCTTATTGTGAATAAGAGTATTCTCCTTTCGTTTGTAAGTTCACACAACAGATGAAAATTTACAAAGCAAGAAAAACCCTATCTATATGTGCACACACATAAGCATACACAAGGAAATATATTCCTCCATGTTAACACATATATTGTTGTATATTTGTAGTAAAAAAAAAAAAAAAATTTAGACTTTTTTAGATCCCTGTTCAGGGGAAACACAGTTGTTATAGTATCCCAGAATATATGAACCTAGAACATATATGCACATTAAATGTATATTTATACTATTTTAACATAAGTTCTCATTCTTAACACATTTAGTTGTTCATATAATTAAAGAATCTCTTCAGCACTGAGCTATATAGAATATGTTTCTTTTTTGTTAGCACTCGTACAACTTGAGCATGTCCCTTTGTCTAAATCTGCTTTTAGATTAGAATAAAAAATGAAGTTAATTTTTCTATTCATTTTCAAATTATCTTTTAACCAACGAAATTGACAAGAAAATGAGTTTACTCGTGGGAAAAACAAAATTTCGTTCTCCCCCTATGTGCCATTTTCTCAAAGTAAATAATTTTGAAAACTTCCACAAAATTAAGAATGTTTTGCATTTTTTTTCCTCACCAATTTTTCAAAAAAATTTATATTACCTTGGTGTAATAACGTAGTCTACATTTTTGCAGAAAAAAAATAAACAAAATTTATACACAGATTTGTAAGACATGTGTGCATATTATTCAAAGTGTACACTTTTTTTTAACAAACAGTTGAATTTAATTTTTATCCCTTCTAATGAATATACAAGAATAGGAATAAATGAATTAAACTGTGGAATTTCTCATTCTCGATGCTATGTTCATAAAAAACTCAAAAAAAAAAAAGTGTGCATTTTTGTGGTAGCAGGTGAAAATCTTATTCTGCTTCGAAATGTAAAAAAGAGCATTTTAAATTAAAATATGTTTTTTTATTTCTTTTCTTTTATGATTTTTCATTGTGTTTGATATTTTCATAATGCTGCTCTCATGTCAACATTAATGTTTAAATATTTACACACATTATAAATATGTACAAAAGCAGAAATTTTAAGAACATTGCTTCTATTGCTTCTTCTATGCACATTTTATTTCTTAACTTTGCAATTTATTCATGTAACATATGCACGTGGAGCTGCTGAGTCTTTTAATCATCTGTTTGATATTGAAATTTTTTTTTTTTTTAGCATATTTTCACTCATTCAATTTTTTAATTTTCAGCACTTTTCATGGGAACATTGCGAAGAAAAAAAAAAAAAAATTCATGAGATCTTGAGTTACTGCATACACGTGTTTAAGCATCTATAGCAGGTATGTAAATTTCACGTGTTCTTAAGCATTGAATGAACATATGAAGGAATGAAATAATTTCACGCATGTACATTTTTTTTCAATAAAAAAAAGAAAAAAAGAAGAAAGAAAACAATGCAACAAATAAATCGCTACAAAAAATGTGTAGTAAATAAAATGTGAGGAAAAGTAACAAATTTTTGTAACTTGGTTTATTAGACAGACTCGAAAAAAGCAGATTGTGGATTGAGCACATAAAAAATTATATTTGTGCTGTATTGTAAAAAAGCAAAATTATCATTTCTAAGGCACTAAATTGGATCGATTATGTGAATAAGTGTGTTTTAGATTTATGCAAATAAAAATGGAACTTGTGTGATTATATTATTTTGACACAATCGCCCATTTAGCAAGCACGTTTAAACTTATTCGCTATAATTTATCAATGAATGATGAATGCACTTTTGTTAAATTATTAATTTTATATTACTTTGTATATTTGGTTAAAGCTTCTTCGCAATGGTCCCCACACGTGGTAAAAATTAACAAAACACATGATGCATATAAAAAAGTAAAAGGATTTTCACTGTTTTCTTTTTTATCGTATTTATACATACTTGTGCATATGTATTTTATGCGTATTTCGCTAAAAGCAAGGCACTATTTTTTTTTTTTTTTTTTTTATTTATGCACAATAGTGAGCACAATATATACATGTATATATATATTTCTTTTTTCATTTTTAAGAAGCAAACTTACATGTAAACAATTTTTATCATGTAATATATTTTTTTTTTATGCGCCTTTTAATTTTTCTTTTCTTTTATTTTTAATTATTTTTTTTTTTAAAATGAAAATTTCACTTTTTGCGTAATTATGCAATCTTACAATGTTATAGTGATAGAATAATACACTGACATAGTGACAGAGTGTCCTGATGAACGCAATGACACCACAATGTAATAAGGCGATATCGCTACATTTTTTAGGATATTAAATTAAGCACAGAAGTTAAATACATACGTATGTTACATACCTGTGCCCGTATCTCTGCATGCACTCTCCTTTATGCATATATATATGTATTACTCCAGCGAAAGGGAAATATATACAAATACTTATTTCAGCTAGGTATCTCCCGACATTTTAAACAAAATAAAACACATAAATATTTACGTTGATAAGGACAATTATTAATAATATAGAAAATGCTTTTATATCATTTCATTTTAACAATCTTGTATTGTTTTTATAATTAGAGAGAGCTGTATAATAGCATCCTTTTATGCCCGTTTTTTTTTTTTTTTGCTAAAGTTTGTATTCCTCAATTCAAGATATGGTTTAATAGGGAAAGATATTGTTACCTTGTTTTAGAAAGAAGAAAGAACAGCAAGGAAAAAAATAAGCATAAAAACAAAAATACACACACAGAAAAACGAAGAAGGATATCTCTAATTTTTGCACCAAAGCCAAAATGAAATTTATCAGGCTGTTAATATATTTAACCTTTTTTAGCTTTATTAACCAGTGCTTTAGAATATATGCCCTCCAAAATGAATGTGATTTTAAATTCAATGCCAATTTATTGTTAAATATATATGACAGATATAATGGGAAATATGTAGAAGAAAATGAGGGGAATACAGATTATTGTAATAATTTAGAGAGTTTAAATTCTCTAAAGGCATTTTGGTTATTAAAATTAAAGTCACTGTGTACAGAAGAAACATCTATTTTGGATAAACAGGTTTTTAATAACATATGTAGCAAAACATATAAAGTGCCACATGTAACAATTAGCGGTTTAGATGTAGGTAGTGGAGTTGTTAATATTGAATTTTTTTGTGCTCATTTTTTATATAGTAATAATAAAGAAATTATAAAATGTGTAAGACACAACGATTTAAAGAATTATTTAGATACTTACCATATAGCATTTGACTTATCCGTTTCACAAGAATTGTTAAAACAGTCTAATCATGTAGACACAGTTTTAAATTTTAAAAATATAGATGGTTTAGCCCTTACGAAAAGAATAATAGACGACTCAGTATGTAGGATACATTCAAGTGTACATACCATTATGAATAAACAAGATTTTGAGTTATTTAAAGCATTAGTAGGATTATGTACAAAATTAGGATTTCATAATCATTTTATTGTAACAGATAATATCCATCCCTTAGCTACTCCATTATTTAAGGAAATACCGTATAGCTTAAATTCATTGAATTTTAATATACAGAACAGTACTATGTATTATACAAATTATGAATACTTTGTGTATAATATAAAACTAGCTGACATAGAATATATTTTAGGTTCTTATGTTTCTCCATCAGCTCTAACAATAAGTAAAAATAATTCTTACATCACATGGATAGGGTTAAATAAAGACAATACACTTTATAATAAAAAATTTGCAGAATTATATAATCTACTAAATAATAATAAATATATTGATAGAATAGTACAGTGTTATAGTAAATATACTTCGAAATATTATGGAAATAGTATAAAATATTTTTTAAGATATATACCAGAAAATAAAAGAGATGTGATGCAAAATAACCCCAAAATATTCATTTATATTATTAATGGTATATGTCGAAATATCCCATCTATTCATAAATGTGTAGAAAAAATTCTTTTCCTTGATGGAATTTATGATCTCTATTTTAAAAATTTTATGATTAATTTTATATATTTCAACGCAGCATGTATTTTTAATTGTAATCCCGTAGATTTGGGGAAAATTATTAATGATGAACAGGTATGGGACATTCTTCTACACTACTTTTCCAACGCTTATTTAGTTAATTATAAAAAAATAAAAAATACACTCGTCGCAGGGAAGAATCCTAACAATAATGCCCTTGGCACAACGGATGATGCATCAACACCCGAAACATACAATGAACTGGCCAAGTCCTACTATACCAATTATGACTATGATTACATTCATAGCGGAAAGTGGAAAAAAGAAATTAATTTAGAGGACGAACAAGCTATATTAAGACCTTCAGACGAAGCTGTAGAATATGAATTCTACAATTACACATTCCAGACGCTGGACCTTAGTAGCTATAGCTTTTTCATATTGAAAAGCCAAATGGAAGAGGATAATATCTGCAAAATTTCATCTTTCATAGAAGCCAACGGAAAAAAATATGTTCATGTGAATAAGTATATTTTGGATTTTTTCAACAAGAACAACAAGAGGGTTCTCTCGCATTCGGGGGATAATAAAGCCACAGTAGGAGGTGGAAGTGGTGCAAGTGGTGGAAGTGGTGGAAGTGGTGCAAATGATGGAAGTGATGGAAGTGATGGAGGAGATGGAAGTAGTGGAAGTGATGGAAATGATGGAGATGATAAGGATCATGAGAACCACATGAACAGCTTCAACTTTTTTGATGATTTCCTGGGAGACGACAAAGAAGGTGGAAGCTTTATGGATCTATTTCAAAACAATCATATATTTAATAAGAACAACAATTTGTTCGAGAATTTGTACCATGGAGAGGATGATGAATATGAAGAAGATGATTTATATTCAGATAAGGAAGAACCATTAGATATTGAAAAACATAAAATTTCTACAAGCATTGGAGATGTGTACCCATTGAAAAATGAATATACCCTGGAGGAATTACAACAAGTGTATGATATTCATCCAGGATTTAACGAATTAGATGAATCGATAAGACATCATTTTTTTAGGAGCAAATTATTCGAAAAAGAAAACTTTTTTACAGTAAAGGGTATACCAACTAAGATAGAGAATTTTTATAAATATAATTATGAAACAAAAAAAAAATTAAAAACTTATGATAAATATGATGATGAACATTATAAGATGTTAATTAAAAAGTCCAAAGAGGATCCAGATATATTTTCCAAAATAGATGTAGAATTTACTTGCACAAAATCTGGTAAATGGCCAATTCGTGGTACATCTGGCAGATGGCTATCAGATGTTTTATGCGAGACGAAATTTGTTCCTCAGTTGATGTATAACCATGAATATGCAAAAAAAAAGAATAAAAAGGGGGGAAAAGAAATAGATACCAATTTATATACGTTAAAAGAAAACACAAGATTAATTGGTATCGAGTTTGAAGAACAAGAACCATATAGATGTGCTATTAGTTACCTAGGAGATGAAAATAAGAAAACATTTTTACCAATATCTGCAACTTACTTGGTCCATTTAGCTGTTGGGTATTGTGCTCTACATGGTTTTAAAATAATTTGGCTAGCTGATTCTGCCTTTGATATACATACGAATGTTTATCTAAGATATACATCTATCCTAGAACAAGGACAAACATATTATGAACAAAGCAATTTTGAAATTTATGGACAAACTAGATTAATAGCTCAACTGGAATATATCGCATCTGGTATGAATATAGAAAATAATATTATCACATCTGGTACTTTTAAAAATAGATATAATTTAATTAGTTACCCAGGAGTTGATTTACCTTTTCTTTTATTCATGTCAAAAAAAGTAAAAGAAACTATATATAATCTAAAATTTGATTGTCACAGTTGGGCATACAAAGGATGTGCAGAATATTACCCATTAATGAAAAAAAAAAAAAAAAACGCAATTGATGAACACTATAACACAATTACACTGAATGGAAAATATTCTTCAAAAGAAATAGACGAAATGTATGAATGCTCCTTTATGCATGATAAAACTTTCTTAGAACTGAATAAAATGTTTCCCAAAGAATGTACCTTCGGGTCAAGAATAGGAGATTGCCATAAAAAAGTTAGAAAACATATTCCATGTTATAATGAGCAGTCATGTAAGTATATAATTTATATTTATGAAAATTTTTATAAGCCACAAAATCATGTGAATTTACTAAATGAGCATTTTATAAAGGTTTCTGAAAATTTAACCAAATTATCGAGACCATATTATTTACAATCCATTTTATCACTTGAACATGATATACAAATAAAAAAGAGTAAAAAAATGAATACCCAATATGAAGAAATTGTATTATTTATATTGAAAAATTCCATATTTTATGTTTCTTGGGTGACTTCCAGTGAATACTGGAAGAGAGCTATTTACGTACAAGACTCGAATGTCCTCACGACGTATAACCATTTCGAGGATAATCAGAACAAGGAAATGTTTTGCCCCGTTGCTTATGGGCATGAGTACATAGGTCACATGTTAGTACAGTACATGAAATTCCCGAATGATTTGTAAGATTAATGGTATGAGAAAAGATGAAATGAAATAAAGAAAGTAAACTCTTACGTTTCTGAAAACACCGTGATATGTACAAACGAATAATCACATATTTGTGTTTTTTTTTTTTTTTTTTTTTTTTTTTCCACCCTCACTGTGTTAATACGAACCATCTTACATTTTATTTTTAATTTTTTGTTATAAATACTTTGTTTTTTTTTTTTTTTTTTTTTATCCTGCCTTCTCCATATTATTCCAACAACATTATGTGTATGAAGCAAGTAGTATATATACATGTTTATATAATATATGTAAAGGTGAATTCCTGAATACTTAAAAGCCTCATGTAATGTGATGTCGTTAGAAAATCTTTTTTTCTTCTTTTTTTTTTTTTTTAATATATATTTGTGAGCCCAATAGTGTTTACGTTTGTATATATTTTGTATACGGGTAATTATACTCCCCTTCACACACTTTCATTGTTAGTACACAGTCGTATTATTGCATTGTTTTTACATTCCCGCTGATGCATATGCACGCCAAATTTTACAAGTATAGATTTTTATTTTTAAATATAACAGAAATGAGCATGTTCATTCATAGACCATAGACATGTTTTTTTTTTTTCTTTTACGAGCATTTTATAACGTATAATTGGTGAATAAAAAGATGTTATTGCTATTATTTTTACATATATATTTCTTTTCTATTTTTATTGTTAATTTTTTTGTTTGATTTTACCTTTTTTAAGTGTGCATAAAAAGACTTAAACTTTTATATTTTTTACATAACTGGCTCTACTCTATTTAATATTTCACTGAATATATCAGTTATTAAACTGTTACATACTTTTTGCAAAAGAATTCAATACATAAAAACATATAGCTTAAATGTTTTCTTCGTATGAACAAGTTTGTAATAAAATTAGTATAAAATACGTTGGGTTTAAAACTTTTACCTTATTTTTTGTTGTTCATGTTTTTTACACAATTTATTCCTTTTATTCCACACGGATTCTCTTTAATTTTTTTATAAAATTAAGCTAATGATAAAAATTTTAACTTATGAAAATGCTTTATATGGAAAAAAAAAAAAAATTAAGAGTTCTTGTCTGGGTTTCTCTTCTTATCCTTCAGCTGACTTTCATGAATGATAGAAACAGTCAATCCGTTCTTCTGTAATTCTGGAAAAACGAAGGGGTATTTTTATAATATTTACACAGTCTCTATAGCTATTTATAAGAATATGAACAAGACATGTAAGGGACGGGAAGAAAAGGGAAGAAAAAAAAAATATATATATATATCACAAATCTACCTTCACAATATTTTTCCGCTTTTGATCTCCAAGTTGACAAAATAAGAGCTTGGCCTGTGCTATGAGCTTCTACTGTAATTGTATGCGCCTTGGCCTTGCTTATCTGACCAACAACTTTTACAATTACGTCCGTTACATAAGTGAAACTGTGCAGAGTAGGAAATCAAAAATAAAAAAATCAAGAATATATAAAAATTAATAATATATAAAAATCAAGAATATATAAAAATCAAGAATATATAAAAATCAAGAATATATAACGGTTTGCACATAAATGTTGATTCGAGTACATGCCGGAAGCATGTATATATGCACAGAAATGCACAAAGACAGAGAGAGACTGAAAACAGGAAATATAGCATGGTATTGATACACACATGAACATTGAAAAATGTCCATTTCACAAATTATAAAATGTCTCACTTATGAATATCGTCGTTGTACAGGATGACCTTCCAAGCAGTTGTCTCTTTTTCTCTCTTCTCTTTTTCCTCGTCGTAGAACTCCTTTATGTTATCTTTTTTAATTTCTTTTATCACATTTCTGTTGAAAGGGTTTACACGTGTGTGTTAGAATAGCTTGGAATTGTGCATAGCAAGAAATATATGTGCACTACCCGATATGGGTGTAAAATGAATAAAAATTGTTCGAATAGTAAAAGTAGCAGTACACAAGTCCGTGTCTATAATGAATACATAACATTCTATCGTAAAAAAAAAAAAAAAAAAAACAGTGAAGTAATCTTAACCTGAGTTTTTTCACTTTTTCCAAGTTTTCATTATTCTGGGCCTCAATAATTATATTTCTTCTCTTTAACTAACATTGAGGATGCGTATTGGTAGAGAATGTTCAAAAGTTGTAATGATAAAATGAGAAAACAGAATGGGGACGAATTAAGCATGTGGAAATGCGCATAATAAGCTTAAGTAATATTAAACGAAAAATGAAACAAAATGAAGTACACTGATATAGAAAAAGCATAATTTCACAAATGCACTCTCTTCTGCAAACCTTGTTATCCTTAAACACATGTCTGCTGGTATTGCTAGTATTCCGAATTTTTTGTGACGTATTAATAAACTTACAATATCTGGTAATATAATTTATGCTATACGAACGTGTACTCCTCTTACATAAAAATATACATAATAAAACAAATAAGAAGGTTTTTGAATAATTATGCATTTTTTCTTCACACCAGTTGTCCGTTATCAATCACATTAGATAAACATTAGGTAAAAAAAAAAAAAAAAAGTCAACAATTTATATCTTATCCTAATATTTAATCATCTTTACGTAAAAAAAAAAAAATAAAAAATAAAATAAAAATAAAGCCGCTTACTAGTCTTTTTATTTCATTCTTCCATTATAGTATTTTACTATACTACCATATACAATGTAGATTTAAATGTGTAAACATTGGTTACAACTATTGGAGATAACTTTTTCAGATGTACGCAACTGACAGAAAAAACATAAGTACAAATACATGAGAATAGTGTCTCCTTATAAAGAGTCTCAAATTTTTAATTCAACATATGTTATACATATGCATATACATATATGTATATGCAGAGGTGATGAGCTTATTTTAAAAATTGATCATGTCGTACGCGGGTTCCCACATCCTGAATGCATAATGTGCTTTCTCACATTTTAATTACATTTCCTTATTTTTTGTTCTTGCTATTCTTGAAAATTCCTGCCTTTACATAAACTTATGTTTTCATTATGAGTTGATTGTTTAGTTTCCTTTATTGCCTCGTCCTAAACTTTTAATACAAGTGTGTTCATTTTTTATAAGAGAATTTTGTAAGTGATTTCTTAAAATATGCTTTATTAGGACCAATAACTTTTTTTTTTTTTTTTTTTTTTTTTTTTTTTGCTTAACTTGAATTTTTACCCATAGCATAAGTGTTCCTCAAAGTAAGATTATTTTATCAAATTCACTGCACCGTGTGGAGATATTTTATTTCGTATTCCTTTTGTTGAGGAAAAAAAAAAAAAAAAAAAAAGAGTTATCATTATTTGGATTATTACAATTATATACTTGTCATGTTCTGTTAATAAAATCCAGTGCAACGATTTACATATACATGTATTTACACATATATTCATACATATATTCATAGATACATTCATAGATACATTCATAGATACATTCATACATATATTCATACATATATTCATACATACATTCATACATGCATACATACATACATACATACATACATATATTTATGCACATATGTAAAAATAACAACAATACATTAAAAACATGTCGTAGATTAATATTCCGGGTTAAGCTGAGAGGGATTCTTTTTCGTTTCCCTACATTTTATTTTGCCATATGTACATATAATATATGTACACATAGTATAGGTTTACAATTAGTGAGTAAAAAATTTAAACAAATTTTTTCCCCATTATTCTGCAATTTGTAACAACTGAAAAAGTTAAGGCAAGCCTTTCATCATTTTTTTTTTTTTTTTTTTTTTTTTGTGTTGGAAATTATATCTTTTCCTTGGTGGAGAAAATAACAGAGGGCGGAAGCATTTTATATGTATGTGACAATGGTCATATGCACGGATAAACATATATAATAGTACGTGTCGCTACCTGGCCTATCATTTCTTCCCACAGAAAGAACTACACCGAGATGGAGTATAAATTAGAATTTTTAAGCTATTTGCTTATTTTTAAAAAAAAAAATGAACGAATTGCCAAGTTCAACAAACAAATAAAAACGTGTATTAACATATTTGAAAAAATGGTAATTGATGAAAAAGAGTTGATATACTTGTTTGAAAAGAACATTTTAGATATCAACCCATCTATTCGTTCATTATGTTGGAAATTAGCACTGAAGCATCTTAGTTTAAATACGAAAAAATGGAATGAAGAACTTATTGAAAAAAAAAAATTGTATGAAGATTATTTAAAATGTTTTGTACTAAATCCCATGAAATGTGAAAAAAATGGCATAGGGAAAGAGGCAAATGAAAACACATCTTCCACTAACATAGAAGACGATTCAGATACGAATATAATTAATTCTGAATTGTTTAGTCAAATAAATAAAGACACCTTTAGAACTAGACCTGAGTTGTCTTTTTTTAGTTTAAATCCACAACAAACAATTAATAATAATATAAAAATTCTTAACAGTTTAATTAATATAGAAGAATTTGAACAAGAACATGAAGAAAAAATACCATCTCTAGTAAATATAAGTACCATGGATGAAAAATGTACTGATCAGGAAGGGGAAACACATACCAAGGATGCACAAAACATAAGAAGAAAAAACACTAATAATGTAGAAACTGTTTTAGAACAACAAAATGTCAATCAACTCTTACCACCTGTTGATAGAACTCCAAATATAGATATAGAATCCATGAACAAGTTGGATAAATGTCCTAAAAAGAAAAATTATGAACATCCTTTTGGTGACCATTCAGGTGTTTGTGATATGGTTAACCCGAAAAGACATTACGATTTATTATGCAGAATTTTGTTTATATATGCAAAAATTCATCCATATGTTAAATATGTACAAGGGATGAATGAAATTCTGGCCCCGCTATATTTTGTTATTTTTAACGATCCTTTATGTAATTGTTCTCTACAAGGAGAAGCAGATACATTTTTTTGTTTTATAGAATTAATGCAAAAACAGAAAGATGTTTTTTGTGAAGGATTAGACAATACAGATGATGGAATAAATGGGAAGCTAAAAAAATTTTCTCTCCTGTTAAGAATAAAGGAATATGAAATATGGAAAAAGTTGTATACTCTGAAAATAGAAACCCAATATTATGCTTTAAAATGGATTCTCTTATTATTAACTCAAGAATTTGACATGGCTGATACTATTATATTATATGACCATTTTATTATTAATAATGATCAAAATTTTATTTTGTACATTTGCTTAGTAATTTGCATGAAATTAAAGTGTTCCCTTCTATGTGGAAATTTCACTGTTAATCTTAAACTTTTGCAAAATATTCCACCTTTTGATCCCTGTGATATAATATATGAAGCTAAAAATTTAATGAGCAATGATGACAAAAACGGTTTCAACATTACAGAAATATATAATCAATATTATTGTCAAAAGAAAAGAAAAAATTCTGTGGAAAGTTTAGGAAATATTAACACTGAGGGAGATACATCTTCTAGCGAAAATTTATCTAACATAGACGAAAGTGAAAGCAGCAGTAGACAGGGAAGATCTGTACTTCATAATTTTAGGAAAAAATTTGTTGTACAAAATATTAAGAATTATATAAGTAACAAAATGGACACAACAAAAAGGAGTAATGAGTATTTGGACTTTCACCAGTTATAACTCCAATCAATGCCTGGTATTCTTTTGAAGAAATAATCATGCCTTTGTATCACTCCCATTTTATCCATTTTTTTTACATTAACACTTTTATATGTTTATGTAAATATGGCTCCACAAACTGGACAATTTTTGCATAACAGTACTTCATTATATAAAAACTGGTAAAATTCGAAATATAATAATCGAATCAGCTTATGATGATGTTCATCATTTCTCCATCCCTCTTTTTGTTTTATTTATTATTTTTTTGTGAAACAATTTTGTACACAAGTGTGTACTTTTTGTGCATATGTAAAAACAGCGTGAAATGTATGAAGTTTTTTAAAGTTAATATTTTTTTCTCCCTTTTTTTATTTTATTTTATTTATTATATATTTTTTCTTTTTCTTGTGGTAACAATTTTTAACATTTGTTTAATGCAATTTTTTAGTTTCCACGTTAAGTTTACTTTGCACAAACTTGTATGTTTATGTGAAGATGTTTTCTGTAACCTGCGCATGTGTTTTTTTTTTTTTTTTTTTTTTTTTCTCTCTCTAACAAAATATTCTCCATTTTATCAATACAAGAACACATCGCAAAGAAAACTAAAATGAATAAATAAACAAGTTTAATTTGTTAATAAATATATCAATACTGCTGTGCTATATGCACATAAAAGTTATAACTGTTACGTTATTAGTTCAAATAACATATGAAGTGAAACTGATTATACTTTTTTTTTTTTTTTTTTTTTTTTTTTTTCTCTCAGTCTTATCACTTAATCACACATTTATGGGCTCATCAAATCAGTAAAGTTCGAAGCATTTTGACAGGATGTTGTATAATTTTCTTTCTACCTTATTAATGCAATTAATGTTTGCAGATGATATTACACACCTTTTAGAATAGTTATATTTTTCAATTATGATACCTTTATTAGGATCCTTTGTTCTACTTTTTTCTCTTCTATGTTTATTGTCCTGGTAAGTACTTTCCTCCTCCAACACATTATACGTTAACACACGACAAAGATCGTGATAAGATCTTTTACTCAGAACAAAATATTTGTCAACGTTGAGTAAAAAATTATGCAACTGCTTTTCTATGTGCAAGTTAACACTTGTACTGAAATTTTTTAGATGAAGACGAGCAGATAATGCCCAATGATCACTAAGTTCCTTATTTTTTTTCTGTGTTAATATATCAACTCCATAGTTAAAAACTTGTTGAAATTTTATTAAAATTCCATTTTTATTAATTAATTCTGTAAATTTTTCCAAATCATAGGAATTTATGGATTTATTTAATTTGTTCATTTTTTCTTTTATTACATCTGCAGGGGTAAATAAATAAATGAGTTCCTTTATATCGTCTCTATTGATAAAAAAAGAATCCACAAGGAAAATATTATCCGTTAATCCAAATGAATAATTCAATCCACTAACTAGTGTGTTTTTCCTATCGATAATATCGTATGTTTTTTGTAATTTATAATTAATATTTTTATAAAAAAACAAATCATCCATTCTGCCTCGACCGTTTAGACTTACAAGTTTATCATATAATTCTCTTTCTTCTTCAACGTCTATGTTGAAACTTCCAATAACTAACATGGAACTATTTTTGAAAAGCATAGTTGCTATTGGTTTATCATTTGAATTTTCATTTGGTTCAATCGACGTATTACCACCACCAATGTGGCTATTATTACCCTTTTCATAATCTGTCATGTTAGAAATATAGTCTATCTCTTTTTTGTTGTAATTTAGCCCCTTTTCCAACTTGCTCATCTTTGTTATTACCTCATTTTTATCAACATATTTATGCAAAAGCATATTTTCCTGACTGTTCATTGGTTCTTCTGTTATTTTCAAATGTTTTCTGTGCATATAAAATAGTTGAAATATATAAATTTTCCATAAAGTTTTCTTCATCAACAGAATTAAATCGTCTAAATTGCTTAACTTATTTTGGGTACTATATAAATCAAATTCGCAATGAAAAATGTACAAATTATATCTTTCTTTAAAAACTAATTTCAAAATTTTTATAACTTTTCTTTTAAATAAAACATCAGATGATAAAAACATGTAATCGTAGAAAGTCAAATGAAAAAGCTTTTTTCTCCAACACATGTATAAACCCCCATTTCCATCAAAATAATTTTGGAATGTATAGAAAATTTCATTTAAAATGTTATATGATGATGGAATATTATCTACTAATATAGTATGTGTGTGTTTTAACTTGTCATATAGCATTTTCTGATATTTTCCATAAACTGATCTAAGGAATATTAAATCAAATTGGGAACATAACACTCCAATTTTTCCACACCTATTTTCATTATTTCTGCACGTCTCGTAAATACCATACAAGTGAGGATTATATCTGAACATGTCATTATACAGGTAAGTGTTCAGTGAAAATACACTTATACAATTGTAGTACACATCTAAACTTCTAGACTCATCACTAATGTTACCAGACATTAATTCAATGGGATTCTTTTGAATATTTCTTCCATTTCTACTTTTTCTATCATCGCTGCAACATTTTGTGTTACTAACTCTGATTGTTGTGTTCGATGGCGAAATTGAATAATCTCCATTATCATGGTCAAAAAACTTAAAGCTTTTACTCTTCTTCCTGTCATTAGAATCTTCTGCAAAAACTTCATTAATTGACAGATTTTCGCTAAGAGACAAATCGTCCATTTCATCATGAATGTTGCCTCTGCTTTCGGAATAACTCGATTCGGATGAACAACTTGATGTGCATTTTTTTGAAAAAAATGGATTGGTTGAAATTGGAGAAGTGGTTGAAATTGGAGAAGTGGTTGAAATTGGAGAAGTGGTTGAACTTGGAGAAGTGGTTGAACTTGGAGAAGTGGTTGAACTTGGAGAAGTGGTTGAACTTGGAGAAGCGGTTGAACTTGGAGAAGCGATTGAACTTGGAGAAGCGATTGAACTTGGAGAAGCGATTGAACTGGGTGCCCTGTTTGGAATGGATGAACTGGATGGGCCCACGTTTAGATGTATTGATTCCAATTTTATGTCATCATCCAATGAATGCCTTTTGTTTAAATTGTTACACTTTTCATTCACATCTTTTAGCATGTATTCTATATCTCTGTATATTTGACTGACTTGCGTAAAATCATTTGACGCATTGTCTTCCTCAAAGTCAAGGCTAAACTTGTGGTTCTGTTGCATGATCTCTTTCGTTTTTTTCCTCTCCGTCCTTTCAAATTTCTCCCTCTTTTCACCTTCCTTATTCATTTTTACACGTGAAGTGCACTTGTGCATTTGCGTCCTTTTTTGAGCCCTCACTCATATTCTGCTAGGTTTACATATTTTTTTCCAATTTTTCCCCTTTGGAAAATTTCATACCATTTCTATCTTTTGTATGGAAACTAAGCATCCTCCTCAAAAATATGCAACTGTGTGTGGGCATATACTTTTTTCAAATTAAGAGTTTTTTAATGCACATATATTAACAAATGAGTGTAAAAAATGCATATGTTTTTTCGAGCATGCAGTCATATGAACACTTTCAATAAGAGTACAATTTGGTTAATTACAATTAAAAACAAAATGAAATAACCCATGATATCATCAAATTTGCCATTAAAAGGGAAAAAAAAGACAAATTAAGCCAAAGAACAATTCCTACAAAGGGGGTCTTTGGGAAAAAAAAAAAAAAAAAAAAAAAGGGAAAAAAAAACTCCACTAAGAAATTTTCTCTGAACAAAAATTGTTTTTCTACACATGTACGAACATTCATTTATTTACACATTTTCAAGTAGATGCCCTTCAATTGTTTGGAGTCTAATGTGATATATGGTATTTCTCCGTATATCTATTGGTACATTTCTATCGAATGGTGTTCAATTAATTTGAAATTTACTTTGTTTCATTTTTATTTCATTTTATGTGTAACAAAAAATGTTCTCAAATATTATGCGTGCGAGAATGGCCAAAAAAAAAAAAAAAAAAAAAAACATGCTAATCTTTTTATATATGATAAGTTTACATTAAAAAAAAAAAAAAAAAAAAAAAGGAATTTTTTCACTTTTTAAAACTACCAAAAGTTCCTCCCCATCCTGGATAGTATGAACTGATCTGTCCATAAAAATTTATTTTTTCTAAATTGGTTCTTAATTTTTATTATTTTTTTTTTTTCTTTAGCTTCGTTGAATGATTATATCCCCATAAAATCGTATCAAATAAATTCCTCTAAATAGTTCCGCCCTTAAAATAATAATTTCTACAATATTTCCCTCCGAAGGTATTACTTTTCCTTCGCACAGATAAAGACCAAAGTTAGCTCATAATTTGTTACTCATTTCTAGGATAAAAAAATTCGCTTGGAATCATTTTGACAACTAGTTTTGTTGTTAATAAAACGAAAGTTACTAAATGGGTCTAACAAGAAAAAGACCCTACCAACTATTAAATCTTTATGAACAAATCCATAATTTCTACTATCAAAAGAATCCATTTTATTGTCTCCTTCTACCCATATGTTATCCTTAGGTATATAAACAAAGGACTTCATACTGTCAACAAATAATTTATCATTTTCTATTGCAATAATTCTTTTACATACTCTTTTTTTATCATTCACAGGGGATGTTAACAATATAACATCACCCCTCCTGTAAAAGTGTTTATTTTCTGCCATTTTTTTTTTTAATTTTTCAGTTATTCTAAAAATACTGTTATTTAAAAACTCAATAGAACTATGATTAAAATTTGACTCAGTAATAGCGTTAAAATGAAATAAGATGTTTATAAAACTATATAGCAAAATGTTACGTACTTGGTGAAAAAATCGAATAGTATCATCGCATACATAAAATAAAATTACTCCGTTTTTATTTATTAATGGACACATACTCGATCCACTAGTAAGTGTCATGTCGAGAATATAATTATTTATTCCAGAAATAAGTAAAAAGGATAATATTAACTTTTTTATAAAATTTATTGGGTTATTAATTTTCACAAAATTAAAAATATGTTTTTTCCTTTTTTTCACTTTGGATCTATTGTTACTTCTCTTCTTCTTTTCAGAATATCCTCTCAACAGAGTAGTCTTATTCCTTTGTGACAATAGATGGTTGCAAATATTCGCATTTCTACATATTATACATTGTAGTTTTTTTTTCTCCTCCCATAACTTGGCATAACTATGCAGCAGTACATATTCCCCCTTACTCCTCCCATAGTAACTTGATGAATTATAATTAAATTTATTCGTGTAAAAGAAAAAATTTTCTATAAATTTTAATGCATATAATCTTTTGCCGTACTGTCTGCTTCTGTTCATATTATTGCATTACGTGAAGTGGGGTCTACATGCATATCTTCACAATTATTTGAGAATGCAAATGTTCTAATGTCAATACATGTATAGGCACACACACATGATTGTATGTACAAAAGATTGTTATTCTATCTTTCCCTTTGAGCATCTTTTGCAATTTTGTCTGTTCCCTGATTTGGTTATTTTACGCCTTCTTGTGGCCAATAGTGGAGCCTAAACGAACTACTAATTTTTCTCACTTTGTAGAAGATATTACTTTTACACAGCTTATGAGCATTATATATAAAATAGCCAAACAACAAAAAATAAATTCTATACAAGGTAATGGTTTAGAAGCTGTAAATGTCACTGTCATTAGCAAGAACACATTAATAGGTACTCAAACTGTATCTCCAAGTGGAAATTTACAGAATGATCGAAACAGTTACACAAAAATGTGGTACAAAGGAAAAAGGGAACAATGGAAAATCAGGAGATTTTCTGAAAAAAGATAAAATATATGTAACATTTTGTTTGAGCTTATAAATTCGTTTTGCTTCTTTCTTTTATCCTTTCTTGTTTTGTTATGAAAAAAATGTATAATTCGTTTATGCACAGTTGAATAGCATTTTTATTTTATTGTATTTATTTTATTTTTTTTTATTTTTTATTTTTTATTTTTTTTTATTTTTATTTTTTTTTTTATTTTTATTTTTATTTTTATTTTATTTTTTTTTTTATTACTTTAAGGTGCTTAAGGATGCCTTTTTCGTATAGGTACATTAAGTACATCAAAATTTGGACTGAGCTTTGAAGTTACGTGTATATATATATACACTACACGTATGTTTGCTTATCCCCAATCTGTCAAAATTAATGACTAAGCCCCAAACGCCTTGAGTTGCAACGCTACCAGTATTCACTATGCTAATTTTTGTAAAGAAGGAAAGCCATACTTTGAAACTTCGAGCATAAAAACATAATTTTTTTTCTTTTTTTTTCTTACATATTTCCATTAGTGTGTTTTGAACGTTTTGTACAATTTGCTCCCTCTTCATTTTTGCGTTTTTTTTTGTTCTTTTTTTTTATTTTGTTCATTTTTTCATTCATCAATTGCACAAATTAGTGCAAACCTTTGAGAAGACCCATTCGCGGAAGCAAATACCGTGAACGATCATTAAATGAAGGAAACAAATTTTTTGTCATAAAAATGAGTCAAAAAAAATCTGCTTATTCAAAAAGAAAAGTTAGTTTACAAATACATGCTACCCATATGAATGACTGAGTATGTTACATGAGAATTATGTTACTACCATTTGTGCATCCCCTTTACCAGTTCATGTACAATTTTTAAGCATTAACACATCTTTAATCTTTTTACATGTCCCACATAAATTCATTTTATTATATTATGTTTCATTTCTACATATATTAGTGCATAATGACACAATTAAAAAGATGAATACTAAAATATTTCTATTACAGTTGCTGAGTGATATCCGGGTGCATGGATAGATGTACACACATATGCATATATCTACATACACATTTATATTAATCCATGTTAACTCATTTTACACAGTTTCTGCATTTCTGCATTTCTGTTCTATAGAAAATAAGCGAAATCGAAAAGAAATGCGAAGAAAGTTTGAATGAAATACTGAGATCAGCAAATGAAGCAACTGAGATTTCAAAAAAAGCAGAAGAAGAGCTAGAACACCAGACAGGTAATCGTATGATGCATTGCTTGTCCCGATATCCAAATGAGGAACAATGTCAGTGTTAGCGATATCTTTGATTTCTTTATTCAGTAGTTATAGATAAAGAACAAATGAGATATAAAAAATTACAACCATTTTTAAATAGATAAACAAAGAAGCAAACAGATAAACCGACAGAAAGACACGGCAAAAAAACAAACGAATGTAGAGATAAAATACGCATGCACACAAATCTGCATATTTGTATCCTCTGTAACAGCAATAAGGAATTTTTCAGAATTATATATTTTGAATACATGCATATATTTTTAACTCATTTTTCACAGAACAAATAATACATATCAGTAAGGAGACTGAACATATTGAAGAAAACTTGAATCAAAGTCAGTACCACTTAGAAGGTATAAAATATTGGTGGAAAAACATAAATTCTTTTCTAGGATTCGAAAATCCTAATAATAACGAAAATAAAAATACAAATAATCAGCTAAATGATAATATAAATAAAAAAACAAATTATAATTATAAGCATAATTATGCAAAGAACGACAACCGATTTTGTAGAAACTCATTAAACTTAGATGGGGCGCCACAAAGTAAGTATACAAATAGTATAACTGCTTGAAACATATGTTTTTTTCAATCTGCTTTACAAATATCTCTTTATTCATACATGAATAATATACCCCAAATATATGTGTAAATATGTGAATACCAAATATATGCTCACATGATATACCTTAATTTTTTTTTTTGTTGAAGGGAAAGGCACATTTGATGAAAAATACGAAAGTGATTTGAATACCCTGTCTTCAATGGTATATATTGTGAACACATTAAACACACCAACGCAACTGTTTTATCCCGTTGTGCGGTTTTTTTTTTTTTTTTTTTTAACGTGCGATTTTTTACTTTTCAGCTATTTTTATTTTTCAAATTTTATTTTTTTTTAATTTCTTTATTACATATAGCTCGATGAATTGCATACTAGGGCCTTGGTCATGGGGAATACAATAAAAGAGCAGAACAGGATGGTATACAGAAATATTTTTATATGTTCATTTGTAACTTTTATTTGCTACTTTTTTTTTTAGCAAAAGAGTAATTTCATGATCTCTTAAAATTCATCTCGTTTCAATTTCCCTAAAAAAAATTATGCACGTAATTTAAGTCTTTCTATGTGAAAAAAATATATAATGTTTTTATTTACTAATTTGCAGCTAGGTAATACGAGCGAAAAAATGGAACACAACATAGAGAAAATTCGAGATCAGCAAAAAGTAATGAAGGATATTATGAAAAAATAACTTGTCTGCAATATTACTTGTATGTATATGTATATATACGCTTTTCTAACAATACACAAATGCGCATTTTCCATGGGGAATAAAATGTAGATAAACAAAAAAAAATTAGCGAACACACATTTATTTTCCCCGCTCCTCTTTTTAAAAACCTTTTGTCAATTTTTTGTTTTTAAAATTTAATTGTCCGTTGATTCATTTGGAAATAATTGAAAAACATACACGTGTGAAAAAAATTTATGCATGTGTATTTACATAAATATACATATAAATATATGTTTGGTAAACTCGTATACATAAAACTATTTTTTTTGTATAAAATTTCCACACTTTTAAATGTTTTCTGTAATCGTTTTATGTATATTTTCTTATTTCGCAAAAATGTAAAAACTGCTGAATTACAGTTGTGTGCATCGTTTGTAATTGTAAAACGTGGCAAATTTAAAAAAAAAAAAAATATATTCGATTTTAATTTCTATTTCTCCGTGAAAATTGAAAAATATTAGCAGCTCTTCATTTGAATTTTTTTTTTTGCTTCTTAAAAGATAATTGCATATATATATACATATTATCGTATATGTGTTTATGTAAAAAACTTAACGTACTCCTATAAATCTATCAAGTGAATACAGCCAAGTGTACATGTGATATATGAGCGAGCATTAGCATATATAAATCAAGCAAAATTTAATATACGACATTAACTTGGGGGTAGGTTAAGATTTGATGATTTTTTCAAATGTATATATATATATATATATATATATATATATATATAACTAAAAGGCATTTACTTTTGTATGTACATATATGCTTTTTGGAACTTGTAAAAAATTTGCACAAATTGTTTTAAATGTATACACTTGGTTAAACACGCATATATACACACATATATATACATACATGCATACAACATGCCACTGTGATCACTGTTTCATATAATAACATTAAGCAATTTACGCATATCACATTTATGTGAAAAATTATATTTTTACATGGTTCATTTAGGTGAATCAGGTGGTAGTAAAAAAAAAAAAAAGTGATAATTAAATCATAAAAAATAAAGTTATATCTTGTATGATGTTAAAAAAAATGAAAACAAACAAATGTATCAAATTGATATGTAAATAATAAATTTTATAACTTTTCCCCTATATTTTGTTTTACAATTTGCACAAAAATATATATATTATGAAAAACAACGTTATTAACATAAAATAGAGAGATCCGCATCACAACTTATAGAAAATTACAAATAGAACAAAGTATTTTTCAAAAAAAAAGAAAAATAGACTTATACTCCATAGGAATGTCCTTTTTTTTTTATTTTCAATTTATTTTGCAGCAAAAAATATATATATGTATACTTATGGACATGAAAAAAAATTTACACCCACAGTGTAACAAACACAAATACATAACAAAAACGTACACATGAACTTCTACAGAGAACGCTGGAGTATATTCTATTTACGTACAAAATTGTTTCGTCAAAATGTCAATGAAGGAAGATTACTACGACTATCTGTTTAAAAGTAAAGCACATATACTTGTAGCTATACATGTGCACATTTTCTATATATGCATATATATATCCACATGTCTACAAATATAAATTACCTTACCTGTGCACGCATTCGTGAGATTATACAAAATTTTAGATATGCCCATATATCTTCCACTTTTTGACATTTTTTTTTTTTTTTTTTTTCATACTTTGTTTAGTTGTTTTAATAGGCGACTCCGGAGTAGGAAAATCAAACTTACTCTCCAGGTACTCATATATTCTTATATTTCTCGAACTGATTGGTGTGTATTGTGAACGTGAATTAACTTTTAATAAGAAAAAAATCTATTAGTTTAATATGCACAAAATATATAACGTAAATTTCATAAAACAAGGCAAAAAAAAAAAAAAAAAAAAAAAAAGCTATAAGTTATATAATAGGAAATATATACCATCACATTGAGTGCACACGAAAGAATGTTATAAAATATATGTATACAAAGTAGAAGTAACGCATTTTTCTGTAATAAGACATATTTTTTTTTTTTATTTAAATATACGTATATGTCTTGGGGCACAACATATACCGGCGTTTATGCCTTCCTATGTGCATGTATTATAACAAGAATTTTTCTTTTAACTCTAATTTTGACGATGAAGAAGAGATAACTACATTTTGTGCAATACACACACAGTTGTTGAAAGGAAGTGCTGTTTTTTTCACTGTGTCTGATTCAATGAACCATTGTATGGTGGTATTGATATGTTTTTTTCATTTTTCATTTTTCATTTTTTTTTTTTTTTTTTTTTTTACCCCGTCCATCACACTCCTTATAGATTCACGAGAGATGAATTTAATTTAGAAAGTAAAAGCACCATAGGCGTAGAATTTGCTACAAAAAGCATTCAATTAAAAAATAATAAAATAATAAAAGCACAAATATGGGATACAGCAGGCCAAGAAAGATATAGAGCCATTACCTCAGCATATTACCGAGGTGCTGTTGGTGCTTTACTAGTTTATGACATAACAAAAAAACATTCATTTGAAAACATTGAAAAATGGTTAAAGGAATTAAGAGATAATGCTGATTCCAATATTGTTATTTTATTAGTTGGTAATAAAAGCGATTTAAAACATTTACGTGTAATAAATGATAATGATGCAACTCAGTTTGCAAAGAAAGAAAAATTAGCCTTCATAGAGACCTCTGCTCTAGAAGCTACTAATGTCGAATTAGCATTTCATCAGTTACTAAACGGTAAGCACCCAAAAAAAAACATGTGTACGCATTAATGTTTTAATATATGCAAGTGAAGATGTAACGTTGAAGTGTGTTTCACTTGTATCTAGCATTGTATTTACATATATATAGACCCATCACTAGTTCGAAAAAAAAAAATGTGTAGAGACAAATGAAACTTACCAAAGAGCATAACAAATTTTCATTGGAACACCTTAAAGGAAAATTCACATGGTTATATTCATGTATATATATTCCCTCATTTTTAATTTTATAGAAATTTACAATGTTCGGCAGAAAAAACAAGCCACAAAAAATGAAGACAGCATGTCAATCCAACCTCGAGGGAAAAAAATAAATGTTACATGGGAAAAAATAAATAAAACCAAGATTGAAAAAAATAAATCAATACACATTTGTGCAGATAATTCTAAGCATTTCCATAGTATATATCATTTGAAATGCATTATATGTAATTATTTTTTATTTTTTTTTTTTTTTTATTTATATTCCCAGGTAGATGATGATGATGATGACGAAAATGAATCAAAGAAAAAATCCAAATGTTGTTGACGTGTGTTTAAATTTCCACTTTTCTTTCTTTCTTTTTTTTTTTTTTTTTTTTTTAAATTAATTTAAAAAACAATGTGGGAAGTTTTTTTTTTTTTTTTTTTTTTTTTTTTTTTTTTTTTTTTTTTTTTTTTTTTTATTTTTTTTTTTTATTTTTTTTTTTTTTTTTTTAATTTTTTTTTTTTTTTTTTTTTTTTTTTTTTTTTTTTTTTTTTTTTTAATTTAAAATTGTTCTATCATTTTTTGTTAACTTTTCATAGAAGGAAAAACTGAAATTCAAAAAAGCATAAGTAAATAGTGTTGGTATATCAAGCTAATATGCAAACGAGCATGTGTAGTACACACATTCATAGTTCTTGCTGAACTATTCTTTTGAATGTCCCTTACACATTTTTCTAAAAATTGCATAACATTCAGTGAAATCGTTGCTAATCCTCTTTTTAGAAGGGGACGTATAAACCTCAAGGTTTTGCTCCCATGCCACTGCATATTTTCACCTTATTAAAATAGCGCTCAAATGGAAAATATTGTTGTAAAGTGGATTTCAGCAAATGTAGCAATAATTATGCGTTACTTTTTTTTTTTTTTTTTTTTTTATTTACTTATGTGTATACATATGCACATGTATACATATGTATGTATTTTCTGGTGCACGCGTAATTTTTATTTTACATTTTTCCTCGATACATGAAAAAAAGTAACACTCTCATCATCAGAAAAAAAGAGAATTGCTCGAGTGTGCAAAACTGCATTTTTGCTATCAGTACTTTTTCTGTATTCTTTTACACACTTACGTGTACTCATGTTGCAGTTTATTCTATTTATTTTTACATTTAATTTTGTCTTTATTTTGTCTTTATTTTTGTCTTCATTTTTGTCTTTATTTTTACCCTTCAGCTTTGCCTATATTTTTACCCTTCGGTTTTGCATTCATTTTTATTTTTCAATTAGGTAAATTTCATTTTTACCCTTTTTTACAAACTTTTTGAAAACTATCACAATATGCATTTTCATAAAAAGTTGTAAAGATGAAAAATACAATTTTTCATAACACCCATTAAATTTTCAATTTTTGTTCATGCTGCATAATTTTTTTTAGTAAACAAGTATAAAATGTTTGTCAAACGCTGGTAAGGGAATAATTACTTAATTACGGGAGAATTATGAGATATTACCTCTCTCCCCCTCCTTGTCCATGTGAATTTTCCCCAGTTGTAGCGAAGCATGTGTATCACATGAAAGTCAAGCTACTATATTTTTTTTTTTTTTTTCATTATTATTAGTAGTAGTATTAGTAGTATTATTAGCAGTATTGTATTTTTTTCCTTCCATTTTTCTACATGGCAATTTAATTATTTTTTAGGTCCTTTCTATATAAGTACATTTCAGAGCATTTTTTTATTTAAATGACACATTTTCAGGAATATCACTTAAGAAGGACGAATTATTAAGAACTTGCTTTCGTGGATAGTTAGCAGTTCGATAAACTAAAACGAAAAAAAAAAAAAATACCCTATCCTTCCACCTTGCATGAAACATGGACAACTTGTTTAAATTCACGCATCTTTTAAAAGAAAAAAAAGCAAAATAATAATTATAAAACAATGGAAGAAAGAAACGTCCTTGAATACGCAGAAGTAATAATCGATAGACAAAGAGACAAGATAAATGAATTAGAAAAGAAGCTAGTTGAGTTAAGGAGTAGCAGCGAAGAGTTACAAAAGAGTGCCTTGAAAAATGATGAAGAAAATAAAAGTCTGAGGCTAGAATTAAATAGAAAAAATGAAAGTGATATGATTTTGCATATGCAATTAAATAAAGAAAATGAATTTCTTCAAAAAATTAGCGTATTAGAAAAGCAGCTGCTTAAAAGAGACACGCTTCTAGAAGAACTAAACAACCTTTTGAAAAAAAGAAAATATGAATATGAGTTATTGCTACAAGAAAAAGAAAATTTAACAAATACTGTTAATATATTGAGAAATGATATATGTAAAAATAGAAAGAGTGAAAAATTAAAAGAACAAGAATATTTAAATAATGAAAAACAAAATGAAAATTTCCTAAACTTGTATAAAAATAATAATGAAGAATTGAATGTCACCAAAAGATGCTTAATACAAATCGAGACTGAATTACATTTGTATAAAAAACAGAATGAAAAGCAAAAAAATGAAATCCAAAGGTTGTATAAAATAATTAGTTGTATGAACAAAGAAAAAGCTCTTATCCCTCCTGTAGTATTAGCATTACAAAATGAGTATGTAAAAGGTAGAAATAATAAAACTTTACAAGAATATGTGCAAATCAAGGATATGCAAGGCACTCCCCCAGGTCTTGGAATACAAGTGGAAAATAAACTAACAACACTGAAGCAGATGGATCCTGAAAAAAGTTTGCAACAAAAATTAGCATATGATGAGAATTTATTAAAATTAAATTTAATGCAATCTCAGGAACAAAAAAATTTATTTAATAAAGTGCTAGAAACATTAAATAAAATTCAATATGCTAATACGAGCGATAATAAAATTGATTTTTTCTTTTCCTCCAAAATTTTGCACTATCTTGAAAAAAATAAAGAACCGAAATTAATAAACACAAATGCCGTATCACTTAACAAGTCATTCGGATTAAGCATAGACTCGATAGAAAACTCAAGCAACCTGTCCGACACGAGTTCCTATGACGTGTTAAAAAAAAAGGTGCATACAAAAAAGGGAAAAAATGATAAAAAAGGGAACCAAAAAGATAAGAAAAAAAAAAAAAAAAAAAAAAAAAAAAAAAAAAATTACGTGATGCCCCATGCTGCCTTGCCAGTAAGGAAAAATAAAAAAAATATGAAAAAGAAAGGAAAATCGAAAATCGGTTCAAAACAAATATTATCAGGATTAGAAGACACTTCCAACGAAGAAGATAATAGCAATGTGATTAACATCAATGGGTATAAGGGTACTACCTCTGGTGATGACCTCTCTAGTGACGATAAAACGAGTAGAAAAAATACCAGCGACGAAAATACAAGTATTGATAGTGATAGCGAGGGAAGTGATAGCAAAGACAGTGATAGCGAAGGAAGTAATAGCGAAGGAAGTAATAGCGAAGGAAGTGATAGCAAAGGCAGTGAAAGTGAATGCAGTGAAAGTGAATGCAGTAATAACCGAAGCGACTCAGATTCATCCGGCCGAAGGAGCAGGGATCTCATGAAGGGTTCTGGTGATGAATCAATAAGCGATATGGATCTAGAGAACATTAACCATTCAAAGAACAAACACAATTACAAGGAAGAAAGAAGATTCCTGTTAAATTATGAAAATTATAAAGAAAAATTCATAGGGATTACAAATAAAGAAATATTTATTTATAATAAAAAAGGGAATGAAGAACCAGTGCACATCATAAGAAATAAAAGTATCAAAAATGTGAAAATGTTGTATAGCAATCAGGTCTATGTATTAGAACATATTACTTTTGATAATATTTTACAGAAACATTATTTTTTAATAAAAAGTGATGATAAATCATTGCGAATGTTCTATGCTTTACAATACGCAGGGTTTATTAAACAGGACATGGATCAATGTATGGGAGAGAAAACAAACAAAAAAGACCATATAAAAAAATTGAATAAAAATGATTATGGTAATAAAATGCAAAATATAAATAATCAAACAGAAAGGAATTCATATTATAGTAAACTAGATTCTACTACAGCTGAGACAACTGTAAATATATTTACACCAAATGGAATTGATAAAAATGGTAATAACATACCTTACTTATGCAGCGATGTAATAATGAAAGTAAATCCTCAAAGGAACTATCTAACACTTTTAAATTTTCACGAAAAAAATTCATTTATTAACTGTGAGGATTATCACATGAGTTATAAAAATAATAAAATTACCCTCTACTTTAATAATTTTAAAGATCAACACATTATATTACCAAAGAGTAAAGATTGCACAAATAACTTGCATGATATCTTAAATGAGATGAGTTGGAAAAATTCTCATCCTCATTATGGACCTGATGGAAAAGACATATACAATGATGAGGACTTGAAAAGTTCTAATGTTTCTTCAAACAATTCTGAAAAGTCAGTCAAAGAAAAACGTAAATATGAAGTCAGAGATAAAATATCTCAACGAAAAATGGAAACAAGTGTGAAGCGAAATTTTTCTATGGATCAAAAAGTGGATAAAGAAAGGAATAGCGAATGGTACAAAGATAAGGACAGCGCACATGGAAAGGATAAGAATGCCGATTGGGAAAAGGACAAGAATGTCGAATGGGGAAGGGAGAAGAATTATGAACGAGACAGGGAGAAGAGCAATGAATTGAACAAGGAGGGGAACATGGAAGGGGAGAGAGAACATGAACATAAAATGGAACGTGATAGAAAATCTGGAGTCCGAAGAAATAGTTCACTTGGAAATGATAATGAAAGAGGAGAGTGGTATGATGCAAAGGAGCGCGAAAGAGAAAAGGATAAGGAATGGAATGAGGATAAAGATAAGACAAGGGAGAAAGGGGGAGAGATCAGAAAAGACGATATTCCATCAAACATGAATGCGTCTAGTAATATGGAAGACACCTTCTTTATAAAACATAATGTTCTTTATATATCTAAAGACGGTAACCCTTTTAAAAAGGACCAAATGAATTTTAACGATGAAAATTCTATAAAATTTCCAAACGAAAATTTACAGGTGCTGAAAGATGATGATGTTCAAGAATTAACTTTTATAAAAACGGAAGAAAATAAAGATGAAGAGACATACATTTTTCATTATCCTAAGAAGGAAAAATATGATCATTTGATATCCAAATTACGTAAGAATAATTTTAACGTAATGAGGAAAAGTGTTTATGACACAATCCAAGAAAAAGAAAAAAATGAAAAAAAAGCACTTAATGAAGAGTTAGATGTAAATATCGAAGAAATGGGGGTGGAAACAATAGAAAAAGCAGACAAATTTATGAAAAACAATCAAGTAGTTGTAATCGAAAAAGGATTACTATCAATTTATAAAGATTACGGTAATGAAAATTCTGTTCCAATAATTAAATTTTCGTCTGATTTTTGCGATGTTCATTCAAATGAAGAAAATGGAGTAATTAGTATAAAAGATACGTCAGATGGATCTAATGAAAGAATTGTACTAGACTGTCTAAATAAAACGGAATTCCATAGATGGAAAAATGCACTGTGTTTTGGTGGGTTTGTAAAAGGTGAAGGTGTTAATGCTTCACACATGAATTTAAAAAAGCACATATTTTCTATAAATTTATTTGATAACTTGAATGTGAAAAGTTTAGTCACTGTAAATAACAATTTCATATGTATTTATCAAAATAATAATATGGTTAAGCCCTTATTCTCTTTTGAAAAAGAAAAAATAGAATTGATATTCATTCCAGAATTAAGGAAAATAAGGATTTATATGCAAAGAGATACCACATGCGAACGACGATATGATATTACCATTCCATTAGCACGTGATTTTGCATGCATTAAAGAACAAGTAGAAAAATATAATTATCACTCATTAAGCAGTAAAAAAACTCAAAAAATAAAAAAACCCTTTGTGTTATGCAAAAAGAATATCATTGCTATACATAAGGATAAATATAAATTAAAACCAGATATAATATTCGACAAAAAAAGTTGCACAGCTTCAGTTGATAAAAACAAACTTACGATCACTTTTAAAATTAAAAGTAAATTAAATACTGATCAAGAAGAGACAAAAACTATTACTTTATCGAATACATCTAATTTTAATAAATGGATAGTCACATTAAAAATAGCTACATTCTTACCTGGTTTTGAAGAATTAGAAGATGATATATCTTTTCCTACCATTGTTTTTGGACATACCTCTCCAGAGGCAACTAGCTTACTCGGGAGAAGAAATTCATTCATAAATTTTTTTAAAAAATGAAAAAAAAAAAAAGATAAAAAGCTATTTGCGTTAGGCAGAAATGAACAAATACCAGAATGGAGTACCGAGCAAATAGCTAAACAGCTAATATATATATATATATATTACAGCAAAAAATAAGAAATGTCAATAAAAAAGGAGAATGAACATTACATCCCCATCATATTGTTAAATATGTAACAGCTACTTCTTCATTGATATATTTTTGAAAGTATCTTATACTTAAAATGTTTAGAACCAACATAAGGTAAAATCAAATGTTCTTATATATATATATATATTACCTTCACGCAGTGGGTTCTATAATCCCCAAAGCGAATATAGTAACAGCATATATTGAACATGGTAAAAATTCAGATAAAAGAAGAAACATAGAGGTGATAGATCACGATTATGCTCTGTTTTGGCCTATATTAACCAAAATTGTTTACGTACTAATTCGTGCTATGCTCATTACTCAAAATGAAATAAAAGAATATAAAAAAATATAAAAATATATAAAAATATATAAAAATATATAAAAATATATAAAAATATATAAAAATATATAAAAATATATAAAAGAATATAAAAGAATACAAAAGATGAAGTGACGAAAATATAAAAAAAAGATGCACACATTTATTTATGATGAAATGACTTCCTCTCGTGCAAAGGCTTTGTAGAAATTTTTTTTTTTTTTTTTGGTATTTTTATTTTTGAATTTGTATACACTGCATATATATGTACATTTTCTTTTTTTTTTAAGTGTATATGTAAATAGTTAGACAACTGTTAAATGTGCTCGTTCCTTTAATTTGTTTCCATAACATGTCATAACTTTAGCATTCAAATGACATTGGGGAGAGGGTAAGGTAACTTATACAGCTTATTTACCCATATATGAAAATTTTTTTGTTATTTCATTTTTTATTTTTTAATGAATTCCCATTTGGTTTTATAGTTCAAAGTGTGTACATGTGCAGAGTGTATGTTGATATGTTTGTGCATATCAAAATAATTAATTTTGCTTCCTTCTAACTGTTATTTTATTTTATATTATTTTTTATCTTTTTTATTTTATTTTTTTTTTATTTAATTATTTTTTCTGAGCTAGTAAATTTTTTTCCTTATCCCTGTATGATATAGTAAATGTTCAAAACACAATGCTGAAAAATATTGAACAAGGCTAAAAGAACATTTTTACATAAGTTTCCACATAAAATATGTTGAGGGGTTACTATCATTTAAATCTTTCCCCATTCAGAAAGAGTTTTAGGTTTTTTTTTTTCTTGAATCATATGTAGATCATTTAAACGAAATATTTTTGCGTGATGCTTGTTTTGGCAATTCAATATTTTCCTTTTGTTATGTTTATAAGAATTCATATACACACAGATATACATGTATATATATGTGTTTACATAAATGTTGGAACAAATGGATAAAATTGTATATATTCTAATTTTACTTTAATAAATAAAAATCCCACCTTAAAATCTCTTATTTTACTTTAATATATTTATTTTTATTTTATTTTATTTTTTTTTATCGTAAAAGAATAGCACTGGAAACAAGCACGCATTAAACGAAAATAACATTGATTATAAAATTTGTGTTTTTTTAGCATTTGCTTATGCCCCTGCTTAAATAAATTAATTAACATATCAACATGCAGGAAAGAAGTATGATAAATAGATTGAGTTAAACATTTTTTTTTACAAAACCTAAGTTATCATTTCGAATTGAAGATTTTTTAAAAAAAACACATGGGAATACTAGTTTAATTTTTACATTCTCTTATATATGGAATGATAAAAAAAAAAAAATATGATCATATACGAACTTCATAAATGATGACGCAGAACCTTGTGCTTCGATTAAATGTAATTCCCACATGCACATACATGAACTATGCATATATATATGTAACATTTTCCTTGTTCTATGGGAGTAGAGTACACGTTTCACTTAATAATTTTTGAAAGAAGAGAAATTTAGAAAATAGCATTATATTATATACATTATATAGAAAACTTGATGAAATGTGTTAATTTTTTTTGAACTTTCTCATTTTTGTTACTCTTGCTAATTTAACCCATTTTGTTAATTATCATTTTGTCAACATGGCCCTTTTCTAATAGAAACCCCTGTTTTATAACGCAAAAGGATTTAATAGGATCCTCAATTTGGAATGTAAACAGTGCATGAAATGTCATTCCACATTTAAAAGACTATTCACTATAGGTAATCCTCCATTTACGCGGAACATAACCAACACACTTTTTCTTTAAGACAAATGTCAAACTTCATTTTACAGGAATACAAGCATGAATAATATTATTTAGATATTACCTGTTCGTACATATATGTTCCATTAGCACACATATGTATATGCTTGTTCGTAGACAACCACTGAATTTCCTACGCATCAATAAATGTTATTACTTTTTCGCATCCCAACATACAGAGACAATAAAGGTACCAAGACTAGGAGATTCCATCACAGAAGGTACCATAAGCGAATGGAAAAAGAAAGTTGGTGATTATGTTAAGCTAGATGAAACCATAACAATTATTGACACAGATAAAGTAAGCGTCGATATAAACTCCAAAGCAAGCGGGGCTTTATCGAAGATATATGCAGACGCTGGAGACATCGTTTTAGTTGATTCACCCTTATGTGATATAGATACCTCAGTAGAAGCACCTGAACATATTTCAGAAGTGAGTGGGGAAACATCGCAAGAAAATGCGATGAAAGCAATTGATGAAGCTGAAACTGAAACTGAAACTGAAAAAGGAAATAATGAAAATGATGACAACCAAAAAAGATATACTAATACACAAGAAAGTGAAAGGAGTGATAATGAAGAAAAGAACTCAGGCACGCCATACGAGTCTTTGAGCGAAAGAACGGAAACAAGAGTTCGGATGTTACCAATAAGAAAACGAATTGCTCAAAGACTAAAAGAATCACAGAATACATGCGCTTTATTAACAACATTCAATGAATGTGATATGAGCAAAGTTATAGTGTTAAGAAATGAGTTAAAAGATATCTTTCAAAAAAAATATGGGTGTAAATTAGGATTTGTATCTTTATTTATGCATGCATCAACATTAGCTTTAAAAAAAATGCCACAAGTAAATGCATATATCGACAACGATGAAATTGTATACAGAAATTATATTGACATTTCTGTAGCAGTAGCCACACCTAATGGACTAACCGTTCCAATTATTCGAGATTGTCAAAATAAAAAATTGTCAGAACTTGAGATATCCTTATCTGAATTAGCTACGAAGGCAAGAAATAATAAATTGTCATTAGATGATTTCACTGGTGGTACATTTACCATATCGAATGGAGGTGTTTTTGGTAGCATGCTAAGTACACCAATTGTCAACATGCCTCAATCAGCTATACTAGGTATGCACACAATAAAAAATAGAGCAGTAGTTGTCAACAATGAAATTGTTATTAGACCTATGATGTATTTAGCCCTAACTTATGACCATAGATTATTGGATGGAAGAGATGCTGTGCAATTCTTATGCGCAATAAAGGATTATATAGAAAACCCAAATCTTATTTTAATTGATTAAATGATGTGTACCCACCACCCCATAATTATCATATATATTATATAGTAAATAATACCTGTATATAATTAATAACTATAATACACATGTGTGTATATTTTGATGCATGTAATATTCTTTATCCAAACTTAGAATTTTTTTTTTTTTTTTTTTTTAAGTTACCATAATTATATAGAAATGTAATATTCATAAGTTAGTGTAACTTTATTCACGAATTAAAACCATAATCGCTCTTGTGTTATTGGTAGGTTTACATCAAGAAGCACTTCTCAAACAAATTTACCGTCATACACAAGCACATATAATTATTTGCTTAAAGTGGCAAATATAACATGTTTATCTTGGAAAATTGCCACATGCATGGTTTATTGTAATTCTTGTGAATGAATAAAAAAAAAAAAAAAAAAAAAACTACCTTTACATTATAACAACGGATTTTTTATTCATATATTTCGTTATTTCCTTAAATATCAACTTAAAATTAATTGCGAAACATTTGATTATCCTAGTTAATTTTTATCATTTTAATTAAACGGTAATGTTATTTCTTCGTGTACACATTCAGGTAATGCACACGTGTGTAAAATTTCTGAAGATAATATTTTCTTTCCTCATTTAAATAAAACGCACATGTGTTACAAGCACATATATATATATATATAGTATAAAAAATCGTATAACTTTTTTACTCAAATGATTCTATTAAATTGGATAACCTCTTAAAAAAATCTTATTTTCTTTTAGTTAAAAATTTTGTTCTTCTTAACGTTTCGTTTTTGTTAAGAAATGCTTTATTCAGACAAGTAAAAATTATATAGGTTTTTTTAAGGGCATCAATTTTACTAGGTCAGTTTTTAAAAACAAAAAAATTATGATAGATAATATGAGTGAAGTAAAATTGTATGACTATTAAAAAAAAAAAAAAGAAAAAGCTTGTTCAACAGTTTTCCATATCGAAATGAATCCAAACTATCCAATATATTAATTAATTCTCATTTATCAGTGATATCATTTTCTATGTTTTCCACATGCTGTAAGGTAATATGTATAATGAGCTATGGATCTATGTATAACATACTTAATGTATAAACATATTATCACACGCCTTTGGGGACTTAAAACTAGACATGATAATGAAAAGGTATAAAAGTGTTATACATATGAAAAAAAAAAAAAAAAAAATTAAATGATTTTAAACAAGTTTCACACTGAAGCCTCCTTAAATGTGAAAAGTTTTATGAGAAGAATGAAATTAAAATGAATTTTATATGCAGTTATATAGTCTTACACTTGAATTCTTTTCTTCTTTTTCTTCTTCTTCTTCTTCTTCTTCTTCTTCTTCCAGTAGCTTCATTTTTTCCTGGTTATACAGATCGTCTATCCACACTGTCATTGAAAAAAAAAAAAAAAAAAATGGAAATTCTTCAAAAATCATAATTCGCATAACAAATATGTAATGTATAGTGTCATAGTGCTAGGTGGAAAAGCAAAATGTACCTGGCTTATGTTGTTCCATTTTCTTATTTTTGGAATAGTTCACATAAATTTTCATTCCATTTAATTCAAAATTATTCATGTTATATAAGGCATGCTTAGCATCATCCTTTTCTACATATTCTATAAATGCAAATCCTCTATTTTTTTCTAAAAAAGCAAAATAATAAATCAAATTAAATCAATAATAACTATTTAAACTTCTTCTCGTTTCATATTTACAAATATTAAAATGCAACTGTATAAAAATTTCTGACACTTTATTTATCTAAGATATAAAAAAAAAAAAAAAAATGAAAAAATAGTGTGTGTCTCTTCACCTCTCATTTACTCTGGCTTACTTGTAACAATGTTTATAGGCACTTCAATGTTTCTTATATCACCAAACGATGAAAAAATGTCATACAAACTCTTTTCGTCTATTGTTTCATCAATTCCTCCTACATATAATAATTCGGTTGCATTATCATTAGTCATGTTTAACTTCTTTATATTTTAAAACATTTTAAATAAAAAAAAAATAAGGAGTAAATTTTCATTTCCGACTTTGAAAAGAACAAACACAGTTTATATTATGGATAATCTTTTCACAAACACTCAATGGAAGGATGAAAAAATTATTCCTTCATCTTCGTGGAAATAATAAAGTGGGAAAAAAAAGATGCTATTATTATTAAATAAATGTGAACAAATAGAATAATTTGAAAAGGGAATTTTTAAACATACATATATATATACTTTTTACCAATGTGTTTTTATAAGTCAAATTCTTATACATATGGGCGGGAAAGAATATGCTTATTTTTTATTTTATTTATATAAGGAAAAAAATCTGAGTTGCGTTTTTAATAATTATAAAATTCATTCCTATCCATTGTGTTTTATCAGTGAAATAAATTTTTTTTTTTATGTCCCTGTGTGTTTTTTTTTAGGGATGATCAAAAGTATGGAAAATTAAAATATTGTTTTATTTAAAAAAATGAAAAAAATAAGCTTAGTTGAATGGTTATATAATAATGCGCAACGAAAAAGTACAAATGTATGTAAAAATAAGCTTGAAAGTCAATAAACTCGAGCTCTAGGCTAATCGGCGAATGTTAGAAGAAAGAAGATATAGTACATTTCTTTATTCACAAAATTAGCAAAATATTTAAAAAGCACTTTCTTTAAATGAGAAAAAATATCACAACTGTTATTTCATTTTTTTTTTTTTTTTTTTCTTTATTCCATATAAGAAAGAAAAAACGCACATCTGCATTTTTCTATTTAAATAAGGAAAATTGTAGCACCAAAATAAAATAAAATACAACTGTGTAAAAATTGTCTACAAAATTTTAAAAAAAAAAAAATCCAATTGTGTAAAAATTGTCTACAAAATTTCAAAAAAAAAAATTCAATTGTGTAAAATTGTCCGTAAGATCTCCAAAAAAAGAAAATAAAAATGCAACTGTGTATAATATGTCTATACAATTTAAAAATAATATATATCAGTAAATGTTCTTGGTATGTAACTACATTAAGTTGTAGAAAAGAATTTTTAAAATTTATAGTCATAGAAAAAGAAAAAAATAAACCTTCCTAAAAATAATCATTATACTAATTATTGCTCTTTTTCTTTTTTTCTATATATAAGCTTCTTCACACTAACAAAAATAGCATGTTTGTACTTTCTTCATTGGAGCTACATATGTCACAATGATTATGTTAAACATAAGAAAATGGTACATATATATATATATATATATTTATGTTGCACGCGCACATAAACTCATAGTTGTAACTTTTTTCTAAAAAGAAAAGATAATATATACTCGTAGGAAAATAAAAGTAATAGTCATAACTCTAACATTATTAGATTTGCACAAAAAAAAACATTTTATTTTTGTAATATTTACTATATTTTTAATGCACTGGAAGTGTGAAAATTTGCCACTATTTTACTGCGTCAAGTTGTTGTTTCCTTTTGTTTTATTTCCTCATTTCAACTTTTTGTCACTGTAGACTCCTTTTTCGCCCAATTTGTGCTAAAACTAGGTCAAAGGACTACGTTAATTCTTTTTTTTTGTTTTTTTTTTTTTTTTTTGTTTATTCCTTTTTTCAATATTTTCCTTACTTTTTTTGTAAAAAAATTAAAGTAATCACCTGGATGTATATGCAAGGATCAAAGTACCCATAATACACTAATTCAACATAAAGTTCTCATTCATATACTACCGTTTTAATATTATCAAATCGTTTTTCTTTCCATTGTAAAAACTTTTGCATTATAGTTCCACAGTTAGCGCAGTGCTATCACTTTTTAGTTTTGTCCACCCTTACAAATAATTTTTTTCATCACATTGTCAAATCGATTTTCAGAAACACCAGTACACACTTATTTTTCAATTTTCTATATTAAGCTTCTTTTCTGCTGCTGGAAAATTTGGTCCTGGTAGACTTCCTTCAAGTCATCCGTTCACTCAGAGAGAAGCTTACACATACGTATACAATTCTCAGCTAAATTAAAAGAAAAAAAAAATAATAATAAAAAATTCAAAAAATAAAAAAATAAAAAAAAGATGAATACGGCTAACTCGAATGAAGAGAAAAACCTTCTGATATACGACAAGTCAAGTAAAGTAGGATGTATCTACTTCATAGGCATCAGCAGCAACATTTATCAGGGGAAAGTAATTCTTAAAAAAAACTGTATAAGTGATAGAATAGTAAGATATACGAATTTAAATGAGAATTTGATGTTAATAAAAAATGGAAATTTTAATTTTAAACAAACAGCAATATTAATTAAAGGAATAACCATATTTCTGCATAGACAACTAGAAGTATTGCTAACTGATTTTTACACAATGTATAAGAAATGTTTATTCAGTAGCTTAAATACAAATAATTCATTAAATGGCATAGTAAAAAAAAAATATAGAGAAAATAAAAGATACAGAGCCAAGAAAAATATATTACCTTTACAAGACGGGACACATAGGAACACTACAAATAATAACATTTTTGGAAATAAAATTTCCAATTATTTTAATAAAAATAAGAACATAGCACATATGAATGATTTAATGCTAAAAGAAAGTAATGATCTATATGTGAACGACTATAACTTTGGGAATGACGATATTCAAAATGAAGAAAATATTATATATCAGGATATGTTAACTAACACATCTTCTTTTGAATATTCTAAATTTAATAACTTGTATACAATTAATAATCAGATGCAGAATTTGAATACAAAAGAAACTGCAGGGGATATTATAATGCAAAGTAATATAAACAGTACTGCCTTGTTAAAATTTAATTTGCTAGATATGAAAACACATAAAAATTTAGAAAGCAATAACAACTCAAATCCCAATTTATTCGTGAGTAAACATATAAGCAAGAAAAACTTTTCTATTAGCATCTTGAATAGTAGTCTACTAATTAATGGGGGTCTTCCACATGAGAAGACAAATAATAATTTGGGAATTACAAGTCTAGGAAATGGTAATATGATTCATAAGGATAATCATAATTATAACGAAAAATATCAGGACCACAATAAGAACAATGAAAAGCGCAATGAAGAAAAGAAGAATAAACGAGGCTATGCACAGATTGACAATGAAATAATCCTGAAAGATAACATCTGGAACATGGCAAATATGAATAAAAAGAAAAAGTCTGATAACCACTTTAATACATATTTGGAAGGGGGAAATTATATTTTTTTTTTTCTAAACAATGACATGAAAAATAATCCTAGTGGTAGTTCTATGTCTTCCTCTTTTCATTCATACGAAAGAACAAAAAATTACATCAACTTTGATGCAAGAAAAGATATATATAACATATTTGGCAATGAACTAATACAAAATGAAAAAAATAATATGGAACCCAACAATTTCAAATTACTTCAGACAAAATCCACAACGTCCTCATTAAATGAAAAAAAAAATAAAAGCATGAATCATTTAAACTTCGAACAGTTAAGAGAAAATTTTAATGATGATTATTTCATGAAAATTGAAGTAGAAAATAACCCCAGTAAAAAAAGATACTCGAAGGATTCTTTTGTTAGTAGCTTTGATCAAATGGAATACGACTTCGACAGAATTAGTGACATGCCGCACAAAAATTATGAACACAAAAAATTACATCAAAACGGATCATGTATAGATAACAAAATTAGGAAAGGCAGAAACTATGTTTATACATTAAGTGATACTTTAAAAGACTCATTAAGTGTGCCATCCAGCAAGTTAGTTAATAAGAGGTCCTGTACTTCATCAGAATATAAATATAATCAAGAATTAATAAAACTAAAAAATTATTTGCACAAAATAAGAGAAAAATGTACCAATGTTATAGAATTCGATTGTATATTTCCTGTCAACAAAATGTCTGATAAAAACATTTCCCTAATATTCTACAACTTGCTTGTATTAGCATCAAATGCTGAAATTGAGGTAATACAAAATTCTCCTGATAATAAAATTCTTATACAGGTATGTTGAATGGAGAGAAATTATTAAAAAAATTTTTCTTTTAAATGAAAATTGGAATGCGAAAACAAATGAACATGTAAAAAGTTGCATAAATAAAAATAACAAAAATAGTGATGTATCGAATTAACACACAATAAAAAAAAAAAAAAAAAAAAAAAAAAATTTCGGGAGCAAATATTAAAAAATGCACTAATCTTTAAAGGAAAAAAAAAAAAAAAAAAAATGCATACATGACATTTATGCATTTGTATCAGTGCACACGCAGGTGCTTTTCCTTCAACACACAAGAGTACAACTTTGCAAATTTGCATATAGACAGCTTTGCAAATATGCAAATATACAACTGTAAATATGTACAAATGTACAATTGTAAGTGAATACAAATATATAACTGTAAGTGTGTACAAATGTACATAAAATTCAAAGAAATAAAACTTGCTAAAGGTTAAAAGGTTGCAAAATAGTAAATATGCAAGTAGAAATTTAATTAAACACAAACCGAGTTACATGTTCTCGTTTAAAAAATGGCAAAACAGAAAAACTCTTTTTAAAAGACATCGATATAAAAGTTAAAGAGCGTAGTTGTGAACATAGAAACGAGGGAAAGCACCTATGTGCTAATATTTGCTTAAACTTAGCTAACTATTGTGTCTTTTATTCTGTTTAAAACAGCACGAATTCTTCTCCTCAGAAAGAAACTCATGACCTAATAATGGGGATAAAAAAAGGGATAATAATTTTGCACATACATTAAGACATATATATGTATATGCACATGAACAATTGTAAAAAATACGATGCAACAAAATTTTAAGTGAATTTCTAAATAAAGGAATTACATTTTTAACAACAAAAACGGGTTTCGTAAATGTGCGGTCTAAGTTATTAATCATTTCTTCTACAGCGTACGAACAATTTCTTTCATTTACTTTACATTTATCATTTAAAATTTCATAAAATTTCTGATCCATTGTAACTAAAAATGCTTTTTTACTTTTTCTTAAAGGAGTAGGAATGTTGACATAATAGCTTAATTCGTTTAAAAATACATGTCGAAATTTATCTTGTATTTCGATCAAGGGAGATAAAACGTGATTATGTAAATCCTGTTTTTTACTTTCGCGCACTTCTTCGTCATTGAAATTGTATATTATTTTGTTAAATGCATCTTTCGTCATTCTGTATAAAATGTTTCTGTTCATAAATTTTAATATGAAGGAAACGTACACCCCTTGATTTGGTTCATCCCCAATTAGGGTTACATTTTTTCCTCTTAACCCTTTTAAGCAGTTGACGAATGGGTGGAAGGGAGTGACCTGCAAAAGGAAATATGCCAAGGTTCTCACGTCAGCAGACATGTATATATATATATACATATATATATTCACGCTCATACGTATGTACGAACTCAAATATGCATGCCCATCACACAATCACAATAAAAAAAAAAAAAAAATAGATTCAGAAGGTTCCTATTCAGCGTTATCGTAAAAAATAAAGACATATATAAAGAGCAAGCATATAGGAATAGTACCTGTTCTGGGATTTTATGAAAACTTTGTAGCTCTGGAAATATTCCGCTGATTTCATCTTTTAAAAGAAAATATATTTTCATATTATATGATTTAATAGCTGATGATATAATCTCAGTTGTGTATTCACTAAATTCGTAATCCATTAGAACGTTGTAAAAGAAAAATTTTATCAAGCCTTGATCATTTTTATATAGATGATACTTTATTCCTGTTTCTGTAGTTATACTTAACACCATATCAAATTGTGTACTATGGCTACTAGCCAAAGAGTTGCATTCGTTTCTATCACCACGCGGCTTTTGTAACACCAACCACTGCACAATTAGATGCATAAAATCAGCCAAAGTATACATTTCATTTTCATATCTTTGGAAATTCATCATGTTGGAAACGATATTAAAATTTATTGTGTTAGTAGTGAATTTGAAATTTTCATTTTTTAACTTTTTCTTTTTAGCTATATATATATACGCTGATGGAATAGTTATCTTATCAAAAACATTTGTTGTGTTGTTATCATGAAAAAAGTGTACGACTTTCTTATGTAAAAAATGTAGACATTCCACAGTTCCATAGTGATAAGTACCATCCTTATGATATACTCTTATCATATTTTTTTGTCGTCTCTCAATGAACGAAATATTTCTTGAAACTACGTCTCGGTCGTCATTTATATATTCCTCATTTGTGTTTTCCGAACTTCTACGCTCCTCATTAGTGTTTTCCAAACTTTTACGCTCCTCATTAGTGTTTTCCGAACTTCTACGCTCCTCATTAGTGTTTTCCAAACTTTTACGCTCCTCATTAGTGTTTTCCAAACTTCTGAATTCCTCATTAGTGTTTTCCGAACCTCTGAATTCCTCATTAGTGTTTTCCGAACCTCTGAATTCCTCATTAGTATTTTCCGAACTTCTACGCTCCTCATTAGTATTTTTATTACGTGGCTCATAAGCCCCAGTCCCCTCAGAATATATACCATCTGAGGAATGCTGCAAAGACTCGGATTCATTAGTACTACTTTCTATCCCTTTTTCATAAACGGCATTACAAATTGTTACTAAGGTCAACAAAATAGAATTCTCCTTCCTGTTATTGTAATAATTCAGAGAAGCCTTAATAATATAAGAGGGGTTCATTAATTCTATGTTATACAGTGCCGAGATGACTTTATTAAACGAGGATTCTTTAATAAGTGTCCCTGTGACATTATTGTAAAAAAATGTATTTTGTTCATTCAATGATAAGCAACTGAAATTTGCACGTTTTATCTTACTTCCTACCTTTTTATACATAACAGTTTTATCTAGTTTAGATTTATAATTTTTGTATATAAAATAAATTAAATTTTTCAAAGTTATTTCCTTTGACCTAAGCAATGATATATTAAAAGACAAATAAAAATATTTAGATGATCCCGATCCCGATCCCGATCCCAATCCCAATCCTATTTTTATTTTCATAGTTTCATTTTTTCGACTACTTGAAATATTTGGAGTATAAACATGTCCAATTTTACCTAACCTTTTCGTGCATTTTATTAATGTTTTTCTATCAATTAGATGTAAGCTATTTCTAAGAATAACATCTAGGTTAATATTCACAGGTTTAAAATTTTGCAATATAAATAAATCATTTGGATTAAGAGATAATTCAGGTTCTTCCTTAATTATTTCTTTTATAAGAGTTCCTATAGGTTTATGTAAATCAATGGCCTGATTTTTATTTGTATATCCTTGTAATAAATCGGTTTCTGCATATTTCACTTGTAGATGAGTATAATTCACACATTTACACTTATCACTCACTCCCCAAAACATATTATTAAAAAGTGCAGCTAAATTTGTGTTCATATTTTTTATTACAAATTTGTCTAATTTTATAACAAACTTATTTATAAGAGGAATATTATGTTCATAGATTACCTCATAATCTGAGTTGTCCAATTTTAGTGGAGATAATTTTAACTCGTCTATATCTCGATCTGTTTTTTTTCTTTTCATGTAAAATAAAAAATTCTGTGCACTTTTAAAATCAATATTACTAAGTGTTTGCTTTATGTAACGCCTCAATCTATTATTTATCTTGTTCGTGTCAATACTGTACACAGTTTCATTTACAGCATACAAATTTATGGAAATGCTAGTGTATAAATTTCCCTCATGATAATTATTATAAATGTATTGAGACAACAATAAATTACTGAATTCATTGAAATTTACTCTCTCCATACATCTATGTATAATAGTTTCAAATGTATCATTGTTCTTTTCGTCTAAGGGAAAATTCTGCAATTCATATAATTTAAATTCGTAAGATAATCGTTCGTGCAAGGTAAAATAGCCATAAAATAGCAAAGATTTTAACAAGGTCATTTTTTTAACGCTATACCATTTATCATATATTCTCGCCTTTAATATTGCTCTAGTATCAGGTATTGAAAAACCTTGCAAAATTGGTAATAAATTTTTAACATTATCCTCCTTATCTACCAAATGTATCAATTTCTGTTTGTTAAGTAAATACATGTCAAATATATCAGGTCTATAAGGTTCAAATTCAATAGAAAAGGTTTTCATTACAGTACCTATGATTCTGTTTTTAAAATAGTAACATGCATTCGTATATTTCTTCATATTATATGCATCTAGTTGCGAGTAATTTATTTTATGTTCAAAACTTTTACCAAATGGTATATTATAAATATTATCTTTATCATTTTTCCGCGTTTTTCGAAACTCCTTATTCATATTTTTAGGTTCATCAAAATTGTGATGCTTAGAAATTTTTGTTAAATGTGATTTCTTCCTTTGAATAACCATACTATCAGTTTTTTCTTCATCGGTGCTTACTTCACTGCTTTCATCACTAGTACTATAATTATTATCATTACTACTTTCTTCCTTATATCCAGACACACCACGACGTCTTGACATCTTAGGAAATTGATAAAATGAAATACCATCCCTTTCATCATTAGATGAAGATGAAAATTTTTCCTTAAGTGTATCAAAAGTATAAGAATCCTCTGATGAATGTATATCTTCTGATTTTTTTATGCTTACTGCTTGTGTGTTGTAAAAAAAACAAGTGTCTACATTGTCATATTTGTTTTTAATTGTCTTTTTCACAGAATTAGTTGTTAATCTTGTTACATTTTTATTTTTCGCCTTGACAAAAAGAGTATGCAGTTTTTCTTCTTCTGTATAATTCATAAGCTCGCATTTTTCGTTAAACCATTTATAAACATATTTTTCTGATAGCTTTTTTTGCAAATATTTCACACTAACATTTAAATATGACCTAAATTTAAATATACTTAGTCTTTTTCTGAAAAATGGATTAAAAGATTTTATCCATAATAATACCATTGGGTTTCTTTTAATAAGACTTAATATATATTTATCGGTGGGATATTTTATTTTTCTTTCTAATTTTGGTAAAAAAAAATTTTTTTTTATAAAAAGCGTAGATAAACTTAAACCCATGGAAAAAACATCACTTTTTAGATTATATATGATAGAATTGAAGTACGACTGTAACTTTTCAGGAGCTGCATGTATTGCACTTCCTATGAAATTCCCATAACTACCTTCTTCAATAGTATCATTAAAACCACCTAATAGAACATTTACATATTTATTCTTTTCATACCTCCTTTGAACGTAAAAGTTATCTGCTTTTATGTTTCTATGAACTAGACCTAAAGCATGTAAATAAAACAACCTAGATGTCACGTTTAAAAAGAAATCATACTTAACATTATAATCTCCTTCCAGCATATTATAACTGTTCATAATAAATTGAACTGCATCTTTTTCTTTTCGTATTCTTAATTTAAAAGCATACTGATGTACACTTCTACTAATATCCTTTAATGCTTTACTGAAAATAGACATGTTCGTTTCACTTTCATTTTTTCTTATTATCCCTGTGGGTATATCCCAATTCATAGTTTCCAAGGCACATTCAGAAACTAGTTCAAATAATTTATCACTCAGAAATGCTACATGAAGTACATTGAATGTATCGTGATTATAAAAATATTTGATATTCTTATAATTCCTGCACGGACTATTAAACGAATTTAATAAATAATGAACTAATAGCAAATAGGATTTTAATTCTTTCTCAAAGTTGTCATCATTTTTGTCATTAAAAAAAAAATTGATAGCTGAATAATAAGGGTAAAAATCTGCATTCATTATGACCCCTCGAGAGTCCTTAGACTGAATAGTCAGATTTTTATCATTTCCAAATTTGAACATATTTAATACTTTGAAATAGTTACTTTGTACCGTGTTGTAGTATAATTCCTTATAATATGTGGATCTAAGAACACATAATATATTATCTCCTAATAACCACTTCAATATGAACATATTTTCTGTCTCCTCTTGAAATAAACCTATAAATATTCTATTCTCATGTTTTTCTAATATATCTTTATACATTGGTAAATCTTCACTGTTCCCACGTACCTTCTCATTCAAACTTTCACCTGTTATGTCATCTCCTTCTTGTTTGTTGTCACTAGAACTGGAAAACTTCAATGAATTCTCTGAAGGTATTACTCTACCTTCTGATGATTGTAATTTATGGTGAGAGTAAGGGAAATTTTCTTGATTATCTTCTTCTGAAGTATTTTCCACAGGAGATTTATCAGGAGAATGGTTTTCATAAAGATCACTATTTTGCAATTCATCTGATAGGAGTGTTTTATCATGAAAAATTTTATACAGAAATGGAATTAATGAATCGTACTTATGTTCTGAATTAATTTCATTTTTTTCGTTAAAATATTCTTCAAAATTTGGGTATGCACTCATCTGGCCAATTTCTATGTCTTGCTTTTTTTCAAAATTATCTGCACCATTTTTATTATACATTTTATTATCCTGTTCATCAGATTTTTGATCAAAAGATTCAAAAGATTTTCTTTCAAAATAATCGTTAAAATCTTCTTCATATTTTTTAAAAGAAGTTTCCTTTTGTACTGACTCTGGTTGTTGTACTACACTTGGGATTCCTTCAACAAGAGTATCACTTTTTTGTTGTGGCTGATGGTTCTCATTATTTGTATTTTCAGTCAAAGGAATTGATTGATCCTTTATCGGTTCTTTATATTCCCTATATTTTTCTTCTATTTTTGATTGCTCTATAGATTTGTTTTCACCTGATGCAACATGTTCGTTTGATGAATGAGTACTTATAAGTTTCTGTGTTTCCTGATTGTTTGTTTTATTATCTAAAAAAATTTCATCATCCGGTTCGAAACTAAAAAATATGGGATTCCTTTGCGAATTCTTACTTTGTTGTACTGTCTTGGACTTTTGATTTGTGTCTAAAGCTTTTAGAAAACTATCAGCGATAGATTTAATTTCTTCATCACCATAAATTATGTTTTTTACTTTTTTAATATATCCAAAAACATTGCCAAAATAGGAGTTATTACTATCATTGCTACTTTTTTCATTCTTAGAAAATTCCCTCGTTATATTATCCTTTACATTAGTATTTTTATCTTTTATATCATATTCCCTACTAACTGATTGGGGCGTTCCGCTGAAATACATATCACTGGTACCCGGCTTATTGCTAATCGATTCAGAAGAAGTATGAATAGAATCATACACGTTTTTATCATTGTAATTTTCATTTTTAGAAGTAGAATTATCATTGTTCGCATTTATTTCAATACTTATATCAGAATTTTCTTGGCTATATTTGTCTTCCTTCATCTTATTGTCATGATACATTGATACATTTCCATTGTTGTCCTTTCCAACATTATCACTATGTAGTGTTGTTTTTAATTGAACAAATGATGATGCATCAGCCTTCTGAATATGTTTTATGGACTTCAACTTATTTATTTCCTCATGTCGTACATTATTATCAATATCGTTTTTTTTATTTTGCGCCTTCTCTACCAAACTGTAATGCTGAGGTAAATTTAAACTGGTACTATTAAATCTAATATTAAAATTGTCAAACTGTTTGGATATATAAAAATATGGATAAAAGAATTTATATTTGTGACTCTGGATGAAATATTTTGATAGCCATGAGTAAATGAAATCGTATTTTATAATAGCCTTATTTTGTAATTCAAAATGTATAGGAGAATACTTATTTAGATAGAAGTATTTATCATGCTCATTTACAAATCCTCTACTATCCATTAAAATTTCTATTTCAAACATGTCACTTAAAATATTAATTTCTTTAGAATGTTTAGCATCATATGTGAATATGCCATTGTTACTTGTCTCGAAAATAATAACCTCATCATTTTCTTCAGTTTCGATTATATTGTCTCTCAGGAAATTGTACACGATAAACCGGTCTTCAGCCTTCGTAACTAAGAGGAGAAGGAGAAAAAATGGAAATTGGAAAATTGGTTACATTTTTTGTTAATAATAATACGTTTTCATATGCAAAAAAAAAAAAAAAAAAAAAGGCATACGCGTTTATTACACCCTTCACAAAAACATAGAAACCAACAGACGAGGTTAATTAAAACGACAAGACACACTCCCTGTATTGTATAAAAAAATGTCATTTTGCTTAACAATAATTTTATACAAACATAAGCAAAACTAACAAATCTTAATTGCAGCTCAAGAATAATTGTGCACAAAATTTTGAAAAACACCGTGTTGATTCCTCACAGAAGAATAAAATAGAGTAAAATAGAATAATATAACATTTTAACAAAATTGAACCCATGCAGGTAGTGATATAACACATGATGAAAGAGGAAAAAAAAAAAAAATTCTATTTAGAGAAACATTTCTATTTTTTTTATAGTGTATTATGTTTTGAATTTGTTCTTACGATCTTTATCAAGGTCACACAATATCTGATGGCTGTTTTTCACCCTCCTATGAGATACATATTTCAAATTATTGAATGGACTTAAATCATTCAATATATAATCATCTAGATTGAGAGAATAATTTTTTTCAGAGTGTTTTTCTTCTGGACTTACAGGGATCATAAAATGAGGATCAATAATACTGTAATTTATATATTCCAAATATTTCCTCTTAGCACTATTAAATGTATTCAAGTCGTAAAAAAGATTATCATATGTTATATTTAGTCTATTTTTTAATGATTTTCTTAATGTTTCAAAATTCTTTAATTCATTTGTGCTAAATGAAATGGTTTCATAAGCAGTTTCTATTTCTTGATTACACTTTGCTGTTATGTTATAATTATTTTTTTGTAAAACCTTCATATTGGCATTAAACCATTTTGTTCTTTGGTTAATATTTTCATTTAGCGAATTTTTCACAACAGCAAAGGTGGTAACATAAATAACCTTGTCTTTGAAAAATTGAAATTTCCCTTCATATAACTCTTTTCTATTATTATTATCATCATAAAAAGATTTAACATAAACCAATTTTAATTTTCCCTTAACGAAAGAAAATCTTTTAATATCATCAATGGACGTATGTATTATAGGAATATTTTTATTTTCTACCCTTTCATCTTCCTTTTCATTCAACCCTTGCTGGGCTTCTTTTTCATATTTTTTCCTTATTGCTTCTGCCAGAGCGTTTGAAAAAAAGTTCGTTATAGTTGCATTTAATTGACCTATTCTGCTTATTGTGTTAGCATAGTAACCCATGTTGCTTCCAAAACCGATTCCGTTTCCTATACCTATGCTGCTACTACTCCCACTATCACTATTATAAACATCCTTGTTATCTGTATCATTGTGAATATTGTTTCTAAAAGAAGAACTTATATTATCTTCCCCATGCGTACCACCGTCATTCGTGTCTCCTTTTTCATCGACATTATTAAAATCTGAATTATGAATACCCTTTATTTTTAGCGAATATATAAAAAAAGGAAAATCAAAAATTTCCTTTTTTACATAGTTATTTAAAATTAAAATGACTACATTAAAGATAAAAATTTTCTTTACAAAAGAAATAAATTTCATTATGAGTATATAAACAGAATTAACACTAAACCATATTTTCCTGAGATCCGATGATAATTTTTACTTTTCATTTATAAATAAATATCATCCTCATTGCGCTAATCATGGAAGCAATATGAGGAGAGACAAATTTTACTAAAAAGTATATATAAATATGTATATATAAACATACCAAAGTATGTACACATCTGTATCTATTTTCACATGTTCATACATGCACCTTCCTCACATGTCTAAATGCAAAAGACATATTTCTCCTGGTATATTCATACACCATTACAATAAAGCGGAAAAATAACTTCTCCTTAATCTTTTACTTTTAATTATAACGATCGTATTTTTTTTATTATTTTTTTTTTTTTTTTTCATTCCCCACGCCAAATTAATATTCAATCAATGTGTTAATAATGTACTTTTTAAAATAAATGGATTCCATTTTATTTAAAAAAAAAAAAAAGAAGATTTTTTCTATTCACTTATCTGTGTAGATGGGAATATTTATATATACATTGTAATTAATAATAAGCTCTAATTGTTGTGTTATTTTTTCCTGCTAATTGTATGTGCACAAAATTGCACTTTCGATTATGTATTTTTCTTTTATAGATGTGTTTTATAAGATTTTCCATTTACAAAGAGTGGTACATTTTTTTTTTTTTTTTTTTTTTTTTTACCCCATTTATGCTTATGTATATTAAAGCAAAAAAGCTACAAATTTAAAAAAAAAAAAAAATCGCAAAATTGTTAAATAGTTACTACAGACGACAGGTACACTATTGCAATAAGTGTGTCTTTTGGTATGTTGGGTTGTGCTTAGAGGAAAAAAAAAAAAAAAAAAAAAAAAAAAATCATTTTTTATAATTTTCCAAATGAGAAAAAATGTTAAAACCCTCGAAGGGTTTCACAAAAATAGGAAATAAGAGCTACGTTTTATATATATACTGAAGTGCCGTCCCTTTTGAAGAAATTGTAAAATATTAGAAAAAAAAGACATATGTTTTGCATGTGTTCTTATTTATTTTAGTTACATTGTATATTCGTACCTACAGGCACAATGATGCATGGATAAGAAAAAAAATTTGACTCCTTATATGGTGAATATAAAAAAATATAAAACTGAATTAATTAAAACTTTATATTCTTATGGGAGGCGTTCAAAATTTATGCCTCACTACTTTGAATTTCGTGGGTATCACTATGTATATTATGAAATAGTTAAAATTAGCTCATTCGTTATATGTTCTGTACAAAAAAGGAATATCTGTTAACTGAAAACGTTCTTCAAGCATTTTCTAAAAATTACAACGATGTTCATGTTTCAATATATATGCGTTAACATTTACAATTAACTTTTTATTTTTTTTTTCACTTTTGTTGTATTTTTCCCCTTATCAAACAAATAATATTTTGTTAAATTACCATGCACAAGTAGACAAAAATAAAAAGATTTACACGCAACTACTGATTAATAATAAACGCACTTTTAGAAAAGACAAGGGAATGTTATAAAAATTACTGCTTTCCTTTTAAATAACTGTGTTTATGTATTTTTGGAGATGGCTGTACGTTTAATGTGAAAATACAGTTCAACCCTAGGAGATATGGGGCATGACTAATTTTAGTTCTTTTGCAACACTGTTCCTTTTCTAAGTCTAATTTTTCTAATTTTAATAAAGCAGAATGGGAAATTGTTTTTCCCCATAGGAGTAAATATATCTTATGTTTTCTTTGCACGGATGTGAAGTATCAGGGAGACGGAAATGATACAAATGTGTGTTCATATGTGTATATATACACATACATGTATATTTATTTAATGATTGGAGCTCAACGGTAATCGTATAAAAACATTTTTACACTTGCAATATTTTTAAATGACTCTTAACCATAAAAACGTTGTAATCCGTTAAAATAAAAAATCGAGGAGCATACAATGTAATTAAGATTTAAAAATGTTGCAAAAAATTCTCGATTCACAAATGTACATATTGTTGCAGGTCATGTTTCATGAAACATTTTTTTTTTTTTTTTTTCGGTCATTTGAAATTTGTGATTCAAATTTTTGATTTTTTCATTCTTGCTATATATATATAGGTGTTTATTTATTTATTTCCTTTTTTCTTCTGTTTTGTTTTGCGTATTTAGTTTTATATACACAAAGGTTATATATATATATATATTATGTACATTTTAGCATTGGATGCCTTCCATTCCATGGATCACTTTTTAACTTTTTTTTTTTTTTTTAATAATTAATTAAATTTCTTAATTTTTTACAAATTATGTGTTTAAACACATGCAGCATTTCTTCCCCACTGTAGAGAGAAATATTGGGCATTTTTTATTCACTGATGTTACGTGTTTTCTTCTTCTTCATATATATATGACGCATATGTGTACGCAATGAATATATACAAACGTATAGTATAACATTATCATGTAAAAACTATTTGATATGTTTAAGAATATGAAGCAAGATAAAATATCCATTTTATAAAACACATATTAATTTCATAAGAATTCCCCTGGATTTTTTATTCACAGAACGTAAAGTATGACATAATAAAAATATCCCACGATATGTATACACAAATACACGCATTAACACCCCCACACACACACAAGTTAACACACAAAAATAGGTTTGTGTGTACACCTTAGTGAACTTTTTTAATTTTGTCCATTTAACATTCATTTAATTTTTTTTCTTAATCAAAAGGGAAATTCACTGTATTAAGAAGAGCAAAATGGGAAAAGGAAGCAACGCTTGTGTAAGTTTTAAAAAATGCATATAAAAGAAAAAAAAAAAAAAAAAAAAAAGCACACACCTGCATACACAATTTCGCAATTACCTGGGCGATTATAAATAAATGCATGTTTAACATATATACACACCTTCTACAAATGCCTCCTAAACATGTACACTATAAATTATGAACAGAAAAGAAACCAAGCAAGGGAGAGGAAGAATGTTGAAGTAAAAGCTGGGAAGTCTCAGTTGAAAGCCAACAAAGAAGCTCTAAATGTCATTTGCAAAGTAAATCTACAAAACAGTGCGAAAAGTTTGCATGTTTCATATATATATATATATATATATATATATATATGTGCTTGGATTTCGTACCTTTTTGCCCACATGCATGAATAAACTAACAAATGAACAAAAAAAAAAACACCTATGCTTACAAAATAGTATGATTCATTTTGGGCGCGAAAGTACGTAAAAGTTTCCAAAAAATATATATCACATTTTCTTGCTCTTTTTGTTATTTCCACCAGGTGTGTTATACAGTTTTTATGCAGACACAAAGCATTGCACAATTAGCTGAACATGCCCAAAATAAGCATAATAAGGATGTAAAGGAATGTTTTCCTGATAAATTTTAAAGTTCGCAACATGAGTAGATAACCTCTTTCATATATGTTTTCTTAGTCTAATCCCTCGTCAATTTTTATAACCTATGTTGTTACTTGAATTTATTGTTATTTTTCCTTTTTTTTTTTTTTTATGTAAATTCATATTTTAAAATTAAACTTATTTTAAAAATAAAAAAGCTGTGTAACTTGAAAAAAAAAAAAAAGAGTAAAAAAAAAGGAATACAAAATTGCACAATATATTGGGAAAAAATAAAATGGAAAAGTGAAATAGACAAAACAACATAACAGTCGTCTAGTAGGATAATAAACAGGAGTGTAAAACGTAACAAATGTAGATTTCTTATGTTAACTGGTTGACCGATCTCGTTTCCACCATTAAATAGAAAATTTCAAAGAATATAGCAAGACATATATATCTGAAAAGAAGTTGCTGTTTTTTAAAAATGTACTACCCAGTATGGATAACAAAAGCTCCAAAGTTTTTAGCAAAAATGGGTTAACTTCATATCTTACTAATTTAAAGGTGTCATAAATGAATACTGTCTTTGTTTTAATAATATTTACTTCGTCATAAAAATAACTGTTGTAATATAAGGATGTATTTTTTTGAAAAAAAATGAATATGTTTATTAGAAGAATAATTATTTTGTTAAGCAAATTAATCCAACAAATAATAAAATTGGAATCAAAAAAGTCCACATTCTTGTAACACCGTAACAGATGTGAATAATCGTCTAGACTCTTTTTAATATCTCTGATGTAGTGCATACGTAGCATTGTTAAAAATGTTATAACGTACGGTTTTATAACTGTTGCTACACATGGAACCATGTATGATGTCCTAACATTTCCATTTTTACTACACATTGAATTACATTTTGTGCAAATGGAAAGTTTCAGATTTAAATTTTCCAACATATTTTCCCATAGAGCGCTACTTTTTAAAAAGCATAAATCGTGATGATCCAAATTCGTTATTTCATTTGAAAGAAGTGTAGTTATATTGTCAATATTTATATTTCTCATAAAAGCTTCCTTTCTTTGACCACCAAGTATGCATACGAAATGATAAAAATCCGTAATCTCCTTTGTTGATTTATCATTTTGCACACAGAATTTCACTTGATTAATTTCCTTATTATTGTCTTTTTCATTAAAACGAACAAAATGTTTTTCACAAGGTTGACTATGTTTTTGATATTTCTCATTTTTGCTACCTAATGACATCGTGATATTATTCTGACATTTTAAGCTTCTCACATTTTTTTCTGTACAAATTTCAGCGATGTTAAATATGTAATAAAACAAGAACAAATGATTTAGTAATATATTGTTAATGTATAAATTATACTTTTCTTGATCAAATAATTTAATAGGACTATAATAGAAACTATTTTTAATACAATCTTTCGTTTGATATATGCAAAAGGTTAATATGTGTATTGAAATGTTATTATACCACTTGGAAATATAGTAAATAAAAAACTCAACGCACATTATATCTTTCATATTCATGGATATATTTAACGCATTCTTTCTCATCATGTATAATGTTGCAATTTTTGTTTTATATCGTATTGATTCATTTTCATCATTTAACATAAATATTATACAACCATAAAGTACTATAAAGAAGGCGGTATATAAATTGTACTTTCTCAAATGTTTCAGTGCATCTTTTATATAAATAATATCGTATGTAATATTTTGATACGTTATTTTGTTATGTAATACTTTTGTTATCCACATGTTTAAATCATTTCTATACCATTGTGTGTATCTTTCATACGGGCTAGTGCTGTTTTGAGAACAAGGATTCTTACAACTGCAATTGCCTTTACTTTCTATCATAGGTAAGACATAATTGTAAATATCCACCTCGACACAGTTTCTTGAGTGGCAATTGTTATTCACAAAATATTCTATATTAAAATTTTTCTTTTTATTTTGATCTCTTCGAATATTATTGCTGTTCCAATTTTTACCATAATCTTGAATATTTGAACATTTGGAAAAACATTCTTCTCTGTTAAGGAAGGTTGTATGTTCACTAATATTATCATACATATGTGTATTCATTTTTTTTATTTCTTTTTTCTTCTTGTTCAATTGTTCGTAATCATATTCCACAATTCCGTAGTTTATGAAAGCCTTTACAAAATACTTCATATATGTAGTTGAATTTTTGTTATACAAAAGGGATAGAAAATTTACAAACAGGAGAAAATAGAAATAAGCATAATTAAAAAGAGCCTCCTTCATAGTACAACTGAGAGATGAAACAATTTTAACCTTTTCATTATCAATAAATTCGTATATCAATTTAATGAAACCATTTTGTGGTGAGTGCATATATTTTCTATCAATATCTTCATTCTCCTCAATATTGGCAAAATGCTTTGCACATATGTGGTAGCTATACGAAATGACATACTTGTCCAGAAAGTTATTTCTAGCATGTTTTATGTAATATTGCTGCATTTTATCAAATAGAAATAAATTTTCAATAGATATAAAACTTATAATTGTCAATAGAATGCTAAAACAGTACTTTTTAATTTGTATATTGTCCTTATACTTGTAGACAATTTCAAAAAGTAGTAGATATAGATATATGTATATCCTTTCATCATCTAACAGCAGCGTTTTATCATCAAAACCATCCTCAGCATTATCATCACAAACATCTTGTTTGGTATCATCAAATGATTCTGCATCGAAGACAATGTTAAATTCCTTTTTATTATATTTCATGAAAAAATTAAACGAACTGTAATTGGATAATTTACTTAGATGGCTTACCTTCGCTTGAAATTCCTTTTTATTCCTCTTCTTTATATTTAATAACCAATTGTATAAGAACGCTTCTATATACTTTTCATTATTAATCGATAGATATATATCCAAAAGGGAAACAAAATTATTGATATTTTTTGTTATTTTCATCAACAGTTCGTTCACTAAAACGGATATAAACATGTCATCTGGATATAGTGTTAATTTGTTAAAAAGTAAATTTACTACATTTTTGTGTAACGAAACTGATATTTTGTTATACAAGATATTTAAAATTTGTAAAATTAGCAAAATTTCTGAATATCTTTTACTTTTAATAAATAGGAGTAAAAATTGAAAAAATATTTTTCTAAACTTTTCTTTATTTTCTTCTATCAAAATTTTGGACTCATTTCTCCTAACAAATTCTATAAACAAAAATAAATAACAATTCTTTTTTTTCTTTTCAATAGCACTTACTATAATTTTATTTAAAAAATTAAAAATCAGTTTTTCCATCTTCAATTTTATGTATATATGTAAATATACATTAACAATTATTCTACAAATAAGTACTTGAACAAAGTAGTTACCATAGATAAATAACTTCTTGAAATATCTTAAAAACAGAAAGTATATATTAATGTTGCTTATTCCACTTTCGCCTTCTTCATTAGTATTATTCATCTTATTCTCATCATAAGTACCGTTTCGGGTATTATTATATGTATCTTTACAATGTGCATTTTTTCCTTTTTCAATATGATCATTCAGGTTATCACTTATTTGTGTATTTTTCTCTCCTTTATTAATCGGTTTGTCCATATCTAAGCTAAATTGATGTATACTATGCGTCTCTTGTAAATTTCCCTTCAGGTTGCAAAGTAAGAAATAATCATCATTGTTAAAAATTATAATATTTGATAGAAATATTAATATAGGTATAAATTGTGCATAAAAATTAGAATAATCAAAATAGGATTTATATCTATTTTTATTACAATGCTGTGCATTTAAAATTTTGCACTTTTTTATAAAAATATTTAAAAATATCTTTAACAAATTGACAGAGTTTAATAAATCACAAAATGTCAAATTTATGTTTTTAAATATTCTTTTTTTACTTCCAGTACAAAAATAATACATATTCGATGATACGTGATAAGAATAATTCAACTTTGCTAATAATCGTTTTGTTAAAATGTTGTATAATGATGTACTCGAACTTTTTAGACAAAAAAATTTACTCTTATAATAAATTAAAGAAATTTTGTATATATCATTAATATATTCATGTAGCGTCTTATTATCTAAAATTGTGTATATATGTTTTATGATATTTAAACAAATCACCTTTTTATATTTATTATTCCCAATATATAAATAATTTATGACAATTTTTATTATAAAATTGTATATAATGTATTGTTCTTTCGATTTATATGACTTAGCTAAGGAGCTTAGCGCTAGACATATATTGCTTGACTTTCTTAAAAAATTCATGTTTATTCTTTGATTATCCAATAAAAGCATATTTAATTTTATATTTAGTTCAAAGTTGGATTGTTCAGGAAAAAGCTTTTCATAGCCTGGTTCTTTGTATGTATTACCTTTCTCACTCTGTGTGTTGATCCTACATGTTCTATGTTTTTTCGGTTCCTTTTGGGTGAGATTAAAATTACTCTTTAAAAAATGCGTAGATAAAATTTCACTGACGTCCACATTTTCTTCTTCCTTCAACGTGAGCAATTTATTTAGTTCACTAATTATTCCGGTTAAATATTCGAAATTATATCCTTCAATATTTCGTTCAGAATTGTTATAATTGTGGTTTTCATCAGCATCCCCTGTGTTTACATTTACAAAAGCACCAATAATGTCGATTTTGGTATGCGTTTTGTTTTTTTCCTCATCTGCATTGAACATATTAGCGCCATTCTCCCCCTCATTTTTCATAGTATTATCCTCTTGTTTTTTGAAAATAAGCAAAATTATATATACATAAAAGAGTGGAATTGTCTGCATATTCTCACTAGCCCTCATTCCTATAATTCTGCAAACATCCAAGAGACAATCGGCTAAATACTGCTGACATGCAATATGCTTTGAATATAATAACAAACATAGAAGATTTTGAATAATAAGATGAATTTCTGTATTCTGAAAAAAACACAAAGATATATTTTTTTTTGTCAGACTCGCATAATTATTACTCCTTGTACATTCATTTTTTGAGACATAATTTGTTAATGCATTATGATTCTTCCTCTCCTGTTCGTAGCAATCCTCAGAAATGTCAATATTAAATTTGAAGGAAAAATCAATTATGGATGTAAACAGGATGCATATATATTTGATAGACAACCAAATGATTATGGAAGTTACCTCCTTTTCATTTTCATTCTCAAAAATCATATGTCCTCTACAGTCAAAAAAAAAATTTTGGGACTCATTTAAAAATAGAAAGTTCAAATAATTAATAAAATAGTACAAAATATTACAAATGTAAACTTTTAATAATATTAAGTAGTAAGTATCAGATGATTTTCTTTCCCAGTTCGGTTGAAAAAATAAGTTGGATTTTCCAGAGTTTATATATGTGTTAAATTTACATAAATTAATTTTGGAAAAATGTTTACTAAATTCTGTATTTGTTATGTTTTTTCTAAAATCTATGTTATCCTTTAAATATAAGATAAATTCGTTTATGTAATAGGCCAATTTATACATTTCACAATTTTCTATATCCTGATGATTAGTAATTTTTAGAATACTTTCTTTTTTAATTTTATTAACAAAATTTTCAAATATATACAAAGGAAGATTTTGCATAATACAGTGCTTCTTCCAATTATCACTGAATAAAAAATTTATGTAATTTATTAAATATTTATTATCTTCCTTAATATATTTAATGTCGCTAAATTTAAGGGGACTAATAAAAAAGTCATATGCAATGATGTCTTGATTAATGTTTCCTTTTAAATTATTTATTTTTCCACATATAACATAGTTATCAATGCTTCTATCACCACAAACAGGACGATAATTTACTACCATGTTTTTTTCCCTATTGTTGACATTAATACTATGGTTTAACGAAATGAAGCATAATTTTAATAAGAAGGCATAAAAAGTATGATCCACCTGCTTATGAGACTTTACCAATGAAATAAATGAATTATTTAAATACGAAAATTTCTGCTTTTTAAGTATAGTTATACTTACAGTTTTGAAAAATATCTCTCTTGATATTAAATAAAATTCCTTCCATGTTGTTTTTGCATTAAATAGAAAAAAAAAAAAGTTCATAATTTCAAAGTGTTCGCAATAGTTCACTATTGTATTTAGAATATCCGAACAGTACATAGTTGCCTCTATGCTCATATCTTTATTTATGTTTTTAAATAAAATGAAAATTATATTCATTAAGTAGTAATTATACAAAAAAATGCCTTTCTCTTTGTCTAAATGTTTTGCATTCCATGAATGAAACAGACATGAAGAATATACATTCTTTGGAGATTTACAAACTTTGTCTTCACAAAGCACTTTTGTATTTCCATACAAAAAGAACACAACTTTTAGCATGTCACGTGAACAGTTATCACAGCTGGTTGAATAGGTATCCATAATATCCTCCAAATCTTCTTCTTCTTCCTGTTCATTAATCTTGTCTACTTCAAGAGAATATTCCCCATGGTAATTATTTACCATTCCTCTTTTTCCTTGTTCTTCCTTCCTTTTATCATTATTTGTGTTCTTACTTTGGGGTATTATCTTATTTTCTCCTTTTTTTCCAGTTTTTTTCTCCCTTTTCTTCTTGTCTATCTCCAACATCCTATGATAATATATAAAAAATTTCTCAAAGAATAATAAAATGTACTTTCTATAAGCATCCCTACTAGTCCTCGAAATGTTCATTATGGAGGTTATTAAAAATGTTTGGAACAAATACAAATCACAAAGGTTTAAATATTTGTTTTCACAAATGAAAGATAAAATGCATAAGACAATTTCGTCATTCGAAAAATAAAAAAAGTTATTTAAAATGTTGACATTTAACAAAACATTGTTTCTCAATTGATAAAAATAATGGTTCTCATAATTTACTATTTCGATGGACTGATATTTTCTCAATGTACATAATGTGTACAATTCCAAATAGGTAATGTTTTCTATGGTGTGAAAATTATATAAGAAATATTTTTCTAATTTCTCTTCCCTCACATTGGATGCATTTTCCTCAAAATTTTTCTTTTCCATATATACAGTTTTATAATTAAAAAAAATATTTTCCTCCATTTTTTCTACAACACAATTATACACAATTTCGTCTACTTTTTTTTTCTCTAACAATTCGTTTATCAAAAATTCAAAGTAATTTTTTCTTCTTATTTTTTTTGAGCTACTCATGTCATTAAGACAAATAAAATTGTCCACACTATTTTGTGACCATTTTGTATAATTCGTTTCGATATGCCTTACTTTTTGTTCCTCTTCTTGGGTTGTGTCAAAAAAATATTTCCTTAAACTTAAATCGAAATATTCCTTATTTAAAATAAAGTAAACATAATTATTATCATTTTTATAAAATAACTCAATAATTTTCTTTATATAAAAAGTCTTCATGCAAAAGTTATCTGTCATTAAAATGTTTTTCAAAAATATGTAGTACAACAAATACTTATCTTCTCCGTGAACAAATATATGCTTAATGCATTGTTTTATCAATTCATACAACGAGAACATGAACAAATCGTCATTTTGAAAAAAACAGTAGAAAATATATTCCAACACATTTCTTGCACACATGGACTTTTTAAAATATTTTAACAATAACGATAGGCATAAATATTTTTTTTTTTTTTCCTGATTAAAAATTATATAGGTTAAATGGTTATAAACATCCTTTTTTACATATGCGTTTTTCCTGCTTCTCAGCAAAAATTCGTAAATGCTTATGCAACTTTTCCATATTATTTTTATGTTATACCATGAGTATTTTTTTAATATTCGTAACACACTTTTCATAATCACATTGTACAAATGCGCTAGAAATTCTATTTTCTTATTATATATGGCATATTCAAAACATTCTCTTAAAGTACTTATCTCCACAATTTCGTCTAATTGTAATGGTGAATGGTTTTCATTCATATTCCGCACGTGCTCGTAAATTTTGTTTTCACTTTTAATTTTAAAAGTTTGATTCATTTCAATCACTTTTGTGCCTTTTACACATGAATCACAGTTCTCATCATGGCAAGAGTCTTCATGCCTATGATCAGTAATATCGAGCAATTTGTTAATATCAGACCTTTTATCATAACTAACCATGTTAACAACATCTTTGAATGTTTTATCTTCAGTTTGATCTGTTTTATAAAACAAATTGTTATAATTGTTGATTAAATTATGCCCATTTGCATATTCATAATTTTCAGGAGGTTCTTTGTCCAAATGCTCATTTCTCTTCATTTTGTTAATTCCCACAGATTCCTCAGTACTATTATTTTGATGATTCTCCGTTAAAAGACAGGCTTTTGTTACTTTTGAGAAGGTTGTACCATTAGTGTGTTCAAAAATATATTTCATTTTTTCATTTTTCTGTAACCAGTAATTTATACTTTCTATGCATAAAAAAATATAAAAGGGGTTTTTACTACCTTCACATAACAAATTTTTTATTTTAAAAAATAATAAAAAATAATCAAAGTTTTCACTAATATTAATACTTCTTACATTTTTATATTTTATAATTAAAATACTTCTATATTTACATAACATTAAAAAGGGATTCTCCCTTTTCTTTTCCTTAATAATATTGTCACATTTCTGTAACAGATCCTTTATCTTTTTTATAAGACATAAATATTTTTGCACATCTGGAATGCTTTTACTATTTTTGCATTGGTTTCCTTCTTCTTCCTCCTCTGTTACAATGTCCCCATCACTGTCACAGTAACTGTCGACGAACCCTTCGTAATGATTAGCATATCCGCTGTTACTTGACGAGAAGTTATTACTTACTTGGAGATTATCATTTACACTATTGCAATCATTTAAGCAGTTGCTATCACATGCATAGTTTCTATCACATGCATAGTTTCTATCACATGCATAGTTTCTATCATTTGCATAGTTGTTATCATTTGCATAGCCTCTATCATTTTCATGCCCCTTTTGCTCCTCTAATTTGGTGCTTATTTTTTCACTCTTAGGAACTTTGTGTGATTCACCTTTTTTCTGCGTCTTCGAGCACTGCTCGATTCTGAGATGGTGTTTCTCTTGAATTATTTTTACTGAACGGATGGGAGAAACATTTTCTTGATCTTTCAAAAAAAGATTTATTTTCGTTTCATAAGTAACTATGATATGTTTCACTTGCTGATAAATTAAGCAAATATGTGTACATATGTCTTTATCAAAAGGAAATTGCAACAGAATTTTTTTTAAATTTTTTGCAATCAGTAAGAATGTTTTAAGCATATGAGATTTTAACTCTAGTGTTGCATTACTGTTAAAGGTTATTAGAAAATTTGCAAAAACGTTTAAATAGTTTTGATTTTTTTTTAAAAAATTTATTTCCAATTTGTTGTTAATGTATCTTAATATGTTTGTGTAAAATAAGCCAATGTGTTGCTCGTGAAATGTGCTATAATTATTTATTAAATATTCAATTATCAACGTTTTATAATTCATGCCATGATGCTGATCATTATTTTTTGAAAAGATATTTTTTAAAAAGTGGAAAATTAAATTATCTTTCCATTTATTATTCGTAAATATATACAAATTAATAACTCTGAAAGGATTGTTCTTAATTTTCATACATTTCATGTATATAATTAAGTATATAAAATACTCACCAATTGATAAATTTCTTTCATTACATATGGTAAAACTCTTATAATTATCAAAAAAGTGTGTTACATATGTTTTTGCATCTGTTACATATATATGGCATTTTTTCCAATACAAGATTATTTCTTCCTTGTTTAAAATATCTGAATGCATAAAACTGGAGATAACATATTTATGAATATGTAACAGTTTTTTTTCAATTTCATGAATTTCTGTTTTTCTAGCTTTTTCAAAAAATTGTAAGCCTGTCATTTTTTTTTTTTTTCCCATTCATCCACTTTTAAAAATCTCATTAATTTATTTGCTGTTCACGTGAACTTCACATTTTTTGTAAGTTGTTCTCATCTGAGCCTTCTCTTAACCAAGTTTTCCCTCCCTTAAGGAAGCTTTATTAGCGTTCTTTTTACTATATTTTATATGATTCCTCCTGGAATATAATTTCTTCTCATCTATTTTGAAGAAATGTGTTTTAAGTAAGTATACATATATGATTCTTATGTAACTATATGAACATCCGTATATATATGCATATACATAAGGAACGTTTTTACAATCTGTGGGTACACGCTAATAAACCCTGAGAATGGGTGGAAATCTTTGCGAATTACAATCACTTCGTGCTGTTATCAGGACCATTTGAGGAGTAATTTGCATAAAATTGCTGGTGGAATTTTTACATGGATTATGCATATGTGTAAAACTTCATACAATATATACAAGTATATATGTATTTATATATTAATTGCTTGTATGCATCTGCACATTAAATTTTTTTTTTTTTTACTTTTCGTGAATACCCATTAAAAATCGTGCTGCTTGTGTGCATACAGATATTTATTATTTTTATTTTATTTTTTTAAAAGTGTCAAATTGCTACACTACTTGAAGTACATCAGCAGAATATATATATACATATATATATATATATATAAAACACTTTCTATGGATTCACAATTATGCGAATAAAAAATGGAAATCCTACAACGGAACGTATTTCTGCTTACATTTTTAGGAATATATTATTAGATGCGGTGCTACAGATATATGAAAAGAATACTTACATTATTCACAGTAGTAAAAATTTTCTTTTTTATTTATTTTTATTCAAACAATTCTGACATAAATGTTTCAAACAAAAGCACCAAGGGCTCCCTTCCTTTTGCCATTATACAAGGGTTAAACTTTTCTACAAAAAAAAAAGAAATGATAAAAATACCAAATGGGTTCATATATTTATATATTCTTATCTTACATATATTTTCATGTAAAAATGATAAATACCACATATACATATAACACATGTATGTTTTTTTTTTTTTTTTTTTTTTTTTTTATTTTAGTTTATGAAAGTAACAACATTTTTTTGTGTCAAGGGAATATCATAACGGGGCCAAATATTTTTCATCTAATTTTTACCTATGTGATCATAATCATTACTGTTTTTCCAATATACATAATTATGTAAGTATTTAAACTACAATCGCAGTTGCACATCTATACAGGAGAACACGTTGTGTAATTGTTTTTATAAGAAAAAAAAAATACGACTATTAAAAATTGTAAATCCAGAACAAAATACAAAAAAGACAAAACATAAATTCATTCACGTGTGCATAAGTATATATGTTTGCTTACACTTCAATTTATTCATATACGAGATGATAATGTCATAAAACAGAAAATAGAAATCGAATAATACATTTACCCATAGTTTAGCATATTCGCAATATATACACATTCTCGACAAATATGTGTACATTTATTTATAATTCCACTAATCCCTAATTGCAGATATTCCCACATAGAGACCTTTTTATTGCTAATCCTTGAGACACTTTTAATAACAGCATTTTTTATTTTAGTTTTATTTTTCTTAACGACCACAGCATTTTGCGATCCTGGAATGTAAGAAGAAAAACGAGTGAATTAGAAAATAAACATTTAAATATGCTTAATGCTACATCATGAGGATTTATTATCATTAATTTTTTTTTTTTTTTTTATTTTTTTTATTTTTGCCCATTACAGAATTCCAAAAAAGAGTCATGTTGACTTATCTTTACCAAAGGGGAGAAGTACGCAAAGTGTAGTTTGTTCATAATATAAGTTTGTTTGTGTGTATAGTAGTGCTCTAATGCACTTATCAGTTTGCACATGTATTATTTGGTTTATCCACTTTTACGAATGAATTAATACATCGTCAATTATTTGATATTCTATTTTTGTTTAGCTGCATTTACAACTGTAAAAGTAAATGGCACTATTATAAAGAACTATTGGTGCGGTAAGTTTTTACACTTTTTTTATTATTCGCATGTATGTTGCATTATTTTATACTAGCACTCCATTTTATCTTTTTTTTTCTATTCTACACTATTCTATTTTTTTTTTTTTTTTTTCTTCTTATTTGCCAACCCATCGACCAATGTACATGCAGTACACTGTAACCACTTTAAAGAACCAAGAAGCAAGCATTGTTACATGTGCAATAACTGCGTTACTAAGTTTGATCATCACTGTGTATGGTAATACGTAAAGACAGAAATGTGGATAATTTTTTTTTTTTTTTTATGCATATTTCACTTGAGCATGTTTTGTCATAAGTTTTACATGCTTATTATATCATACTTTATTCTTTTTCAATATGTTTTTCTTTAAAACTGTTAGGTTAGGAAATTGCATAGGGTCCAGGAACTACAGGAGATTTATTTTTTTCATTTTGAATTTGTCAATCCTTTCAACAATTATCTGCTTTACATTTATTGGGATTTTTATTGTAATAAAAACACACATCCATATTTATGCATTGACTTATCCCACACATATGTCATATACCCACGATAGTGACATGATTAGAAAAATTGTCTCTTATGACCATTAACATATTTTCACACTCTTTGCAGTGCCTATGTATGAAGGAATATCAAAACATTACATTAGGATCAATTTTTTACACAATATTTGAATATCCACATATGTAATGCAAAATAAAATGCACCAAAAGAACAAAAAAAGAAATGCATAATGAGGAATAACAGTATTGTATATTTAATTATTTATTTAATTTTTAGCTCTTGTAGAGTAAATATATCGTTTCTTTTTTCTTTTCTTTTTTTTTTTTTTTTTTTTTTTATAACAGCGCATTGTACATTATTTATACCATACCGTCATCCCTTTTGCTAATTAATTTATTCTTGTACCATTTAAAGATGATATTCTCCAATAGAACAACATATGAAGATATTCAAGGCTTATACGAAGAAGACAATCCCTTCGATGAGGGTAATCCTTTATTTTACCTTCACGTTGATATATATATATATGTGTTCTCGCTGGAGTTTGTGTGCATATGTATACTTGCGCTTGTTCATATGCATAAATATGTGTGTAAATATTCCACTTCAGTATTAACTGCTTACTTACCATATATACTTATACACTACATTATATCTTTTATTTTACACCATTCTAGGGAAACTCATGAATTTAAAAAAGTTTCTTCTCACGCCCGTTAGCAAGAAGTAAAAATAATTATGCAATGACAAAATTTATAAAATTGGGAAAATCATTTGAAGTATTTTTTTATTTTGTGAACAAAAAAATAGAATATATAGAAATTCCTACACATATAACACTTTTTACACACATTTTCTTTCCTTAACGTACATTTTGTAGGCAAGTGGAATGGACAGAAATTGTAAAAATAACAGCGGTGTAGATATTTAAATGCCGGAAGAATATAAAATGTGAACTTTTTTTATTTTATTTTATTTATTTTTTTTCTGTTCCTTGTAATGTACATTTTTGATTTTTATTTTTTTTTAGTTTTCTTTGTTTTTATTGTTGGTTTTTTTTTTTTTTTTTTTTTTTTTTTTTCATTATTTTTCCTATTAATTATGAATGAAAAGCATACAACTTGTCCAAAAAAAGAATATCTTATTTTCCCAGCTTATTTTAGTTGTAATGATATATAAATAATTCCATTTTTACCATTACGAAAAAACAAAACTTGAGTTACATTAAAAAATAAATGTTAATTTAAAATAAAAGGATGTTGTAAACACAAAAACAATGCAATTATAGAGAAAAAGGGCAAAAATAAAGAAATTAAAAGAAAAGGGACAAATAGAAGGAAATCCCCCCCTCTACATACATACATATACACACACATACACACACTTAGCGTTATGTATATATTTATATGATTTTATAAACACTAGATTAAAAAAATATTAAAGCAAAGAAATAAGAGAGAAAAAAAAAAGGTTATATAAATATATTTTAAATAAATT